TTTTAATTTTTTTTTTTTTTTATTTACTTCTCCCTTTCATCTTTCCCATTCCTATGGTATGTGTATCTGTTCCCATCATTGTATATCCTTGCTTGTGATTACTTTTATTACATTTTCACAAGGAGAGTGAGGAGATATATGTAAAAGGTGAGGAAATGAATGAATCCGACAAAATTAGCCAAAGGGAAAAAAAAAAAAAAAAAAAGAAAGAAAATAAAAACAAGCAAAAAAGGAAGAGGGTTAAAAACAACAAAAAAAAAAAAAATAATAAAAGTAATAAAAAAAAAAAAAAATTATACATTCCGTTTTAGTCGTCGAATGGATATTTCTTTTTCCTGTCTGCAAAAACGTGAATGTTGGGAAAGAGTAAAAAAGTCCCTAGCCTTCTACTCTTTTTTTTTTTTTTTTTTTTTACATCATTTTACATTTATAATCCCCCAAGACACATGCAACTCATATTGCTGTGTGACAAAAAATTCCATGTTGAAACTATAAATTTCTTATTCATATATTTTTTTGTGTTAACCAATTTCGAAAAAATCTACTCAGTTTAGATATTCCTAACAATGCTTACTTCATGTGGAGTAAAAACTAGTAACAGAATCTCCCAAATCAAGGCACTCCATAATATCGTCACACCACAAAAAAAAAAAAATAAAATAATAAAATAAATAAATAGAATAGAATAAAATAGAATAAAACGAATAAAATAGAATAAAAATAAGATAAAAATAAAATGTGATAAAAATATCTCTAGACATGCACACTTAATGGAAAACCTTTTCAGCACAAAACTTAATCCAGCGTGAGGGATGCTTTTTTTTTTTTTTTTTTACTTGATGTGAAAAAGAAAAAAACTAGGTTTTACAATTTCCTTCTTTCTTTCCTATCTTCATTTATATTTTTATTTTATTTTATTTTATTTTCTCCTTATTACACAATAAAACAGATTTCATTTTTATTTTTTTTTATATTCAAACCCTATATAGCACACCCCACTAGGTATTTTTTTTTCTGTGCTTATATATATATTATACACCCACCCACCCCTGTCCTATCCCCGCTGTTTCTTACTTGGTGCATTTTCTAAAATTATCAAATGAGAAAACATTGAAATGTAATATTTTTCTCAAGTAAAAAAGTATCATATAACTTATAAAAATGTTAAATTATTAGTTCTTTACAAATCAGAAAAAAAAAAAAAAAATTATAAAGAAATTTTTATTGCTAATTAGGGACATATGTGTGTAAACAACACATGCATATGACAATACACAATAATATTTTTGCAAATAAAAAAAAAAAATATATATTATGTAAAATTTGAGTCGGATTGAATAGGAGTTATAAAAAAAAAAAAAAAAAAATTGAATATAAGACTATGCAAGGGTAGAGTAAGATTGAATAAAAGGGTCCCGATATATACCCACTATCCTCCCTCTTCTAGTCTCTCCCCATTTGTCCCTTGCGAGAAGTGCAAACAAGAGCACATATTTATTATGGAACCCCACATGAAAAATAATAAATGCACTCGTTTGAACAGTACTAAAATTAAAAGAGAACAATATAAAAGTAATTTTACAATTGGTGAATGCATCATATTATAATAACATGTTTTCTTCCACATCAGTATACTGTATGCATGTCTGAAACACCTCATTTTTATTTTTTTCCCAATAATCCTTTAGCTCCTGAGCCAATTTTGCACTCCAGAAATTATTTAACAGTCTCCTATATTCTTTCCATATTTTTCTGTAACTAATTAAGCTATCTATAAATTTCTTTTTGTTATAATTTCCAATTCTCACAAATTCACTAAAACTTTTTAAAAAAAAATTCTCTTTAAATAAAAAAAAATTTGTTGTTTCATCATATACTCTTTTCATCTGAGAATTTTTTAAATCATCATTTATGTTATAATTGTGACATAAATTTTCACAATGCGTTACTAAATTTTCTTGCATTCGAAAATATTTCTTCCTTTCATTTTTATGCACATAATAAAAAATAGAACTCATTTCTTCTGGATCTACATAATCACTTAAATTCGAAATTTTTTCAATAAATTCAGTTTCTGATAACTCATAATCAGGGTTTATGTGTTCAAAAAATCCCTTCTTTACAAACCTATTTTTACGAGGTTCAATTTCATCATTTACTTTATCTAAATTCTTGTGATAAGAAGAAGTTGTTGTTGTGCCATCACTCTTCCATTCAATGGATGGAATATCACTAACACTATTTCCATTTCTCTTCTTATCAATAGCACGTCTAACTTTTCTTTTTCTATTCCTCATAAAACAATTGTTATACTCACATTGTATCTCAGATATGTCATAAGTGTTCTCAACTGCATTTTCATTGTCATTGTTTAAAACCATATTAGATGAACAAAATACATTTACACTCTCTTCATCTGGGTCACATATATCCACACGTGGACATTCAAAACTCTTTTTATTAGCCAGTTGTCTTGTCTTTACATTCGGATATCCAAACGATTTGATTCTCCTTTCTCTCTCATTTTTACATGTCTTCTGGGAAGGAAATTTCAAAAAAGAATGAAATGGAGCGGGGTGCAAAAATGGGAAGGTGCAATATAGGAAGATGCAATATAGGACGGTGCATAATCAGATAGACCAAAATGAAATAAAAAAAAAAAGTGCAGTAAATAAAGAATACTTCGTCTCGATAAACTTTTCATTTCAATGGAATTGTGTGCAGATTCAAATGAAACGACCCATCGGGTGTGTGTGCTAGTGTGTATGTGTAGGTGGGGATAGCAACCCAGGAAATCAACCAGAGTCTAAAATAAACATATACCTCTACAACCAGGAATACAAAGATGACAAGAACTGTATTTAGAATCCTATAAACGGAAGAGTTACATATGTGCTCTTTTTTTCTTTTAGCCATATCCATTTTTTCTTCCCCATGAGATGATATATATTGTTCAACAGATTGAAATAGATTATTTATTTTTCAATTTTAAGAGACTTCCTTCTGGGTATATGCACTATTAATGATGCTATTACTAAGTAAAAGAATTGAACAATTCAGTCCTTTTTTTTTTTTTTTTTTTCCTTCCTCTTCTCTCTCCTTGGTATATATTTATATGTATACGTTTTATTATTATGCTTATCAAGATATGATATATTTTAATAAAGCAAAAAAAAAAAAAAAATAATAATAAAAAAAATAATAAAAAATAAAATAATAAAAAAAAAAATAAAAAAAAAAAAAAAAAAAAAAAAAAAAAAAAAAAAAAAAAAAAAAAAAAAAAAAAAAAAAAAAAAAAAAAAACTATAGAACAACGGTTAAAAAAAAAAAAAAAAAAAGGGTTACATATAAAAGAAAAAAATAGTGGTATGCGAATTAAAAAAAACAACACAACAAAAAAATGAAACAAAAAAGTTGAAAATAGCTGCAAAGAAACAAAACAACATAACGTATAGAGCAGTAGAACCAATAAAGAAGCCTCTCCTCCTCAACTTAACAAACTTTTGATATATCTACTAAAAACATAAACATAAAAAAATAAGATAAAATATAAGCTAAAATATAAACTAATGAAGTTTAAACTAAAGTACGTGCTAAAATATAAATTAAATAATAACTAAAGAACAAACTGAAATATAAACGATATAGGGTAGTAAAAAATATATATACATGTACATGTATATATACTTATATATATATATCTATGGGAAGAATAAAGAAAGCCTGTGACAAATACCAAAAACCCTGGCACTTTTCAGAGAATGAGTGGATGAGATAGAGGGTGCCTTTCTTTATTTTTGTAACGCCACATTGTAATGATAAGCTTACGAAATATATTTTTTTTCATTCAGATTTGTTTCATATTTTATTTTATTTTTTTTTTTATTCTATTTTGTTGTGTTCTATTTCTATGCAACATTATTAACTTGTATTTAATTAAAATATAATAGTAAATAATTTTTTCTCTCAATGGTATGATATTGATTATTAAAAAAAAAAAAAAGAAAAAAAAGAAATGCCAAACCGCGCGATGAACCCGTTGTTAAATGATAATTTTAGAACTTTTTTTTTTTTTTCTCCTATCGTCTAGCATTTTTTTGTTTTTCTTGCTTTACAACTACATTTTCCACCATCCTAATTGTTATTATAATTACTATTATTATTACTTATTTATTTTATTATGACCTATTTGTTTTATTATTTTCTTATTTTTTTTCTACATTTTAGTCGAAACTTTAATCATGGGTATTTTCTCTTCAAAATTGTTAGTCCCCAAACTGTGAACCTGGAAAAATTGTCAACTCAGTCCCAGCTAGTTATTAAATTTATTAAAATATTATGAACATTTTTTTACATATTTTTCCATTCCCTTTTCAGTACAACATAGTATATAAGCAAAATTGGACAAGAGGGAAAATAAAAAAAAAAAAAAAAAAAATTGAAAAAAAACAGTTTTTAATTTTTTCCCAATTTTACAAAATATATATATGCCACTGTCCTTCATGGAATCCTACTAATAGTGTTGTGTTTTCCACCACACTACACCTATTTTATATGTTACAATTATTTTGCATATGAAAGACTTACAACACTTTTTTCAGAAATTGATATGTAAACAAATGGGTGTAACAATATAAATAATAGCATTTTGGGGGAGAATTTTTTTGGTAATTATTTTTGAATATTTTTTTGCATATTTTTTTGCATATTTTTTTGAATTTTTTTTGGGACCTTTTTTTTCTTTATTCTAAGGGAGGGAAAAAATTTCTTCCATCACCACCATTTGCCATTGTCAAAATTTAGCACAGAGTAGAGAAAAAGAGACTATACCACAAGGGGTAGAGTTGGAGATAGTGCACATAAGGGTGGAGCAGAATATGAATGTGATGTCCTTGCTTGGGGAAATGTATATATATATAAACATATATGTGCATAGGAAATAATATTAATTTCACACAAAAAGTTGTGAACTCTTCAAGTTATTTAACCAAAACATTACCCTTTGCACGTGCACACATTAATACATCTGTTTATACATATGCTTATACATTTATACGCATACGTTTTTTTTTTCTTATTTTCTTTGTGTTTCTTCTTCCCACTGCACATGCAAAAACACAAACACCATTATGCACCTTTTGTTCTTATTCACCCATATCGACAAAGTGAGGATGATACTGCATAAATAGAAAAATTAAAATTAGTTTTACTTCAAATATATATATATATATATCATACTTTTACATCCTTTTTGTTGACCTTCCCATCCCACCCCCTCTTATGTTAGTAATACACAGAAAATGAGTTGTTCTACACGAGTAGGAACGAAAAAAAAAGAACACTGCCTTATAGGTCATCTATCCAAAATTAAACAAAAAAAAGCAAAAAAAACAAAAAAAAGCAAAAAAAACAAAAAAAAGCAAAAAAAACAAAAAAAGAAACAAAAACAAAAACAAACTGTTCGTTACTAACGAAACTTTGCTAAACGCTCTTCTCTCATTTTGTATACCCTGTTATGCAAACAATGCAACAAATAAGTATGCATAATGCAAAGGGGTAAAATATACCACCCACCCCTTTAGTTCCATTTACATGCCGTTCATGTCTAGGAAGTGATAAAAGAAGAAAAAAAATAAAATTATTTATGCTGCATTTATACATTCATTGGATGCATGAGGGAAAATTAGTACTGTTTGGAGTAATTCAGATCAAAAGGATGATTCCCTCTCGCACCTTCCCCTGTCGAATCCTCCAAAAGAAAGAGCATGCATATTCACAGCTCCATATCCGATGTGCATCGCAATTCAGGAAACTGCTTTCCCTTGACACCACACACATGCACATGCACATGCACACGCACATACATACACATACACAGATACATACACATACACATACGTAAATGTCCACACATGCACACCCCGTTCTCTCCATCAAGTTAAGTTTGAATTCAACATATTCATGCAGACGCTGTTCACGTCTCTCCTAAAATTTCTCCACGAATTTTTAGTCTGATTAATAAATTCGATAAACAATTTCTTGGGACATGCTCCGTGCTCTAGAAAATTGTATAACTTTTTATGTAGACTCCTCTCCTTATAGAATAAGTGATCTTTCATGTAGTGGTAAACCTTAATCCACTGTTCTGTTTTTTTTTTTCTGGGTACATTATAAGTATAAGTGAGATTTTCACAGTATTCAATTATATTTTTCTGCATGTTAATATATTTAATTCTTTCAAAACCGTTTACATAATTCCATATAACAAACATTTCCTTTACATCTACATTTTCTCCTAGTCTTTCTATTCTTTCATTAACACTATCTTCAGATACATTTCGCAAAAAATCATGATCATTTACTTCATATGGAACACTATTAAATTCTTCTTTTTGTTTTCTTTCTCTTTCTTTAATTGTATCATAGTCAGGTAGTTCATATCGTGGTTCTGTATCATTCTTAACATAATCAATTGGTTTAAAAATACCGTAATTCTCTGCTTGTCCATTATTTAATCTATAAGGTTCTTTCATACTTACATCGATATTCTTATATTTCCTTCTTCTTTTACTGCTAGTGCCACCACTACAACAAGCTTGTTCTTCATCTTCATCATTTTCATCATCTCCATCATCATCACCTTCCTCATTTTTCATTCTTCTAGATTCTAATTCTGCTAATTGTCTCGACTCATACTTTTGACATCTTTCTTGTATACTTCTAAGAGATTCTTCATTTAATATTTTTTCCTGCACAAAGGAGTGGGAAGAGGGGAGAAGAAACAAGTGTAACACGCATGCATAAAAATGAAAAAATTCCAGCTGTAGCATCTACTACAGTAAGCACAAATGCATCTACCAGTACAAACACATATACACACGCTTCACTTCGAACATATATACACGCTTCACTTCGAACATATATACACGCTTCACTTCGAACATATATACACGCTTCACTTCGAACATATATACACGCTTCACTTCAAACACATCTATACGCTTCACTTCACCGGGATGAATATCCAACCACGGCAAGTGCAGATATTTTGGTTAAACTTAACTCCTCTACATACCTGTTGCACAAAGAAGACCATCAAAGTTAGCAACACAATATTGAAAATAGCTAGAAATGAAAAATTAACACACATACCAATCTTCCTACACTTCCATTCCTCACTATTAAATGAAATTATCATCGATTCTTTCCTTTTCCTGTTTTTATTTGATGATACATATTTTCCTTTTATTGAGATAACTGCCTTCCTATTGTGTTGTGTCATTTTTTTTTTTTATCTTTTTTTTTTTTTTTTTTGTGAATGTGGGGAACTTGGACTTATTGGGGTCTGAAAAAAAAAAAAAAAAAAAAGAAGCGACATTAATGCAAAAGAGTGGAAACATTAGTGCAAACACGTGGCAGACACAGCATCCAAACATGGCCTTTTTCACCTAATGTTGTCGATATTTGGTACATAAATGCTGCACTTAGATGTGATTCATCGACGTGCCACATATGCTCAACCCATATGTCATGGTTTCGTCATAAGGTAATCTCTCTTTTGTTATCTTTTTCTTTTCTTCTATCCTCTTCATAATAAAACAAGGAAGAAAACTGTCAAACGTACGTAACATGTGCATATATGCCCAAAATCACTATTCAGTGCATACCTTTTTTTTTTTTTTTGCAAAAAAGAAGAGAAAGCTAAGTAGTGGTAGTGGTGGTGGTGATAATTTGGGTGGGGTTGACTTAAAGTTATTTATTTATACAATGTAACAATGAAATGAAAGAACAACAATGTTTTCTAAAACATGAAAAAAAAAAAAAAAAAATCACAAAATGAGGTTCTCTAAAATGGATATGAATTTATTCAAAAAAAAAAAAAAAAAAAAAAAAATTATTTTGCAGAAGAGGTTGTCAAAAATCAGGACTCAAAAATTTAATTAAGCCAGAAGATCACGTAACAGCGCTCGACATTTTAGCGACCACGTTGCTAAAAAATAAAATAATATAGCTTAATGGCAAGGTAGCAAAATATCAAAATAACTACTTTTTAGAGTTTTTTTTTTTTTTTTTTTTTTTTTTTTTTCTTACAATTATCATTCCCTATAGCAAGCTACAAAATAATAAAATAAAAAAAATAACTAATTATAAAACACTATAGTCAATAGGAAAGTAGAAAAATGTTAAAACCCTAAGAATTGTTCTAAGTTCTAATTAGTATACCCTTTTTTTTTTCCTTTTTTTTATATCCCTCTTCCATGAACCAACATCTCGCGTTTCGTTTCAAAAATTCAAAAACTTTTCCTATCACATTTTGAGGAAACAAAAAAAAAAAAAAAAAAAAAAAAAAAAAAAAAAAATGCAAACCGATGAGTGCTTCTCGATTTATGCATTTCTGAGAATAGCCATGGCAACACTTTTTTTTTTTTGCGCCCGCAAAAATTTGATACCTAACAAGTTCGAGACAACTGGAATGTAACCTGCACGTGAATATTTTCACTATGTACATATTTACACGTACACGCATTTTTTTTTTTTTTTTTTTTTTAATTGGTATAACGAATATAAAAGTAGCTGACTATGATTCGAATTCATATCCAAATTATTAACCAAATTCTTATCCAAATTCTTATCCAAATTCTTAACAAAATTCTTATCCAAATTCTGATCACAGTTTCGACCCCAATTCCAATGTTAGTGGGAAAGGACGAGTAAATTTGGCCTAAAGAAAAAGAATAACATTCTACTCATATATAGCCATTTACATATCTTGTAACCTTTTCAATGGAATGTATTACATCCTCCCTTCAAAATGTAAATATATGTACATATATGCAACATTACACATACATATGTATACACGTTGATATACATGCGCTTTATGGGTAAGTATATTTTGAGAAAAACATATCAACAAGTTCGTAACAAAATAAGTATGCATGCTTATTTTTTTTTTTTTTTTCCCAATATGATATCTTTTTATGGAAAAAATTAACGAAAAAGTAAAGAAAAAACAACAAAATAGTAAGGGAAAAAAGCATTTGACCACTTCAACAGTTCGTAGTTCTTTATAGATGCACATTTTTATAAATCTTTGCGAAAGAACAATTTACATTTGAAACTTTTTTTCCAACGATGCTATATCGTTTGTTCCAAAAAAAAAAAAAAAAAAAAAAAAAAAACTCTTGAAACATTTTCCTTCGTCTCATTCCTAATGATGTACAATCAGTAGTTAGACCCATTCAGCTCACGCAGCAAATATCATTAGGGATAGAGACATTATAATCTCTTCATATGCATATGTTCTATTATAAGTAGTCTGATATGAATACACCCATGTAAGGTTCGAAGTTTCTTTTCTAGAAAAAATGGCACACAAATTTTAGTGTGAGTATAAAACGAGGGAAAAAAATTCGACATGTAGATATATATATATTGCCATACTGTTAACCCTCCAAATTATTAAACTCCTAACCTGATAAATCACATTTAAGTATGAACAGAGATCAAATGGATGAGTCTCTCCTTCCTGTAGCTTTAAAGTGCAAACTGGGAGGAGAGGGAAGAATACAAAACAATTTTCCATTTTATGCAAATACATATTCTTCTGTCCTCCATGTATGCACACAAAATTCTCTCCACGTTTACTTCGTTTCCAATTGGTGGGACGTATGTATGTGCATATTTGTAAATATGTATGTGTGTGTATGCGTGTGTGTACACGTAGATATTTCTCCCACCCGGTTGGTATCCTCCAACCATAAAAATGAAACGCACTTGCGGAGTTTACTTCAAGTTCAAGTAGGGAAAATTTATACGTTAATTTTGCCTATCCATATTTTGGGTTCATAAAAATGTATTCATTGCATCTGCAACTTTCACTCCTTACTGAAAGTGTTGATAGACCACGGCCCAAACACTAATGACTAGTTCTTTACTTACCACCCGATTTATACATTCCTCATGAAGACATAACGAACGAGACAATCCAATTTAGCACAAAATGAACCTACACATTATTAACCCATCTCTCTCTTTCTCTATGTGTGTGTGTGTTGCATTTGTGGTATGTGAATGACCGTCCATGTGTATACATTCTATGTGAACACCCATATAGGCATCATCCTTCTTTTTTCTTTTTTTTTTTTTTTTTTTCTTCATTAAAAAATTAGTCATATTGGCTAAATTAGTCAAATTAGTTAAAATGGCAAAACGTGTTAAAAATTAAATAAACGAAAAAATTCAAAAAAATTCAAAAAAAGGGAATAACAAGTGGGTTACGGGTGGGTGAAAGATGGACGAGGTGTTAACACACAGTTCTCGAAAAACGGACAAAAAAAAAAAAAAAATATATATATACAAACGAGCACCCAAATGGGTTATAAACCAACAAAACCATACAACCTGTGTAAGCACTTCCACAATGCATAGCTCACTGATGATGCAGTTTTTCACACCGTGCTTTTGCTGTCATATGATATACTTGTCTCATTCTTAGAACTTCAATCAATTTCCTTTTCCAATCTATCTTGAACAAGGTATTTATCGAAACTACTAGAAATGGAACTCTTCCAACTATCAGTTGCCATGTCAAGAAGATCATTCCAAGACTCATATTTGTCTATTAAAAATGATATGTATTTACAACGTGGAATAGTACCTGCATCAATAAATGTTTTCAAATCTAAATAGTCATCCCTTTCCTTCTTTATCAAATCATCTTTCAAATGTAAATGTGCTTTTCTCCATGCTTTCATTGTGCATTCCTCAGGTATATTATACTTACGGGATAAAAATTCACACTCTTTCCACATTTCTTCTTTTAAATTTAAATATTTTTTTTTTCTATTTGCATTTACATAATTCCATAAAACATTCATATCTTTAACATCAACATATACTCCCAATCCATTTACCACATTTTCAAATTCTTCTTCCGTTAATTCTTTATAGAATCTCGTTTCATATATTATTTCTCTTTCTATTTGGCTTCCCTCATATTCTGAATCAATATTTCCTCTTCTACTTCTGTTGTAATTATCACAGATGTCGCTACTATCCTCTTTAGTACACGAGATATTTTCATTTTTTCCACTTTTTTCACATTTTTTTTCGAAGAATTTCATTTCTTCCTCTTTTATTATGGTGCTACTAATGGGGAGAAAATACAAATGTCTATTCGCCTCCAATAATTTTATGTCATTTAGATCAACAAACTTTTCTAATCGGTCAAGCGATATCTCCGACAGCATTCTCAAAATGTTTGGATTCTTCTCCCATTTTGGCTTCTGCTTTTCAGAATCATTCGTGTGTAGGCACTACAAAAAATTAAGGGGATCATGTAAATGTTCTAGTTAAGGAAAAATATGATAGAACGAAAAAAAAAAAAAAAAAGACATAATCAATTTTCTCACAAAAGGGAATGAAGAAACAGAAACATGCATTACATAGAAAAACCAATTTTGTATATATACATTACAATTTTCTACAACTCACTTGATGTGATAGACAAAAGACAAAGCAAAGAGAAAAAAACAAAAGTGCGGGAAGAAATTTCTTTCTACCTACATCATCTCTGCTCGTATTCCATTGAAAATGATGATTCATGTGTAGATTAGGTTAAATGAAAAACAGAATGTATGCATAGGATTATTAAAATATTTGCAACAAAAAAAAAAAAAAAAAAAAAAAACTATCAAAAATGGGACGAATTAAAAATAAATAATATGTACATGTATAAATCTGCAAATCGACAAAATCTGCACTCCACTTTTGTTTGTCGAAAGTCACTTTCCTCATGGTAAGGTAGCAGTAAGCAGAATACAGAACATGTGCTTCCAATAGAATTCAGCCTCAGATGTTACCGATACACATCTGTGGTTTCAATAAATACTGATTCGGTAAATTCATGAACTGTCCAAATATGATAAGTTCAAATGGGGCACGACATATGCCTCTTAACAACAGTCATCCAAACGGCTTACTAGCTCAAGTACCAAAAAATAAAATATAAAAAAAGATAAAAAGGATAAGATATATAAAAAAAGATAAGAATAAAAAATAAAAGAAAAAAGATATAAAATAAGAATACAAGTTGTTAAATGATAGCTTGAAAGCGAAGTTATGGAGGATAAAATGCACTTCAAAAAAAAAAGAGCTGTATGTATGGAATATAAAAAAAAGACTCCAAATTTGGGAACATTAAAGCTGTTTTCACTATGAATATATATATTTACGCATGTAAATACTGTGAATCTCGAAGATTTGTTTTAGAGGGAAACGTCTTTCGGGTAATTTTTACGAAGAAGAATAAAGTGTGTCTTCTTATAAAATCATTCGGCAATTAGCTCGAGGGTAACAAAAAAAAAAAAAAAAAAAAAAAAAAAATTACTTAACTTGGGCCTACCAATAAGGCATATAACTCCGTGCGTTCTATAAACATATGTACATTCATAAGATTATATGTATGTTCATAAATTTGTATGTACGTTCATAAATTTGCATGTACGTTCATAAGTTTATATCTACGTTCATAAATTTGTATGTACATTCATAAATTTGTATGTACATTCATAAATTTGTATGTACATTCATAAATTTGCATGTACGTTCATAATTTTATATGTGCGTTCATAAGTTTATATGTATATTTTCATGTAGGTATAAAAGTTAGCGTCACTTAAGAGACTTCATTCAAAGTTTTTATTTTTTTCCCTTTTCCCATGTGATTATCCCAATAAGTCCCAGAAGAAAAAATACGAACCTTTGGGTTACAACTTCATCTAAGTATATAAATGATTTTTTTTTTTTTTTTTTTTTTTTTTTTGGTAACAAGGGGAAAAGAGAAAATACATAAATAATTATATAAAAATGAAATTCTAATTTTTCCTAAAAAAAAATGTCCCTTTTTATTTTTTTTTTTTTTTTTTTTTTTTTTTAAGAAAATATTCAAATGATTAGTAATAAAAAGTAAAAAAAAAATTGCGAGAAAAGTTCGAACAAATTTTGCCCAAATCGTGAACAAGTTTTGTAAAGACTGAAGAAAAAATTTTCTAAACCTATTCGCAAAATATGTTTCAAGATTATTTAAAAAAAAAAAAAAAAAAAAAAGAAGAAAAAGCGCCACAGTCCCGATTAGAAAGAGAGAGGACTGGTAAAAATAATAAACCTATTTTTAAATTATCTAGTGGGTTATATATAACTTGCACGAGAATATTTAGTCCGTCTTTTTTTCTCAAGTATTTCCACTGTTTGGTAAGAATACATATATATGAATACATACATAAATTCGTAAATTTGTTTCTACATATATCAAAAATAGAGTGCTAGTGATACTTTTGCAAAAAAGATCAAGCTAACAATGGTCAATTTTAACCACATCGAAGTGTTCCATCCTCCCGTTTCTATTTCTTTTGAGTCCTGAAATATGGTAAAAAGAGTGGAAAAAAATATGAGAGAAAAAAAAAAAAAAAAAAAAAAAAAACACTTAAAAAAATAACAGTCGTCCTAAACATGTTTACATGTGATGTTATGCTCGTTTAGAACTGAAATGGTACAAATGAATGTATCCCCTGAATGCATAAAAAACTGATTAAGCAATTCATTAAAAAAAATTACATGTATATTATATATTTCGCGTTTAAAAAATGGATAATAATTTTTCATAGTGCAGTTATTAGAAAATTAATTCTCACTTTACATGCACTGGGAGCTGCGATCACATAAATTTGTCTTTATCTTATTTATTTATTTTATTTATTCATTTTATTTATTTATTTATTTATTTATTTATTCATTTTATTTATTTATTTATTCATTTTATTTATTTATTTATTTATTCATTTTATTTATTTATTTATTCATTTTATTATTATTATTTTTATATAGCATGAAAAGTATATTAAACCATTGTTCTATGTTATTACGTAAACATTTTGCAACTTCTCACCCAATATGGAATTCAAAAATTCTTATTTTCACTCCAAAAATATAGATCGATCTTTATATAACATCTCGTTCTACGAGAGACAATGTATTATTTATCTACGTTATGACAATAATAATATCTGTGCCAATAGGACTCAAGAGAAGAGGCATGGGGAATTTTTTTTTTTTTTTTTTTTTTTTTTGTACCCAGTTAAAAAATATATATAAGTAAATAGGGACAAAAAAATTGCACTAAAATTCGAACGAAATAATGGATAATCAAATAAAATAACCATGGTTGTGTGTGTGTGTTTGGGTGGGTTAGGCATATTTTTAAATATCTTTCCCATTTCCCTATTTTATTGCATTTTTTTTAAGCGTATATATTACAGCAGAATAATAGGAGTTTTTTTTTTTTTTTTTTTTTTTTTTGCCCATTATGTTAGTTCTCTATTCATACTTATTTAAAAAAAATTTCACAAATTTCAATTATGTGTTCTCTATAGTTATATGTATATGATGATTAATTGTTCAAAATAAGTATAAACAAAAAAGTGTGTAATAAGTTTCATAAGACGGATATAGACTCTTTATATACGTACAAATGAATGAACACAAGAGCAGGCTATTGAATATGAATAGCAATTATAAAAATTTACAAAAGGTACGAAGAAATTACACGAAAACTTGATGAAAATTTCATGAAAATGGAGAAATAGTACATCACCATGTCATACAATAAATAAAAAATATTTCATGTTTCGTGTTTCGCATTTTTTTTTTTTTTTCTTTTTCTGTTAAAAACACTATCTTATCCAAAAATAAACCTATAACAACAAAAAAAAAAAAAAAAAAAAAAAACAAAAACAAAAAAAAAGGAAGTCAAACTCTGTTACCATTTTAAATTGTTTAAAGCTGAGTAATTCAACAAATGTCATTCTTTCTTGAAAACATAAAGGATTATTTTAGCGTGTTGAGTACTTTTCTGTGCCATGTTACAATGTCTGTATAAATATATGTGTATATATATTGCTCGTGTATATATGTATTATGTACATGTTGATGTATTTTTTTTTCTTCTTTTCTTTCACTTGTTCTCTCAGCGTGAAACGTGTGTCAATTCTCCCCTCCCGCTTGACCACATTGACTGTCTAAACTGCAAAAGTCTCTTGGGGATAAAAAAAAAAAAAAAAGGAAAGAAATAAAAAAAAAAAAAATTCTCCCTTTTTCACGGATTTGTTTTTTTCATCATATATATATACGAATTCGACGAATCTCAAAAACATGTTTTTGAACATCTCCTATAAACCTCTTTCATGAAAACGATATATAATCCAATTTGTAAAAATGAGAGAATTGTTTTATGCTTTCTTCTTATCTATTTTCCCTTCATAAACTTTAACTGACATTTAAATATAAAACTTCCTAATCTGCTGATAAAGGAAAAGTGGTAATAATTTATCTACAAAAATGGTTCTCTATAATTTAATGTTTTTACATTTGTATTATTTCCTCTGGTATGATTTCTCTCCTGTTTTTTTTTTTTTTTTTTTGTGTGTATGTATTTTTTGTATATTTTTTGTGCAATTTATTATTCCATTATTTCTTCTCCTATTTCATCTACGAATTCTAGGAATGCATTTTCTACGGCATTTTTTAAAAAAATAGAAACATGAAATACGTTTGTTGTTGTATAAGGCATGGTAATTTTCTTAATCTGTTCCTAATCCACTGGTAGCTAAAATGGAGAATAATATGATAAGAAACAAACGGCTTGTCTTCCTTTTTTTTCGTTTCTTTTCGTTTCGTTTCTTTTCGTTTCGTTTCTTTTCGTTTCATTTCATTTTGTTTCGTTTTTTTTTTTTTTTTTTTCATCTCATTTTAACCATCTCGTGTAGTTCAGATCTCTCGTTTTTCGCATATACATAACATATATATGTGCAGTTCATACATTTACACATATCCGTACGGTTACATGCAAGAGTAATCATCCATAAAATTACTTGCTTTCGATTCAAAATGACGAAAAAAAAAAAAAAAAAAAATTAATCTTTTATATTCTCACCTGTCTCATTATCAACACCTTTCGCTGAGACATCAGGCAAACGTTGATCTTGTGATCCTGTGTCGAGGTGAGTCACTATGACTTCTGGAATTACAGTTTGTGCTTTCACATTAAAAGGACTCTGCGTTTCATTCTCTTCTACTGGATTAAATAATTCTTTGAATTCTTCAGTCACATCTTCACCTCCAGATTTTCTATGTTTCCTTATTCCATATCCAACTCCACCAATTATTCCCCCTAAAGCAAGTACTGTTGCCAAAACTAAGGACCCAATGATAAAATTTTTCTTATTCATAGACGCTTTGATTTTAGATTTTATATCCAAATCTTCCTTTATAACTTTATTATTTATAGATGTCGCAACAACTTTTTCAAATCCTAGGAAGCAAACGATCGATAAAATAACAAACAGAACAGAGAACTTTATAACCTTCATTTTTATTTACAAAGGTACGTTTTTGTGTTGTGTTGATCTTTATGTAGAAGAGCTTTCTTGCAAGCGTTGTATATATGTATGTTTATTTATTTATATTTGCAAGGCAACAATATAAAACTTGTTATAGCCAAAGTGAATTCCTATGGACAAATCAAATAATGAGTGTTAATCCCTTCTGCGTGCTTGTATTCTTGTGTACAAAAACTGTTGCAAAAAAAAAAAAAAAAAACAAAAAAAAAATCTCAAGAATTCAGGGAAAAGAGCGGATCGGACGATTACGTGCTTGTTTGCTAAGCAGCGGGGAGGGGTTGACGACGAAAATTGAATGAGCTTAATATATATGTTGTTTGTGATGAATAAAACTGATCAAAAAGTGAACAACGTGAAACAATGTGGAAAAACAGAGTGAACAAAAAATGAAAATAAAATTAAGTATATAAATAAAGTTATTTTAATTTCTTCTTATATCAATTAATCTGGTTTAATCTGGTTTAATTTGGTTTAAATTTTCAATGTATATATATTTTTTTTTTTTTTTTTTTTTTTTTCCATTTACATTTTTAAATTTTTTTAAAAAAAAAAACATATTTAAAATTGCAAATTAAAAAAGAAAGAAAAAAAAATGCAGACACAACCAAGTGGCACAATCTGAAAAAAACCCCAATGGTGTGCATGCTGCGGGGCTATTATATTAAAAACCACAAGTGTCCCTTAATGAAAAGAAAGAAAAACAACATGCACGAATTTTCTTTAATATGACAGAGAAAGTCCCCAAAGGAGGTTTTAATATTTTTTTGAATTGGGAGGTGAGGGATATGTGTGTATCAAATGAGACCACATATTCGAGTGCAGAATAAACCAGTGTGCATATAAAAAAATCTCTCAACAGATTGTCCCCATTTGTATACAAATGATGTAGAGCTCCTGTGGAAGCACTAGAACGTGGGAAGCCTTCCAATTTTTTCAAGTGTCATGCAGTTTTTCATGCATGCACATTTGACTAATGTACACAATAAGTAATGTCTACTTTGCTAAAAAGACAGGTACATAAGGGGATATTTATGTCCCTTTTTGTGTCCTCAGATGTGCCCTTTTTGTGTCCTCAGATGTGCCCTTTTTGTGTCCTCAGATGTGCCCTTTTTGTGTCCTCAGATGTGCCCTTTTTTGTGACCCTTTTTTATGTATTTGTTTTTATTCTTTTATTTTTTCCCACCCATTTTGCATGCACGTTCAGGTAAATTTCAGGCCATTACACTCACTTCCCCCCAAACTAACGTAAAAAATTTTCTTCATTCTTTTTTTTAATTTAGCTACTGTGCCACAAAGACATTCATTATTACAATGCATACATTGCCAAATTGCATGTATCCTTTGAGTATTCCTTTTTCTCCTTCATGTATTTGTGCCCATGCAAGAAATGCATCATTGCATTTTACACGCACATTTGTCACACAAGTGACTAGCTTCTTTTTTTTTTTTTTTTTTTTTTTTTTCCAGTGGCTAATCGCAGTTGCATTATAAGAACATTTTATCCCCTCTTAAACATGCAATATTATTCAATTGGGCTTATGATCTTTTCGGAGAGCGCATAAACATTTGTTGTTGTTCATGTTTCCATTCCCCATTTTAAGGCATTTGGCCCCATTTTACAGAAAGAGGAGGCGAAGGGAAATGCTCAGGAAATAGTAGAAAAAGCCTGAACATATATGCATGTTCATAATATATATACAATTAATATAAGTTAACGATGGTCATACTGAAATTGCATTGGGGAAGGGAGGAGGCACAAAAGAAATTCATCACAAAAAAGTACACTGCGTTAATAAAGGCCCCTTATTAAAACAAGTTCCTCACGCAAATATGCAGCCTGACGAAGCGCAAAAATTGTCACAGTCATTTTCACAGTCATTTTTGCAGTCATTTTTGCAGTCATTTTCACAGTCATTTTCACAGTCATTTTTGCAGTCATTTTCACAGTCATTTTTGCAGTCATTTTCACAGTCATTTTCACAGTCACTTTCTCTGTCACTGCCACATGTATATATGCATGCACTGCCATATTCCCATGTACAGACTTCAAAAAAAAAAAAAAAAAAAAAAAAAAATGCACAAGGGGGTGTGAAAAAAGAACTCATTCCATATTAACCCAAATCATCACCCTTATCATTATAATTTATTTATATATATGTACATATATATGGATTTTAAAACTTATGTTTTCACCCTATTATATATCACCCACATGCTACATAGCCCAAGAGGAAAAGCCTCTACCCCCACCCCTTATTCCAATTTACATGCGCTTAGTCACCAATGTTAAGCCAAGCACGTTCAAGAATCATCTCATGAGTTTACATGCAGGTTCTCCTTCGTGAGTAAAAGTTTTTATTACCTCTCTCCACCTGTGCTATGTTCTGCTTCACCATGAAAAGTTCCTGTTACACTTCTCACCTGTGTTACATGTTAACACACGAGCAAAAATTGACACCTCCCTCTGCCATGTAACTACTAATGGTGTTTTTGCAAGGATAGAGACTATCTTAAGAATCTACCTTGTCCCAAAGGAGGGTGAGGGAGGGCGGCATGAAAAGAAAAAAAAAATGAAATCAATTTGTGTACAAATTGAATTCTTTACTTTTCCCTCACATCTCGCATATTGGTGCAAAATTAAGCAACATTTTTTGTATAAACACTTCTCTGAATATGGGTAACCACCGCTCTCTCCGTGTAAGACATTTCGAAATGAGAAATTTAGCAATTGGGGACAAACTAATAAGAAAAATAAAGAATTCGCAAAGGTATTTGCAAGTAAAAAATTCGCAAAAGTATTAGCAAATAAAGGATACCAAAAGTGTGGCAAAATTTTCAAAAAGTTGAAAAAAATCAGAATGGGCAGACACTTCTCTCCATCTCCATCTTTTCTCTATCCATTAATTTTTTTTTTTTTCCCTCCCCCCTCACTACATGACATACAAAATATAACAAAATAGTAACTCAAAGGAAAATTTTCGTAAAATGCTCTTCTCCTCTTATGTAAAACATTGCACACACGAGTGTAAAACACGGGTTTAGTACTTTTCCAGTACTTTCAAATAAAGAGACCACTTTAATATTTTTATCATTTTGTCTAGACGTTCTTCCCATGGAATTTTCCCCCCAATATATCTACACTTTCTCAATGCTAATTACGTTCAAAATATGAACCAAAAAAAAAAAAAAAAAAAAAAAATTCATCGCAATGTTTAACAACATAAAGATGTAACAATTTTCACAATGTTCCAAACAACCTCTAAAGGGATATGATATGCACAAATATTAATTTATATATACGTACACACACACACACACACGTCAGCTCGTTACCAATTATGTACATGTTGCAAATGAAGATAAGTAGAGAGAAATCCTTGAGATCATTTTTCTCATAAAATCAAAAAACCTATTTTTTGCACATTTTTCTCATTTTCAAATTAAGAAAAAAAAATAAGACAACATATAAAAAAAAAAAAAAAAAAAAAAAGCTTCCACAAAGGTTTTCCTCATAAAAAAAAGCTTCCACAAAGATTTTCCTCAAAAAAAAAAGCTTCCACAAAGGTTTTCCTCAAAAGAAAAGCATTTTCGCATGAACAAAAAATTCTTAAAAAAGAAAAAATGTTCAACACCCGCCCCCCTCCCCTATCCCCATTGATCCATTTCCGTATGAATACATTTTTCTCCCTTTAAGCAAAAATATACCACCTGTATGTAATGAATAGGTACGCTCGTGATTATTACACTAGATCTCATGCACACATTCCTTTTTGCGTATCAAGCATGTGTAAAATTAGTTCTCCTTTATCTCTTATCTTTATTCTTCGACATACTAATTTAATAAAGAAATATTCAAACGCTTAAGAAGGAAAGAGGTACAGGCGATATAATTCACTTTGCTTTTTCGCCGTTTCACTTTTTCGTCGTTTCACATTTTCGCCGTTTCACTTTTTCGTCGTTTCACTTTTTCGCCGTTTCACTTTTTCGTCGTTTCACATTTTCGCCGTTTCACTTTTTCGTCGTTTCACTTTTTCGCCGTTTCACTTTTTCGTCGTTCACTTTTTCGTCGTTTCACTTTTCGTCGTTTCACTTTTTCGTCGTTTCACTTTTTCGTCGTTTCACTTTTTCGTCGTTTCACTTTTTCACCATTTAAGTTTTTTTTTTTTTTTTTTTTTTTTTTTTTTTTTTTTTTTTTTTCCTTCCTTGAGCGAGAAAAGAAGAAACTGCAGTCTCGTTTTTGATTATCACCCACGGCCCTCGAGAGACTTCTCTCTCTCTGCCTTTTTAAGATCCATACGCTATTCAGAAAATACCACAATTTTTAAAGTAAATTAAATTATTTCCTAAGAGGGCATAAAAATATGTAAACTCTTGTAGGATGAAAAATAAAATAAGCATATATTATAAGCATCGCCTTCCCATATCACCCCACCCCACCCACTTAAACTGTTTCGAGCCTATCAACCCTACATGGAAAATTCCTCACCATAAGAAAAAACCAAAACCGTTAAATTTTAGTACATAAAACAGAATGAAATGGCTGAGGGATGAAGATGCATTTCTCTTCATGCTAATTTTTGTCCACCATGTATCTTTACACATTTTTACCATAAGCATAATATCTCATGCACATGTTTACAAAATATAAAAAAAAAAAAAAAAAAAAAAAAAAAGACTAATTTTAAATCCGCTACAAAAAAATAACATTCCAAAGGAATGCTCATTATAAAAAAAAAAAAAAAAAAAAAAAAAAAAATCACAAGTGCTTATGTACATCACTAATAAAACTTCTCAATCTTTAATCCTTCAACAAGCACTAAATGAAAGGAAAAACTACATACAAAAGGGACTGTGTCACCATATTACATAATTTTCTCAACCGAAACGGAGATATAATTAAACCTCAAAATGGTTTAAACTGAACATTTGAAATTTTACTCTCTCATGTATATATCTGCTTATATATAAGCTCTTTACAGTGAACGAATAAAATTTGTCTCACTTCATACAAATGGGTACATTTTCTGTCACTTCAGAGAGAGGATCCTACGATTAGCCATTCCCTGTGAGAAGTCACCTCCACTTCAGTCCACCCACGTCACTCCACTCGCTTCACTCCACTCACTTCACTCCACTCGCTTCACTCCACCCACGTCACTCCACTCACTTCACTCCACTCCTCCCAAAATGGAGAGCATGCAAAAGTGCCCCTTCACCAGCGTCATCCCATATGGGATGATTCTTTGCGAAAAAATGAAGAAAGAGAAAAACGGACAAGATCCAGAAAATGTAATAATTGAAGAGTTCGATAAACTTCTAAGCACATACGAAAGACCTAATCCATATGATGAAAAGGGAACCGTACAATTCAGCAATCAAAGGGATTTGATTCTTTTCCAAATAGACATAGAATACACAGTAGATAACATTTTCAGAAACATGGTGTTCACCAATGAAAACACTCAAAATGGAAATACTTTAAGCAACATTTTTGCACCATATCGAAAGTTACTTCAAAATAAAGAGAAAAGTTACGTGTCAGTTCCAGTGATTAGAATTTACACTGTTACAAATGATGGATACAGTGTCCTTCTGAATGTACATAACTTTTTCCCATATTTCTACGTTGAAAAACCAAGCAATTTTGAAGAAGAAGATTTAATAAAATTAGAAACAATGATGAATGATAATTTGAATTCTAATAGTCAATACAAAATGTATGAAAAGAAAATTTTAAACATTGAAATTATTCAAACGGAAAGTTTAATGTATTACAAACGGTGCGGGAAAAGAGATTTTTTAAAAATCACTGTTTTATTACCTAAAATGGTTCCAACATTGAAAAAATTTTTTGAAAATGTTGTTAATGTAAATGACAAAAATATTGGAGGTATTGTTTATGAAGCTAATTTACCATTCATACTTCGATACATAATAGATGAGAAAATTACAGGTTCTTCTTGGATTATGTGCAAAAAAGATCATTTTCACATTAGACCTAGAAATAAAAAAATATCCAACTGTTCCTTCGAAATTGATATATCATATGAACACATAGAACCAATGAGCTTAGAAAATGAATTTCAACAAATTCCTAAATTAAGAATTCTTTCGTTCGATATTGAATGTATTAAATTAGATGGAAAAGGATTCCCAGAAGCTAAAAATGATCCCATTATACAAATTTCATCCATTTTGTATTTTCAAGGAGATCCAATTGAAAAATGTTCTAAATTTATATTTACACTAAAAGAATGTGCTAGTATACCAGGTTCTAATGTCATCTGGTTTGATCAGGAAAAAACAATGCTAGATGCATGGAGTGAATTTATCACAAGATTAGATCCAGATTTTCTAACTGGATACAACATTATCAATTTCGATTTGCCATACATATTAAATAGAGGAACTGCTCTAAATTCTAAAAAACTAAAATTACTTGGAAGAATCAAAAATATCAATAGTGTTGTCAAGGAATCTAGCTTTTCATCAAAACAGTTTGGGACACATGAAACGAAAGAAATTAACATTAATGGAAGAATACAATTTGATGTCTATGATTTAATAAAAAGAGATTATAAACTAAAATCATACACATTAAATTATGTCTCCTTTGAATTCTTAAAAGAACAGAAAGAAGATGTTCACTACAGCATTATGAATGATTTACAAAACGAGAGTCCAGAATCCAGAAAAAGAATTGCCACCTATTGTATAAAAGATGCTGTACTACCACTCAGACTCATAGATAAACTTCTATTTATTTACAATTATGTCGAAATGGCAAGAGTTACAGGAACTCCATTTGTCTACCTATTAACAAGAGGACAACAAATCAAAGTTACCTCGCAGCTTTATCGAAAATGCAAAGATTTGAATTATGTTATTCCAAGTACATATATCAAAACCAATACAAATGAAAAATATGAAGGAGCTACTGTTTTAGAACCCATAAAAGGCTATTACATAGAACCCATTTCGACCCTCGATTTTGCATCTCTTTACCCATCTATCATGATAGCCCACAATCTTTGCTATTCTACTCTGATCAAAAATAACAATGAAATGGAAGGACTAAATCCACAAGATATAACAACTATTCAGGGAAAGGGAAATATCAAATTTGTCAAAAGAAATGTCAAAAAAGGAATACTTCCACTCATAGTAGAAGAATTAATAGAAGCAAGAAAAAAAGTTAAAATGTTAATAAAAAATGAACAAAGTCCAATAACTAAAATGGTTCTAAATGGAAGACAATTAGCACTTAAAATATCTGCAAATTCAGTGTATGGATATACTGGAGCTGCATCTGGAGGACAACTCCCATGTCTAGAAGTAGCAACTTCTATTACAACCTTAGGAAGACGTATGATTGATAAAACAAAAGAAACTGTTGAAAATTACTACAGCAAGAGTAATGGATTTGAGTTCAATGCAACAGTTGTGTATGGAGACACAGATTCTGTGATGGTAAAATTTGGAACCAACAGCATCGAAGAAGCAATGAGATTAGGAAAAGATGCAGCAGAAAGAATAAGCAAAGAATTTTTATCTCCAATAAAATTAGAGTTTGAAAAAGTATATTGTCCATATTTACTATTAAATAAAAAAAGATATGCAGGATTGTTATATACAAACCCAGAGAAACATGACAAAATGGATTGCAAAGGTATCGAAACGGTCAGAAGAGATTTCTGTATCTTGATTCAACAAATGATGGAAACCATTTTAAATAAATTACTTATCGAAAAAAATCTGAACAGTGCTATTGAATATACCAAAAGTAAAATAAAACAATTACTTACCAATAACATTGATATGAGTCTCCTTGTTGTTACAAAATCTTTAGGAAAAACAGATTATGAAACAAGATTACCCCATGTCGAATTAGCAAAAAAATTAAAACAACGGGACAGTGCAACAGCTCCAAATGTTGGAGATCGAGTTAGTTATATAATTGTTAAAGGAGTAAAGGGACAAGCACAATATGAAAGGGCAGAAGATCCACTATATGTATTAGATAATAACTTAGCCATAGATTACAATCATTATTTAGATGCAATTAAAAATACCTTATCCAGAATTTTTGAAGTTATAATGCAAAATTCAGATTCCCTCTTTTGTGGGGAACATACAAGACACAAAACCATTTTAACATCTAGTCAAACGGCTCTTTCCAAATTTTTGCAAAAAGCTGTTAGATGTATCGGTTGTAATAGTTCCATTAAAAAACCACCACTATGTAGCCATTGTAAAGCAAATAAAGAATTTTCTATATATATGAATAAAATGAAAAACTTCAAAAATAAACAAAATGAATTCTTTCAACTCTGGACTGAATGTCAGCGTTGTCAGGGAAACCTCCATGTCGAGGTCATATGCATGAATAGAGATTGTCCCATTTTTTATAGAAGAGCCAAGATTAAGAAAGATATGTCCAATATTCAGGAGCAGATAAGTACATTGCGGGCAGATTGGTGAAATGTATTGGAATGTAAATTTTTGTTTCTTCATACAAAATGCTCTTCAGAGGGCAATTCAGAATTTTCAAAAAAAAAAGAAATATGTTTAAATGGGCATTTACTTTTTCCCTTCGCTTCGTCCATTCGCTGGAATGTCCTATTACCCAAGCATTTCACGTCTATGCACATATAGATTCGTGCTGTGTAAATATATATATCCACAAAAAAAAAAAAAAAAAAAAAAAAACACATACACACGAATGTGCATGAAAAGGTAGACTTCCCATTTTGCTTTTAAAAAGAAGAATCCCTTTCCATCCATAAACTCGCATCGATATCCATGCCCATATCTCTTTTTTTACCCCCACCCCTCACCCCTAAGAGGACCTTCAACTAGGTATGCATACATTGTACCATTTCACAGGTGAGCCGATTTTACTATCATTTTTGCCATCATTTTTGCCATCATTTTTGCCATCATTTTTGCCATCATTTTTGCCATCATTTTTGCCATCATTTTTGCCATCATTTTTGCCATCATTTTTGCCATCATTTTTGCCATCATTTTTGCCATCATTTTTACTATCATTTTTTCCATTTTTTCCATTTTTTTCATTTTTTTCAATTTTTTAAGTTGGTTTTTGCGTACATACATCAACACGCTCATGCATAGAACGCGGGAATAGCCATGCATGTTATATGAAAATCGGTTCCTACAAATGCACATGTGCACACCTGTGAACTCCAAATCAATGTCGAAACACTAAATTTTAAAAAAAATAAAACAAGGACGAAAGTGAAAACTAGAGGATTCGTCTGCTTTTAAATTAGCACTATCTTTTTTTCAAAAAGTACGACGCAACGGTCGCAAGTTTTCCTCGACAAGTAAGAGGTCAACAAATGGGCATAAAAAAATAAAAAAAAAATAATAAAAAATAAAAACATTTTTTTTTTTTTTTTTTTTTTTTTTTTTTGTCTATACTTCTCCACAGAAGAAACTAACTTCCCTCCTCTGTCAAATCCGCAACATTCTCGAAATTTCCCGTTCTCTCGTTCGAAGTGTCGGTTATTTCATTCTCCATTTCTTGCATATCCATCTTTTGAATATCATTTTCATTTTGCTGCACATTTTGATTAACGTCAAAGACATTGTCTATCTTAAGTATATTGGTACATGCTAAAGGAATTCCACCAACGCACATTTTTTGAAATAAAAAAAAAATAGATATTTTGGGATTGTGTCTATCCGCTTCCATTACTATTTTTTTATCTCCATCATCTTTCAATACTTGGAAATTTGATGTATCATCATTTTCATAAGACTCACCTGATATCTGTGCATATAAATGTGGATCTTTCTTTTTCAATTGTTGTATTTCTTTAAACAAAGGAGTCATTTTGCAAAATGTTTTAAAATAATCACTCTTGATAACGACATATTCACACAAAGATTTTGCACTTTGGAATGCATCTTCTGGGATTACCACATCGCTCAAAATTTCGTTATCTCTTTTCTCATTTTCTACCATGTATGAATCCTTCGTTGAAACAAAGTTTTGTAAATTTTCATCATTTTTTTTATACACATTTGCATTTTTCTCTTCCTTCCCTTGAACTTCAGTTATCTGCGTTCCATGTGTGTGTTCACCTGTTCCACCACCATTAGTAACATTTCCATATGTCTTACTCTTTTCTTTACATGCATTTTTTATCTCATTCTTACTCCCTTTATTATTTCCTATGCTTTCTGACTCTCCTTGAACCCTTAAACTTATGTTATTCCCTTCAATTTTTTGTTTCCTCAGTGTGAATACCCCAATCCTAGTAATCAGAAAGTACCCATAAAAAAATAGTACCAACTTGTTAAGCTTTCTCATTCTTAGGCTGAGATGTTTTTTTTTTTTTTTTTTTTAAGTTCTCTTCTTAATTTTGGCACTTTTCAGATTTTGTTGTTTCTTCGTTTCTACTGATGGAAGTGTTCTTCTTTACTTCTATTCACTGGGATGAAAAAAAAAAAAAAAAAAAATGCTCAGCACAAAGAAAGAAACACCAAAAGAAAAGAATACAAATGTCCAGACGTAAATGTTAGGCAGACGTAAACACACACTACACACTATGACCAGAGTACGGTTTACGCTGCAACAAGGATGTGTTTTCAAAAATCAGAACAACAAACAACGATCAGTTTTGGAAAATAGGAAAAATCTATGTTCTAAAAAATACAGGGAAATTAACTACTTATTCGTGAAACCCACCAATATGGTAAAAGAAAAAAAAATAAAATAAAATAAAAAAAAAAAAAATATATTCATCGCACCTTCTTGCATATTCCCAAACTGAAATAAATAAACAATAGAAAAAATAAATTCCATTTTATTAATAATTGAATATACTTTTCACCAAAATATTTTTAAGAACTAATTTATCAAAATATCTTTTACCCTTTTATTACTTATTGTTATTTTCTTCTTTTTTTTTTTTTTTTTTTTTTTTTTTTTTAGCTTTTATCTCTTATCAACTATTGCTACGATATGTCTGCTCTCCCTTCCCAAAACATGTACTATTCGCTTTATGTAAATTCTTTTTTCATGGTAGTTAATGTTCCTTCAAGAGAGGGAAGGTGATGAGAGAATTTTAAAAAGTGATACAATTTCTCTATGTCTATTAATACAAACACATGGTGATTACATCATCATACTTCACAGTGGGAAGGAAAAATTTGTTGTAAAGGCTTTAATACACACACAAACATAAAGAGAGGGAGAGAGAGAGAAACAACTTTAATTGGGATCTCTCATATCACATTATCACAATTTCGTACCATTCGTATGCTACATAGGTTACACATATTGTATGTAGGCCCCACTGTTTATGCATCGTTATTTTTTTTTTTCTTTTTTTTTTTTCCTTTTCTTCATCTCACACACTTGAAAAATCGGTTGAAGTGGTTCCTCTCATTATGAATTTACCCCTTTTCTCCATCCCTCAATAGGATGTTCCAAAAAAAAAAAAAAAAAAAAAAAAAAAGTCGTAAGATTTTCCAAAATGCATGAACAGGTCATAAAATTTTCCAAAATGCATGAACAGGCCATAAAATTTTCCAAAAAGCCTGGACACGTCATAAAATTTCCCAAACAATTAGAACACCTAACTCTTCTCTATTTATCAGTGATTAAGTCATCATGGAAAAAGGAGAAAACTTGTCGCCCTGCTTGTGGAACCGAAAATTGTATTTCCTCATCCCAGGGGAAAGGGGATACGCTTTTAAATAGCCTTTTTCATGAAAACAAAAAAAAAAAATACTTGTGACAAAATTTTTGCAAAAGGGTGTATTTTTCCCACAGCAGCAATGAGAAGCCCTGAAATGGGTCATTATAAAAAAAAAAAAAAAAAAAAAATGGCAATTTTGATAAGGGCAAAACTGTTATAAAAAATATGAAAACGTAAAAATATAAAAATTAGTAGATTAGTAAATAGCAAATTAGTGAATAGCAAATTAGTGAATAGCATATTAGTGAATAGCATATTAGTGAATAGCAAATTAGTGAATAGCAAATTAGTGAATAGCAAATTAGTGAATAGCATATTAGTGAATAGCATATTAGTGAATAGCAAATTAGTGAATAGCATATTAGTGAATAGCAAATTAGTAAATTTGCAAAAGCACACTCTATACTTGCTGTGGCACAAAAGTGTGTTAAGGCTAGCTCCCACAATAATACACGCTTTCACAATTAAGCTGAAAAAAGCACTCAGTTTGGGCAAACTTGCTACATAAGCTGCATTATGAAGAGGAGGAATAAGGAAGGACTCTTGTAGCAAGCCACAAAATGTGCAAAGCATAAAAAAAAAAGTAGTAGGTTCACAACTATGGAGAACCACAAGTTGAGTGAGGGAAAAAATGCTGTATCATAAGTTTAAACACCTCTCCAATGGGAAATCAGATTGGCATTTTCAAACATATATCAAATGGTTTATCCATCGTTCAGACAGGAAACTCATCAGAACCACTATTTTTAAGGATGATGATATTTATTTAGATCCTCTAGAAATACACAATGAAGAACGGAACAAAACAAATTACCTGAACAGTTCAGACATGGAAAAAGGTGTATTTAACAGGAACAACGTAGGAATGAATGTAATTCTAATTAACAACAAATACATGGACATAAAATTTATTAATCAGCTATATAAAGAATTAAGAGAAGGAGAAATAAATTTTACAAAAAGATTTACATTCCTTACATCGCTACATAATGATGTGTTTAATTATGGATATAATTTATACGATTTGTTAAAAATAATAGAAGTGTATCAAAAGACTAAAAATAAGAAATATGCACATGTTGTGAAAAAAATTATGCACAATATTAATGACTTAAGTTACTTAATATTTTCTTATAGGAAACCACTAATATCATACTGCAATGGTATAATAAAAGGTTCTGCTGGGTTCTTACCATTTCTGGCAAATAATAGTGCATCTTATTTTCATTCCACTTTTGCATATAACAATTTGAAGTATTCTTTTTTACCATATGGTGGCATTTCATACATACTGTCCAATTTAAGAGGATCTATTGGATTTTATTTAGCCTTAACAGGGAAAGAAATAAAATCTTCAGATTTAATTTGGTGTGGTTTAACAAAAAGATGGATTTCAGAAGACTGTCTAGAATTAATGGAACTCACATCTGGATCTCAGTTAGAGGTATCTGAACAAGATGCTAACTTCCTCTTGAGTGAGCATTTTTTAAAAGTTCCTCAAATTTATACATTAAAAAATTATGAAGAAATAATTCATGACCATTTTAGGTATCCCACTTTATTACAAATTGTTAGTAAGCTAGATGCAACCAGAAAGCGAACAGATGGTCATAAACATATTCAGTTGTGGGCTGAGAACACATATCAACAAATCTGTGCACAACCATCGCTAGCTATACATATAACATTCGAAATAATGAATATTTTAAGAAATTTTAAAATGGAATTATTAAAAAAAGCACAAGTTACAAAAAATTTATACAAAGAAATGATACAAAATAGTTATAAAATTACATCAACCACAAGAGAAGAACTAAGCTTATCTGAACTCAAATATGCAATTGATTCGGAACTTTTTGTAAAAGCATTAAACCTTGAAACGAATGCTCTAGTGAACTTTATTACATGTCCAGATGTCCTTAATGGAATAACTTCCTATCTAGTTAAGGATACGGAACAATCATTCAAATGTAGCTATCTAAACAATACTGTTTTTGAAACAAAGAAAGATATTATACACTATTTCCTTTTTTATAAAAATTCTTATGAATACATCATAAATGATAGACCAGATATAAGTTTTTCCAGTTTGGCTGTTTTGGATAAATCCAATCAGCACTACAGCTCCCACGATCGTCAATTTTATGCACAAGAGGTAAGTGCATCCTCCAACACTGTGTAATAGTGAAGAATAACATAATGGGTTCATTTGAACAAATGAATCAGGGTTGCATGGTTTTAATCTATTTCATTCTTGTATCATATAGTCTCTCTAGCTACCACCAAAATGTATAGGCTTCTCCTTACTTCTTACATTACAACCATCAGAAATGCATTCATCTTTTTTCACGATATTTCATTTTTTTTTTTTTTTTTTTTTTTTTTTTTTTTTTTTTTTTTTCCTTCCCCCTTCCCTTTTTTTTTGACTTCCCTTTTATTTAGAGAAAACGATGGAGTGATAATTATCTGAAGGAAGAATTGGACGAAATTAACAGTCTTGCCATATGACAACATTCTCCTTTTTTTTTTTTTTTTTTTTTTTTTTTTGTTTTCCATATTTTTTTCATATTTTCATCACGGAATATACAAATGCTTGTGACGAAATCTTCATTTCTCTCCAAAAGAGGACGAAAAATGTCCCTCAGTCGTATGTAAAATCACACCAAATTTGACAAAACAAGTATATATATTTTTAAAAACAGTTTACGGGTTCTTATTTAGAGAAGGGGTTGCTTTGTTAGAAGCAGCATAATGAGGCGCGACATGATGGGACACGACATGATGAGACACGACATGATGAGACACGACATGATGAGACACGACATGATGGGACTCAACATGATGAGCAGATAAGCAGAGTAACACCAAATTAATTCACATGTCATTTCATCGCAATCAAATAAAGAGACAATTATGATAATAAAAATACATATAAAGAGGATATCCCATAAGACAAGTTAGAATTGTCTCTTTCGACATTTATGTACTAACACTGTACTTGGGAAAAAAGGTAAGTATTTTTTTTTTCCTTTTTTAATATAAAACTGATAACACTGTTTTCCAGGGTGGAGACGGAGTGAAGAAGAAAAAGAAGACGATGTATATAAGTTCCTCTCTCGCTTCTTCTGATCTCGTCATTTTTATATGACAACAGAGAATGACAAAAATGAAATGTAAACAAATACAAATATGGTGAGTGCGTGGATGGATGTATAAATAAATGTTAGTGATCCACTTAGAGATCGCAAAGAAGAACTCGAAAAATTGTGCGTGCTGAGAAAAAGAGAGGAAGGAATAACAGCACAAGGTTACACTCTCCATATAACAGATTCATCACATCCCGTAGGGAGAGACACAATGGACGAATAATTTATCTCTCAGATTAAGTTCATGTGGCTGATAGACGATTGATACATATATATATATATATATATATATATATATATATATACATATGCATGATGCAAAGGAGAGACTGAACTGACATTTCACAAACAAACAAAAAAGACGCCTTCCCAGTGGGCGTCCTTCTCTACCTATCTATCTCACTTGAAGTATGTTATTCAATTTCACTTGGTATGCTTGATTCCTCATTTCATATACATCTAGTATAAGTTTTTTCCCTCGATAGCTACATTCTCCTGACCATCAGAGTAGTCATATTTTTCTGTAGATAACTTAACATTCGAAGGACACATGCTTTGCATCCATCTTAATTTTATCTCATTCAAAATTTTATTATTTTCATTCATGCATTCGTATATTTCTATCATTTCTTTGCTATAAGTTTTCATGTTTTTCACGTATTCGGCATATTTTTCACCTGACCTGGACCACCAACCATTCGAATTTTCACAGATGTGAATTGGGGATGATTCATTTGGCATGGGCTTTTGAGGTGGTTCCCACTCTTGTGACATTCTCGTGATGTTCCATTTTTGATTACTGTGCTTCTTCTTAGACTCGACAGACGAGTTAGAAAGAGAACCTTCTGAATTCCTTCTTGCCTCTACTTCTATCGTAGAACTTAAAATGTAACTCTTTTCATTATTCCACATTTCCTTGTCAACATGACTATCACAGGGATGGCTAGCTACTGGATCAGGTGCACTAACTATCGGGTCAACATTGCTTCTGACACTCCCCTCTCTAAAATAGTGAGTGTTCAGTCTTCTATAATCAGCGACTTCAGGACTTCGTTCACTCATTTCATTCCTTTCAAAGGTAGCAGTAGTAGCAGTAGTAGCAGTAGTAGCAGTAGTAGCAGTAGCAGTAGTAGTAGTAGTACTACTTCTTTTCTCCCTCTGACATGCTAACTGTGTTGTATCTACACTGAAATGTGTCTTCTCATTGTTTATTACATCTTTTTTCAATGGCAAGGTGGTGATATGCATGGGTAGATTGGGTTCTATATTTTGACATTCCTCTTGAAGGGAAATAGATTCCTCACATTCACTACTTCTATTTAATACTTCTTTTTTTTTTGAAAGAGAAAGAGGGATTTTATCTGTATGTCTAGTTGAAACATGGCAACCTAGTAATCCATGTCTTGCCCATGTTACATCTAGTTGTATATTTACCTTTCTTATATTTTCACTTTTCACATTGTATACATAAAAAATGGATTGAAGTGGTTTATTTTTTTTCTTTTCATTATTCTGAATGAAGAAATTATATTCAATGAAATTCATTAATTCTTCGTAATTTCTCAATATGTTATCTTCATGTCCAATAATAAAATCATCTTTTTCTATTAATCTTCTTTTAATTTCTGAATATTTATCATCTATTTTTAAAATTTGAATACCCTCATTCATTGCATTTATCAATTCATAACTTATATTCATACCTAAAAGTCCATTTCCCTTCCATTTCCTTGGCTTTATATGTACCTCTTTCAATATATCATATCTGCAATTATACACTACTAGACGTAATACCTTATCTTCCTTTTCCTTTACCTTCTGCATGAATATATCATACGTTTTTCTCGTTGCATCTACCAGCTTTATTTCTTCAATTTGGACAATATAGTCGAAGAATATCTCCACTTCACATTTGGAAGCAGGGCCATCGGGGCAAATACGAACGATTCGGTAGCCTAAGAGGGGAAGAAGTTTGGGAGAAAAGATGTTATAAATATTTAAGAAATTGTGACAAATTGTATATTAGACAGGACTAACAAAATGAATGACTATAATGGTGATGATTAAACGAAGAATTAAAAAAACAAAAAAAAAAAATCGGATCTGCACTTTATCTTGTAAACTAAGCACACACTTTGTCCTTTTTTCCATCACTTCATTTTTTCCATTTTTTTGCTACCTCTGCTAGCTCCTTTGGCTTGTCCGGCTCCCATACTGTTTCAATTTCTCGTACGTCAACATAAGTACCTGAACATGTACATGCACCTATACAACATTATGTGGATTCCCTTTTTTTATGACAAGACCGTTTGCACAAAAGGAAGAGAAAAAATTGACATGAATTTTTTTTCTTGAGTTGGAAGATGCTGAAGTCTTAAGGTCCAGCGTGGTGACGAACACGGTGCCCAGTCATACAAACACAGAATCGCGAGTGGATGAATGGGTGATCAGCTGAATAAATATTATTAGAAACAATCCGTTTTGTGATGGCACTATAACCACACACATGCACAAGCATGTGAGTTTAAGCGTTTGTAACAGTTTTTTTTTTTTTTTTTTTTTTTTTTTTTTTCCCCTGTCTAAAAAGTGACATTCATGGGCGTGCAAAAATGATTAACACGTATAAAAAATGCACAAAGGGGGAGAAATATGTACGTATGTATGTACGTATGTATGCATGTATGTATTCATGCATGTATAAACTGAACAAACGTTGTGCCAAGACGAAACAGGTGAACGGGGAAGGTGAAAAATGCATGTACCCCGAAGGGGACAAATAATGCGAAAAAATGAGAAAAAAAAAAAAAAAAAAAAAAACTAAAACTAAAATCAAATCAAATCAAAACTAAAACCAAAACCAAAACCAAAACTAAAACCCTCGTTCAATTGTTCATACCATACAACACATTTTGCATGAACAAATCGTGTCCCACAGATATAACATTCGATTTATGCTACTTGATGCAGAAAGGTCTTTGTCAAAACAGAACCAAAACAACAAAAAAAAAAAAATAATAAAAGAAAAGAAAAATTAAAAGCGGTTGAACTGGTTGAACTGGTTGAACTGGTTGAACTGGTTGAACTGGTTGAACTGGTTGAACTTGTAAAGTATATCGTTTTTTTAATTTCTTTTTAATTTCTTTTTAATTTCTTTTAATTTTTTTTTAATTTCTTTTAATTTCTTTTAATTTCTTTCTTTTTTTTTTTTTTTTTTTTAATTTACATGCACTCCACCGCTCCCCTACTTACTGAAAATATTTTCCTCTCAAATTTTTTCACACATTATAAATGCAGACAAATTGAAAATCAGTTCACTTGGCATATTATTCACTTGTGAAAAAGCATCAGATTAGAGTGAAAATAAATAAAAAAAAAAAAAAAAACGAGACATTCGAGGAGAAGAAGTAAATATTCTCCATCATGGAGATTCTCAAAAAAAAAAAAAAAAAAAAAAAAACAACTGCTTATCAGTAGAATATGACGTGCATAGGTGATATATATTTATATCAATCTTTACTTAAAAAAAAAAAAAAAAAAAAATCCCCAAATGGGTAAGCAACAGTGTAAAAAAATAAAATAAAAAAATAAAATAAAAAATGGAACAAAGGAAGAACAATAAAATAGTACAAATCAATTCATGGTCAGAACAGATTTATACTTTTACTACGCAAGAGCAATCACTTGTGTGCAGTACCTATTCATTTTCGATTCGATTCACTGACAAGCAGATAGCAACTCCATGACATCGATTCATTGTTCAAAGAAAGATACTTGAATTTTTTCCTTTTTTTTTTTCCAAGTGTAAATAAAAAGCAGCAAAAATGGGGGAAAAAAAAAAAAAAAAAATGGAATGGTTGTTAATTCACTCACTCTATCTACAAACACATAAAGAAAACTTCTATTTGAAGAGAAAAATAATATCCCCTTTTTTATTTGTCCAAAAATTCAATCAGAATTTTTTCAGTTTCTTGAGGACTTTGCACAGAAAAACCTCGCACTCTCTTGTCTTTATAAATTTCATAGTCGTTTTCTCCCTATTGAAAAAAGTGGAATGTTCATTCTTATTATCAATGTTCCAAATTGACATGCACACTAGGATGTAAATACCTTTACACTTACAAAAAAAAAAAAAAAAAAAAAAAAAAAAAGAGACTGTGAACACCACGCATGTACATAAAAAATATTTCACATGTTCAAGATGTCTGTCTCATACCTTCCCCGTTTTGTCACCAAAAAATAAAATCTCTCTGAACAACCCTTCTACATGTCTCAAACAAAATGTTTTATCCCACCCCTGTTGCACGGAAATAGTTGCACGGAAATTGTTGCACGGAAATTGTTTCATGGAAATTGTTGCAAAGAAGTGGAATGGCAAAAGTGTGCATAATATTTTATCTCTCTTAGGAAGGAGCGCTCCGATTTTTCAGCATGTCCACATAAACACACTCACGTGTCGCTGGAATTTCCCTCGAAGAGTGTGTACAAACATGCACACATGTATAACAAACACGTCTAATGGAATCGATGGACTCTGTCTCATCTCTATCTTCTCATTTGCACTACCGAAGGGAAACAATCTATAGATATCTGACCTCCAATAGAAAACGTCAAGCCAAATTGAGAAAATCTTTGCCATGAAAAAAAAAAATAAAATAAAAATAAAAAAAAAAAAAAAAATAACCACGTTTATGTGAAAAAGAGTACGTGCAAAACAGTGTGTTTATACACAAGGGTGAATAGTGCACTTTGGTATGTGACTCTTATATATATAAAGTATGCCCACACGTGTATACCTTCCCTTGTGTGTGTAAACTAAGATGTATGAACACTCTGAAGTATTTACTTGTGCATTAAGTCCAATCTAAATTTGTTAAGAATTCCATTCTCCGCGTTGTATGCACAAAATTCATCCCGTTCTTCTCGTGAACAATTTCTACCAATTGGACTGATGTTTATCAGCCCATTACGCAATTCGATGAACGTTCCTCTGGAATAGAGAGGAGAAAAGGTTTATATTTTTATATACACTTTGTTGGAATGACACAATGGAAAAAAAAAAAAAAAAAAAAAGGGAATAAAAAAAAGGGAATAAAAAAAAAAAAAAAAAAAAATGCTCAACTGGGAACCCCTCCAAGATGAGAAAAATACCTCTTCTTTGGAATACGCAATGTTGCTATATACACCAAGCAATAATTTACCAATTCTTGCATTTTTTCTTCACCTAAAAATTCTGTTATACTCTGTGTGTGAAGGAAAATGGTACATCATATATCATGCAAACGAGAGAATTAAAAAGGAAAAAAAAAAAAAAAAAAAAAAAAATGGACATGTGATGAGCTGAAACACGATACATTTCTCGTACAAAAACTTCCTCACAATGGACTTGCTCACAATAATTTCCTCCCAACAACAGTGACATGCATAATCTTTCTCTCACCTCTGCATAGAACTGTGTATTGTTCTTATGAGCTATCACGCCATTTTCTGAAAATATAAAATCGAATATTTCGGGGTCTTCAAAAAACGGATGGGAAAAAAAAAAAAAAAAAAAAAAAAAAAAAAAAACTCATGTTGGAAATCATAACAATGAAAGAAACATATGCTACTTTTTTTTTTTTTTTTTTTTTTTTTCCAGGTATACATATGTGTGCAATTTCGTTTCATATATGAATGCATGTGTGGGAATATATATCATTGATATTCTTCCCAATCAGTGTATTACACTCATTCACATCATCATGCATCTTCATAAATGTGTGTGTGTGTGTCTCTCCCTCCCGTGCTTACATATTATTTGTTCTATAATTTTCTTATAGTCTGATCCTCCAACGATTGCCAATGAATAGTCTCCCTTCAACTTAAGTTTCCTCAGTGTGTCAATCATACTTTGTTCAATTGGCTATGTGGGGAGAAAGGAGGGAAATTATTAAGTAACTGTGTTAGAAGTTGTGTCTGCAGTTGTGTCTGCAGTTGTGTCTGCAGGTGTGTCTGCAGTTGTGTCTGCAGTTGTGTCTGCAGTTGTGTCTACAGTTATGTCTGCAGTTATGTCTGCCGTTGTGTCTGCCGCTGCACCTGGTGAAGGAGGGGGAGAATTTTTTTTTCCTCAGTTTCAACCCGTTTCGCATGAACAGACAGGTAATTCATACCTCTCTGGGGTGTGTCAAGGTTCCATCCACGTCAAACAAAAAAAGAAGGTTCTTTTCTGAATTCATTCTCCTCCGTTTTCTTCATTTGGTTATGTTTCGAATAACCAGGTGATGTGTGAAAAGGAAGGAAAAAGTTTTTTTGCGAAATAAACTTTTGCAACTCAAAAGTTCAGTTTGAAGTGCGTTAGCATTTTTTTTTTTTTTTTTTTTTTTTGTTTTTCCTTCTCGTCCCTATTTTTACCCCTTCTGAGAAAAGGCGAGGAGTAGAAGAAAAGAGGAGGTATAGGTAAAGATAAAAATTACCCAAAGATATAAAGAAGAAGATCAAACTGATAGTGGGGAGAGTGAGGAAATTATTCAACGTGTCACTGTAATATCGATTACGAAGAATAAATGGACTTAGAATTAACTTATTCATGAACTGTGTGCATACTTAAATATACACAACTTTATCAGTCAACATTTTTATAGGCCTTCTCTTTCTCTCTCTCTTCCTCAGTCTATCAAAAAAGGGAATATGCTATACAAGAAACAGAACAAAATGAAAAAAAAAAAAAAAAAAAAAAAAAAAATTAACCATCCTCATCCTGTATTCACTAGAAAAATGCAGTAAATACACTAGTGTATGCAAATCTGAAAAAAAAAAAAAAAAAAAAAAAAATATTCTCCTAAAATAAGAAAAAAAACCTAACCTTGCTGAAAAAAACCTACTTTGTTTAGAACGCACATCATACAGACGACATAAGCGGGATCTTCCAAGTGGTCATTTCGGAACGGTCAATAATTTGCACATAATATATTCCACACACATAAGCATGTGTTGATGTGCGGAGGTGTGGATGTGTTGATGTGCGGAGGTGTGGATGTGTGGATGTGCGAATGTGCGAATGTGCGAATGTGCGTTTTGGGTGTAATTATTTATCAAAAGGATAAACAGTGAGGAGTTCAGGGCCCCTGGAGGGGGGAGGAGGGTTGCTTTTGCAAAATAAAAAAAAAAAAAAAAAAAATTTTACATTTGTAGGTAGGTTATGATATTAAGAAATTATCTCTTCTGTTCCCTTTCAAAATGTGCAAAATGGACTTTTCTTCCTCAATTGAGTTTCTACTTTTGCCTCTGTTTTGGTTTACGTGTGTATATTCGGGTATGTGTTTCCCAGCTGACATTCCTTTTTTTTTTCTTTTCTACCTCTGAGGACCATATACGACCAACCTATGTAATGCCTTGCAAAGATGGCAACTGACTGAGGAACACACCCCCCAACTTAAAATTGAAAATAAAATGAAATAAATAATATGAAGTGAAGTAAATAATGTGAAGTGAAATAAAATAAATGAAGTGAAATAAAATAAATGAAGTGAAATAAAATAAATGAAGTGAAATAAAATAAATGAAGTGAAATTATAATCCCTTTCGTACAAGAAGCATGGAAAACAAACTGACCGAACTGTTTTGCGAATTTTTTTTTTTTTTTTTTTTTTTTTTTTTTTTTTCCACCTATACAGATAAGGAGTATGTTTAAACATAGGAACAACTTTTACATATATAATATCCACCATTTGGTAAAGTACCTTTTCTGAATTCACAATTCCAATAATAAAAGGAAAAAAAAAAAAAAAAAAAAAAAATGGGAGTCATTTGGCAACTCCTGGTTGTTGTACCTGTGTGCAGATCACTCCTACTATAAACCTGTCCCGGGACACTGGGATGTGAAACAGAAAAGCACAAAAATGATGCCCCCAAACTAGGGTCCTAATTTCTTCACCTCTTCATTCTTCACCTCTTCATTCTTTACCTCTTCATTCTTCACCTCTTCATTCTTTACCTCTTCATTCTTCACCTCTTCATTCTTTACCTCTTCATTCTTCACCTCTTCATTCTTTACCTCTTCATTCTTTACCTCTTCATTCTTCACCTCTTCATTCTTCACCTCTTCATTCTTTACCTCTTCATTCTTTACCTCTTCATTCTTTACCTCTTCATTTCTTCCTTTTTTTTTTTTTTTTGCAAAGAAAGTTGGCAGCAAAACAGCCTGAGCATGGCATTTCTAGCTACACCTATTTATCAACCCCCAACTTTTCTTCGCAAAAATTCGTGCTTGCGTTTTGTTCAATTTAAGACATAAGGCCAAGGGGGGAAGAAAAACAAACAAAACGGGAAAAAAGAAAAAGGAAAAAAAACTGAAAAACAAACAGATGTAGTAAACCCTCCGCTCCATGAAAAAAAAAAAAATAAAATAAAATAAGGTGAAAAAAATAAAATAAAAAAAAAAAATAAGATGAAAAAAATAAAGAAAAAAAAAAAAAAAAAAAAAAAAAAAAAAAAAAAAATCCAAAAAAACAACACCCATAAGAACCGACCAACAGAACAAAAAAGCAAAAACAAGAAACAAAACGAAACCCACCATACTACATCAAATTTGTGAAGTTGTTTGATTTTTTTTTTTTTTTTTTTTTTTTTTTTGTAAATTATAATTATTTTATTTTTCCCTCCTTTTTTTGCCTATTTATCTTCTAACACTAATTTTTTTTTCTTTACTTTTTTCTTCCCACGTTTTGCTTTCCACATTTTTGCTTCCTACCGTTTTGCTTTCCACATTTTTGCTTCCTACCGTTTTGCTTTCCACATTTTTGCTTCCTACCGTTTTGCTTTCCACATTTTTGCTTCCTACCGTTTTGCTTCCTACCGTTTTGCTTCCTACCGTTTTGCTTTCCACATTTTTGCTTCCTACGGTTTTTCGTTACCCCCCGCCCCCTCGTCTTTCTCCTTCGCACTTCACCATTTCAACATGGAAGAAAAATTTCGAGAGGCCTTCATCCTCTTCAGTTCATGTAATGAAAGCATGGAACTGCATGTGTTTTATGAACTCATGAATTCCTTTGGAATTCTCTTGACCCCTGAGGAAAAGGCCGAGTTGCCATTAGTACGTGTGAAAAACAAAAGATAAAACCACATCAACCTCTCATACACATATATACACACACGAAGAACCATGTCAGAAATCTCAGTTTATCTCTACCACACGTACACACTTCATAACTTTTAACATTTTACCCTACCTCATATTCCACACACACAGATGGTAAACATGGATTTATGGCTCAAGATTGCAAACAAGCACTACAACCACGAAGACCCCTTCAAACACATCAGAGGTGCCAGCGATCAGAATTCCAATATTCAAATAAGAACACAAAACTTTATAGGAGTAAGTCAAGAAAGATTTTCCTTCTGCTTACCTGTCCTCCATTCATTTGATCATTTTTTTTTTTTTTTTTTTCTTCTTGTTTTTGTGATTACATTGCTAGAGCCATCTCTCAAATAGTGCTTCACACCTGTACGATAAACCTGCACTCCATTTCTTCACCCAAAGGTAATGAAGGCACTGGATACCAGACTCACGGACAAAGATCTAGATTTACTTCTAAAAATAGCGAATCCAGAAAATAAAGAAACCATTAACTTGAACACCATTTCAGAGAAACTCGCAGAAGCGATTTAAGGGACACACAAAAACAAGCACATACACATACACATGGTTTTATTCTATTTTTTTCGATTTCCCATTTTTTTTTTTTTTTTTTTTTCACACCTTATATACATCCGCATGCACAAAAAAATGCCTTGCTGATCTTCCTTCTCCATACCACTTTTCGTCCGTTTAAACATAACCATCTCGTTAGAAAGGAAAGAGCAAAAAAAGAAGTAATAAAAGAAGAAGTAATAAAAGAATGAAATAAAAAAAATAATAATGATGAAATAAATATATAATAAAAATAGCAAGCTACTAGCGGGAACCACCACCATCCCTCCTCTTTTTTTTTTGTTTCTACTGTTCCGTTACACCATTCTGTGTGTATGTGTGTCTAATGTTTTGTACCTCAGACACCATGACACAGATCCTTTTTCGTTCCTCTTTTTTTTTTTTTTTTTTGTAAACAAATTAAAAAGGAGAATAATATATAATCCGATTTATTTATATATTTTATTTATTTTATTTATTTATTTTTTTAATGCAATTATTTATTCGCAAAAACTACTTTTGAATAAACAAACGGTTCAGTTACATCCGAATGGCAAAGTTTTTTGCCAATCTCCCCCTTCCCTTTTAACATGCTTGCGTCACAAAAACATCTAAACATGGAAAACCAGATTTGAAAATTCCCTACCTTAACAATTGCAAAATTAGTCTGTTCATACACTTTCTTCTTATCTGTATAACATTAGTGAAAGAAGCAGATAAAAGATATGAATATGTAAATGGGTTGGCAATTTTCTCCTTATACAGTTATATTGTGAAGTGGGGGGAGAGACGTGTCTGCATCAGGTAAGGAAGTGTTCATATATATTAATATATATATATATATATATATATATCCTCTTCCTACCTACACAATACTTACACTCATGCAATTGTGTATGCTCTATAATTTGCACCAGTTGCCAACCCCAGAATGACAGTTAAAAAGTTAGAAAAATGTGCAAAAAATAGGGAGACAAATCTCGGAAAAACAGATGGAAAAAATAACACTTCTCCTCCTCCTGAAAATCTTTTTCACTCCTTTTTTTTTTTTTTTTTTTTTTCTCCTCTGGGTTAACACGTTGTGCTTAGTTTTAAATGGTCAGATATAACTACTCATGAACTTTCTTCACATTCATATTAATCAATGCAACCTGTGTCTGATAGAAATGTATGATGAGTGTCCTCATCAAGTTGTTCCTGAAAATGTTATGTGACCGTCTACCCATTTTTTCAAACTCCGAATCGCTACTTTATAGAGAAAACAAAAGAATCAAGTGAAACGCTTGCAAATACAATGTTGTTTGAACACAAGTAAAAGTGATATATAATACTAGTTCTCTCTCTTCATCACCGTACATGATGCAGCATGTAAAAAAAGCAAGAAAAAATAAGGAAAAAAAAAAAAAAAAATAATAATAATAAAAATAAGGTAAATATATATGTATACATGTATACGAAGGGGGGGGAGGGGATAACTTGGCAAAAATATTTCCTTTTTAATTTTGTGTAAATAATGGATTATATCATTGTTATTACAAGTGGGTTGGGTTGAAATAAGATACACAACTTTCTCTTTACTGAAGAGAAATATTTAATTCTAATTTAAAGAATTTTTTAAAAAATTACTCATTGGTGTTAGAGGCTACAAAAAAAAAAAAAAATAATATAAAGTGTTGACTTTTTTTTCATAATTATATCTTACCCCTCTCTCTTACTATTCGTCCCTTTCTGTTTCTTTCTTTTATATCATCGTAACATAAAAAAAAGCTAAATAAAAAGTGAGTGTAACTTTTTTCTCCAACTTTTATTATTCAAAGGAGAGAGAATTGAACCCAAGTGGCATGTATTAATCCTACATGTTCTGCTACAAGGACATATACTCGATCCCAAAAATATGTATATTTTTTTTTCTCGTTATATATTAATATATATTGTGCAATGCAGAGAGATGCTTAAATTTTAAGTGTTTTAAATAAAATGGCTGTAAAGTTTCTGCTTTGTATGAAAAAATCAGCCATTTAATTATAACTCCTTGCTTCTTTTTTTTTTTTTTTTTTTTTTTTTTTTTTTGTTCTTGTTGAAAGCCAAAAGAGGCTTCCCCTAGCTCCCTTTTTGCATACCTTTGCAAACTTTCACAAATTGTAATTTTCCTTTACTTTTCTATTCTTTTTTTTTTTTTTTTTCATTTTCAAATTCTCGTACTATTTGTGAATACCTTTGGACCAAACTAAATAACTCTCATATGCATACCTGACCCAAAATTAACCCCTCTCCTCCCCACACACACACAAACATGAATACCCTTATAATGCTTTAACTATATATACATTCCTATGGTATATTCAAAACAGGATTGACCTTATGAATTTTTTTTTTTTTTTTTCATTTGCAATTTCAGCATGGCCTCTTAAACTAGTCAAAGAAATGTACATATATGTACATATATGTACATATATATATATATATATATATATATATATATATATATATATATATATATATATTAACACCAGAATATTTTGCATATAAACAGCATAGAGTTTTTTTTTTTTTTTTTTTTACAGCACAAATTTGGACACATTTTATTTAAAAGAACCCCAACTGGAGCGAACCACTGCTTATCGACTATCACGATCGTCACGTTGATTCATCTGTTTTATGACATTTTCAGACATGGTTTCAAAGCTATAAAAATAGGAATTGTTTATTCTTTTTACAACTCCGGGAAGAATACAATAAATACATTCAAAAGTAGTGAACCAAATTGAGTTCAGTAAAACTTTAAGCATGAACAAAATGAACAAAATGAACAAAATGAACAAAATAATAAAAAGTAAATGAAAAAAAAAAAAAAAAAAAATTAAAATAAAATAAAATAAAATAAAAATAAAAACTGCTTATATCATCTACTATTTTACAATCAGACAGTTGATGAAAAATATTCCAAAGTCATCTTATTCAGCATTCCTCCCTGTCCCCCCTCACACACACATACATATATATATATATATATATATATATATATGTATATATGCGCACCCACTTTACCAGCATAACATTATGTAGTTAAAAACAATCCGATGAATCCAATAGAAAGTGGTTCACATGCACATTAACCAGGACCACCTATTTAGAACCCATTACTACTACCAACCATTGCACAAGGGAACGTTTATTAGATGCAACAACTTGAAAATTTATTAAGAATCATCATTTTTGTGTGATACATATATATATATGATCATATCTTACTATAGATACAGATATAAAACATTTATTCTTTGTCCATTTGAGTCCCGAGGATTTGTACACCATATTAGGATGACACAGACATATGCAGAAGCTCTCCTTAAATTCAGAGTTGACCCATCGCAGATTCAGGGGTCCCTTAGATATATTTCTTAAAATAGAAAAAAAAAAAAAAAAAAAAAAAAAATATCACATTGTATCATGTAGCATATCATGTCGTGTCACATCATATCACTTCATGTCATATCATATACCTCTAGACATGCACATTCATACCTGCAGGGAATAACTCATCAGAACTAGACCAACCTAAAAAGACTTCCATCACAGTACAACTTGTATCACGTGCTATCTCACTCATATGTTTCCTTACATATGAAGAACATTCCCTAATGGTTAAAAAGGTTTAAAGCGGAAATATCTACTTTTTAACTTTTTCACAATTGACCTAAACACGGGCAAGGTGAAAATCGAGGAAGCCTTGTTCAGAATATTTTTTATTGTTTTATTCAGAATATTTTTTATTATTTTGTTCAGAACATTTTTTATAGTTTTGTTCAGAACATTTTTTATAGTTTTGTTCAGAATATTTTTTATAGTTTTGTTCAGAATATTTTTATTATTTTGTTCAGAATATTTTTTATAGTTTTGTTCAGAATATTTTTTATAGTTTTGTTCAGAATATTTTTTATTATTTTGTTCAGAATATTTTTATTATTTTGTTCAGAATATTTTTTATTATTTTGTTCAGAACATTTTTTATTATTTTGTTCAGAACATTTTTTATTATTTTGTTCAGAACATTTTTTATTATTTTGTTCAGAACATTTTTTATTATTTTGTTCAGAACATTTTTTATTATTTTTTTTTTTTTTTGTGGAAATTGGCGCGATGCACGAGTTGACAAAAAATTTCCCAAAGCTGAAAAAGAAGCTAGAAAAATTTACAAAAAAATTGGAAGAAGTTGATTGAACAACGCATGAATCTGGGAGCATCTCTACTCACATAACCGATTGAGAAAATAAAGAATGAATAACACACAAGGGATAAGGAAAAATGTCGGACTCAGCACACATATACATGGAAAACGTGTTTCGTCTGACAGGGTACCTGCACCGATTGCTGTTTTTAATGAAAGAGTTAGATAACAAGGAGCATCAAATAAATAAACTTATTCAAGAAAAGGAAGAAGTATATCTTGAAAACTTGAACTACTTTTATAAAAATCAAATCGGTCAGCAAAGCACATATGTGGATCATCAATTCAGCATTCATAATGGAAACCTCGACCAAAATAAAAATCCCGTTCAGGAATCTGAAAATAAAACCAACGAAACGGCATGTGCTCCTTTCAATCGTAGATGCAAAGAAGGATTCCTGAACCCAAGCAATGTGCAGCAATTCGATCAAGTGCGTGTTAAGCAGGAAGAGCCCTCGGAAAAGGTGACAGATGTGGGAAAAGTAACATCCCAAGATTGTAACAGAAGCGAACCAGTGGGTGGATCAGCTAGCGAAACGACTTTGAAAAGTAAACTGGTAAAAGAAAACGTAAACAAAAGTAATAACGATGAGCAAGAGCAGGAACAGGAACAGCAGAAGGTGGGGGGAGGGGGAACGGATGTGACCATGGATCAAAAGAACGAAGATGCAGATTCACCCACAAGTGGAAAAAAAAGCAATGCAGAAAATATTGCAAAACATAAAATACACGAGAAATGTAAAACGTACAAAACTGGTGGCAGTACTAGTAGTTGCAGTAACAGTACACACAATGAACAAACAATAGATAAGACAGAGATTCCCACAGATAACACAGAAAATCAGAACATAGATGCAGAAGATCAGAAGAGAAAGAAAAAGAAGAAGAAAAAAAAAAAAAAAAAGAGAACAAGTACTTCGATGAATGACATTGTAGAAGTAGATGAATTATTAATAAATGAAGAGAAAGGGGGCGAGACGAATGTGGAGGTTACACAAAATCAGGATGGTTATATTATCACCACTCCTGAATGTAAGAGACAAAACAGGGGCCAGCATGCACACAGTACGAGTGCAAACATGGGTGATAATGCTAATGGTAACCATAACGATGATGACAATCATAATGATGGTGACAATCATAATGGTAATGACAATCATAATGATGGTGACAATCATAATGATGGTGACAATCATAATGATGGTGACAATCATAATGATGGTGACAATCATAATGGTAATGACAATCATAATGGTAATGACAATCATAATGGTAGTGGCAATCATAATGGTAGTGGCAATCATAATGATGATGATGAAGAAGAAGAAGATGTGAAAAGCGAAGCTTGTAAACCGAACCAAATATTTAACGAACAACAATTGAATAATTTACTACAGGAAATTATGAACGACAGAGAACAATGCATGGCATTGTTAAAGGAAAAAATTTGCATAAATAATCAAATATCATACATTATTAAAAATGATTATGAAAAGTTAAAGACTCAGCATGATAAGTTATTTATTGAGATGGAAATGAGTGGAGAATCTCCACCGTATATATACAACTCCAGTAGATATAAAAATCATCCTCCTGAATGGAATCATGAAGATAATAATATGAGCGACAAAAATGGGTTCACAAAGGATGGGGTACACAGTGGGCACCCATACTCTACCTCCAACTATGGATATACTTCCACATCTAGGACAAACAATAATGTTAGGAACACTCATCATCACGCGAGTACGCATCAGTATGATATGTATGATATGGAAAAAACAAAAGATGAAGAAATGGATCAAACCTCCATCAAAGCCTTTGGTAGAAAACAATCACAAAAGCACGATGAGGAATACAATCCCTATAGTGCATCTAAAAATAAAAAAACAAAAAAATCCAAAAAATCCAAAGGCGAGAAAGCTGCAAATTCGGGAATCAAATCGAAGGTCGCCTCAACTGATCTGAACGGGTACACAAAGGGGGAGGAGAACAGAGACACAAAGGAAGATGCAAAGGAGGATGCAAAGGAAGATGCAAAGGAAGATGCAAAAGAAGATGCAAAAGAAGATGCAAAAGAAGATGCAAAGGAAGATGCAAAAGAAGATGCAAAAGAAGATGCAAAGGAAGATGCAAAAGAAGATGCAAAAGAAGATGCAAAAGAAGATGCAAAAGAAGATGCAAAAGAAGATGCAAAAGAAGATGCAAAGGAAGATGCAAAGGAGAATTCTAATTCTAATGATAATGATAAGGAGAATTCTAAGGAAGATGCGAAGGGGAATAATCCCAAAGGAAGCCACAAAAGTGACAACATCAGCAGGAGCAAAACTCGAATCAGTGCTCAATAAACGAGACGAATTTTTGCATAACAACCACACGTCTTCTGACCAGAAGGATCAAGATGATTATACCACCACACACACACACCAGTTAAGTATAAATGAAAAAAAAAAAAAAAAAAAATTAAACAATCTTGAAATTAGCAAAACGGAGACGAACTCACAGGGGGAAAGGAAAATTCAGTGAAGATAACTAATCAAGCGATGATAAAAGAGAAAAATAGTAAAGGAAAAAGGCGTAAAAAAAAGAGACAAACAGAGAGAGATAGAGAAAGAGACAGAGATAGAGAAAGAGACAGAGATAGAGAAAGAGACAGAGATAGAGAAAGAGACAGAGATAGAGAAAGAGACAGAGATAGAGAAAGAGACAGAGATAGAGAAAGAGACAGAGACAGAGATAGAGAAAGAGACAGAGATAGAGAAAGAGACAGAGATAGAGAAAGAGACAGAGATAGAGAAAGAGACAGAGATAGAGAAAGAGACAGAGAGATAAAGATAGAGAGATAGAGACGGATTCCTAATCAGAAATTCGACACGGATGAGTTATGTATCCATTCATCGCTCACTGTATACATATGTGCACGCATGTGTGCGTACACGTCGCGTTATGAAACATGAAATAGCAGAAAAAAGATAGACATTGCATATAATTTGTATGCCTTATCAATTTTGTGTCGAAATTACACGTAGGATGAATTTTTACGTAGACCAAACAAATCAAATCGACAAGTGTGTGTGTGTGTGTGTGTGTGTGGTGGTAACCAATCAAGATGGTTGACATTACATATGTATAAGCTGTACAAAATCATATTCCCATCAATCCTTATCCAAGGGAATGGATTATTTAAATCCATCTCCATCACCACCACCACCTATTATTAAATCGAGTTAATTAAATTCAGCCAATCCCAACCAAGAAAAATATGTGTCCACATATATATGCATGTACATGCATGTATATGTGAAAAAATGTCTCTGTTCATATATATCTGCTGAATTTTTCAAATATTGGATGGTGCGTCCACAAACTACTTTCTACTTTCCATTCTTCTCCATACCACCATTCGTGTATGGAAAGAAATCAAATGATCATCACTCCGCATAAATCTCAGTAGTCTTTATCATAAGAAAATATTAAAAACACGAGTACAATCAAAAATATGCACGTTTTTCTTGCAAAACAGACAAAAAAATGGGAAGATAAAAAAAAAAAAAAAAAAAAAAAAAAAGTCTATAAGCAGAATTTTCAAAACATATACCAACTCTTACTTGGAAACAACGGAAAGTTCTAATTTGCATGCGTTTTCACCAATAAGGATTCATAGAAGAACGGATTTTCCCACACATTTAGAAAGTCTACACTTTCACTCCGCTCGCCCGTCCTTCCGAAAAGGTTGGAGTGGCGAACACATGCCACCATGTTGGTTGATTTATTATTTTTTCTGCGTTTTCTTACGTTTTCTATTTTGTCAATTTTTTCTACTTTTTCTACGTTTTCTATTTTTTCAATTTTTTCTACTTTTTCTACGTTTTCTATTTTTTCAATTTTTTCTACTTTTTCTGCTTTTTCTGCTTTATATATGTTTTTCCATTCCCCGGATCCCCTCCAACCAGAGCAATTTACAGGCACATATTTATTTCCTTATCTTCCCTTACAAATAAGTAGACCCTGAAGATGATTTTCCACACCCTACTCTAAATGCAACTACACAATCGTGATTCATGATGTTGCACAGTCATGAAGTTGTGCAATTTTCCAGCGGCGCAGACTGTATTTTTTTTTTTTTTTTTTTTTTTTTGCCTCCCCTTCCCCCATAGAATAAAAAGAGGAATAATAAATCTGCACAACACACACGCACACACACTTTCAAAATCGCATGCCTGATGTACTCCCATTTTTTTTGCAATCCCAAAACAGGAATCAGCAATTTGAATGGATATTTATCTAATGACATGTATCCACCACATGCACCTTCTACACAGACAAATTTATGCGAATGAACCTTGCATTCACGTCATTTTGTTCTGCTACATTTTACTTCACTCTATTTTGCTACATTTTACTTCACTCCATTTCGCCTCATTTTACTTCACTCTATTTCGCCTCATTTTGTTTTAAGCCATCTTATTCCATTTTTTTTTTTTTTTTTTTTTTTTCCTTTCACGGCACAAATATGTGTGTACACCCCACTTGCAATAGCATGTAAGAGTACATGTTTAATTTCTTGCATTAGTCCCTAAGTTCTACTATCCCTGTTGCGTATACATGTATGATGATTTGTGATAAATTAACAAAATCATGTTTTCTGAATATTATTTTTGATAATACACTATATCCCAATTTCTAACCAATTGTTTTCACCTTATTCCCCGTACTCATTTTGTGTGTGTGTGTGCAGGCAACAAGTTTCATGCATCCACAATGCTGTTGCTTGAGTGTGTGTATTTGTGTAGCACCTTCTTCCACTTTTGTGAAAAAAAAAAAAAAAAGAAAAGAAAATATGCTTCCAAAGCGCTATAAAATACTTTTTTTTTTTTTTTTTTTTTTTTTTTTAAAAAAAGAACTTATAAATTATATACAAAAGTACACAAAAAAAAAGTATCATTCGAGACGACAATATTTGTCTACCTGTACTTGTTAAGCAGGGAGTTGTCATAAATAGTTTGCTTCGTTTGAGATGCTACAAGAAAAGATTAGTTATGAGGAAGAGAACATGAACAACTAGGTTCACAATATATGCATTTGTACCGAATTTGTACCGAATTTGTACCGAATTTGTACCGAATTTGTACCGAATTTGTACCGAATTTGTACCGAATTTGTACCGAATTTGTACCGAATTTGTACCGAATTTGTACCGAATTTGTACCGAATTTGCATCAATTTTGTAGGGCGCCTGTGTACCACACCTTAGGTGACAGTGAAGAGACGATCCCACGTGCAATTCCTGCATCGATGGCTAGAGACTCATCACACATGCAAGGAAATACGCATGGATCTCTTGGAAGGGTCATCAAAACACCCATGCATATACACCAGAGAGAACCAAAGCAAGCTTTGCAAACTTTAAGAACCTCACAACATATTTCTCAAAAAAAATACATAGAACTAATTAACTTAGCCAAAAAGTTGTATTCCTGTCAAAATGAGTTGTTATGTTATCAAAGAGAGGAAAAGACAATGCAGGGAGAAGGAGATAATAAAGTTACAAAAAAGTCTCTCAATATTGTCACTAATGGAGAGAAGAAATCTCTTCTGGATATGTCAAAGGTAGGAAATCATCTTATCAAAAAGGAGTTTAAGATATCCAAAGAAACATTGAACATTCATAAATCAGCAACACGTGAATCCAAACGTGTTACAAAAATAAAGTCTATAACAATTAATACCAGGAAGAACAAAAGGAAAAGGGATTCGTCTCATCTTGGGAAAACGTTTACCAAACATAATAACTCACATCTAGTTAGATCTATCAAGACAAAGGAGAACGGAAATAATGATTCCAAAAAAAAAGAACAAATGTCCATACTAACAGGAGAAGAACAAGCAAAAAGAATAGTACCACCACCAGATTCATTCAAAAAAAAAAAAAAAAAAAAAAAAAATTCTGAAGTTACAATACAGAAATTTCCCAACTCAAAAATTACAGAGAAGAAAAAAAACGTAGAAATATACTTAACTAATACTACACAGAAAAGGAAGAAAAGAAAAAAAAAATATATGTGCACATTTTCCAAAACTAACACCAATAAAGGAAATATTATAAATCTCGTCAAATGTGCCAAAAATGAAGTTTTACAAAAAGTGGAACCAAGTAATACCCACTATACATTTAATAACCCACAAAATAAAAGTGCATTAACAGATGAGGGAAAAAAACCACAACCAGGGTCTAAGCACAAAATGGGTCATCATCCTAGGCATGAACAAGCAATTACCCAACATGAACAACCACTTCCCATACAGCATATCAGCACATGCTCAAAAATGGAACACCCAGGAGTCACCACCTCCACCGCTGCAAAAAAACAATGCTATAACCAACAAAAGAGGAAAAATCAAAGACATTTATCAAAAAAAAGAAGAAAACACATGAATTCTAATTCTAATAACAGAGTAATGGTAGAAGACGAAGAATGTAGCACTGTGAATGCCACTCATAAAGAACAGAATCCATCTGAACATAAAAAAAGAGCATCAAAAATTTTTTCCAAAAATTTAAAGAATCCAAAGAGAAAGTCACATAGCACTTCTAGTTGCAAAATTCAACTAGCTAAATATACACAACCACAATCGAGAACCAGAAAAGGATTATTACTAAACAATGCAAATAGAAGTAAAAGAAAACTTACACCAAAAATTGTTTCTCTTCAGAATCAAAAGTGGAAGGAAAAAAATGGTAGAGTTACACGGAATTGCGCTTCAAATCAGATTTATGAATTCAATGCTGCTAAACGAAATCGACCAAGCTTAGATAAGCAGAAGGACAATCTCAAATCTTGCAAGGATTTGATAAAAACTTTAAACGCCTCAAGCGTTATCATATGCACTAAAAATCATAAAAAAAGAACAAAAAAAAGTTTAAGAACAAGAAAAACAAAAAGTGAGAATGGGTTTCAAATGGGGTCGAACTTCACATTCGGGGGAAGCGTCTCGATGCCACGAAAAAAAAAAAATTCAAGATGAGACCATTTTCACCGTGATAAGAAATGGAAAGTAAACAATGAGCAAGACGCAGTGATGTATGTACATACATACGAAAGAAATCCCTTAAGAAAAATACAATTTTATTAGAAGAAGAAAAGATAAAAAAAAAAAAAATAAAATAAAAATAACACCTTTTGCATGCAGCGAAACAATAGAAAGAATAGTCCCGCTACAATTACACACACATATTTGTAAACTACATACACATATGTGTACGTATATATATTCACATCACAGTATTCTTAAACCTTTTTGTAAAGAGGATGATGTGCCTGTTATAACTTTCTTCATTACCCCTGTGGTTGTTTCCTAACTAACGGATTTGTATCGATCCGTGTGTTTACTCTTGACTAATACATTTTGTCTCTGTTTCTTAATTTTTTAACGTCAATACACATGCGCACGTTTTTCTTATTTATTTATGATTATTATTTTTTTTTTTTTTTTTATTAATCATTTTGTCTGTTATAAGAAAAAATGATTACAGATAATACATATTTTACTCACTTGAAAAGCAATTTTGCTAAGATGTCAACTTCCCATTTTACCAAAATATAAACGATTTAATATGACCACTTTTTTTTTTTTTTTGTCAATTCGATCTACTACTAATACTAACATGCCAAAATGGGAGCCACTTCTCACCACCACCACCACCCCTTTTCCATCATGTCACACTTTTGCTTATTTGGGTGTGATTGTGTTCATGTCTAATTTATTCTATCAAAAGAGGAATAATTTCTATCCTTCAATTTAACCACAAGTGTGTGAGGATAAATCCTATTTGCAAATTCGTCCTTTTCTCTTTTTCTTTCTTTTTTTTTTTTTTTTTTTTTTTTTTTTTTTTTTTTTTTTTTTTTTTTTTATTTTTCAAAAAATTTTTTTTTTTTTTTTTTTTTTTTTTTATTTTTTTTTTTTTTTTTTTTTTTTTTTTTTTTTTTTTTTTTTTTTTTTTTTTTTTTTTTTTTTTCTTTTATCCATTTTTTATAACGTCACACAAAAATGATGTTGTGTCGTCCAAGATATGACAAGTATATGAGATAACTTGTGTTGATGATTCTTTTGATCTTCTTATTATCCTCTACATTCAAGTATGCAATCCTGTAGAGGGCAAAAAAAAAAAAAAAAAAAAAAAAAAATGGCATATGGGGAAATAAAACATGCTAAAAATGGACTTCTATTTTGAGAGAAAAACGAGTGCTTTTTTTTTTTTTTTTTTTTTTTTATTTTGTACACCATTTTTGCAGTTCTCCTGTCTCATATGCACTCATTTTTGTTATTCGTTTTATTGCTTTGTTGTTTCGTTATATTTTTTTCAATTTTTCTGTTCTTTTCCGTTTTTTCATTTTTTCCTTCTGAAGTACCAGTACGAAAGGGCCAACAATCACTTCATTACTTTGCGTTATAAAATTTTCCCGCGACCCATTCAGGATTTCGATTAAATTCCTCAAGCTGCTATGCACCTCGATGTGTGTTCCTGCAGACGATGGAGAAATCAGTTTGTGTGAAATACATGCATTTCTACAAATGCGGATAAACACACACACATATATGCATATATACATAAGCGATATATACATGTATGTGCATATAAGCGATATATACATGTATGTGCATATAAGCGATATATACATGTATGGGCATATAAGCGATATATACATGTATGGGCATCCGATGTATACTCACTCTTCAAGAAATCTTACTTGATGCCAAGGTCATCTCCTGCTGCTGATCTGCTCTCACCATAGTGAGATCCAAAAATGTATTTACCTTTTTAAGGACCTCTATCGAGAAATTGGAAAATATATTACTATCCCTCAATGCAAACAACTCCTTCAAAAATTTATTCCCCTCTGCCTGAAAATTGGTAGAAATGGATATGTCTCCCCTCGTTGGGCTACCACTGTGGGGACCTTCACAGGCCAAATTCGGAGCAGTACTAAAGTTTTTCCAACTCATTTCTCCGGAACTGATTTCACCAGATATTGCTTCTTCAACTCGCCGGGGGCACCACTCCATTATGTTAAGATGGATGCACAAAATGGAAATGAATATCTGACGAATTGTAACTTCACTGAGAGACTCTGGGTTCATAACTTCTAAAATGTGAAAGAGCAACCTTGTGGAAAACGTTTTGTATATATTGGATCCTACTTTTGCCCTGAGATAATTTGTCCTGTTCATTTTACCTGTACAAGTCAGGCGAAATGTTTCATCATTGGGAAATATCCTTTTCTCATCCATTTCTGAATCGAACATGTTGTAGAGATAGCCCAATTTTTTGTAACTTCTCATCATGGGGGACATCAAATCGGGTATGTGTAAAGAAAAGTAGCATATCATGCACTTGCTTTCGAAGCACAGTAAATCGAAATGCTGATGAAAGGTCAAACAGAAGGTTCGCAATGTGTGCACCTTAATTAAATTTGCATATTTTTCAAAGGTGCTAAAAGATGGATTCCTCCCATTTGGATATGAATTCAGTTCTCTCCATGAGTTTTTTTTCTCATGCAAATGGTCTACTTTTCCCACATCTGCTGAATAGAAAGGGGTACCCGTTTTAGAATTCATACTGGGTTCACTAATAAATTGGTCTGTCTCATAAGTGCATCCCGTAGTATCGCAACTTTCATCTTCAGCACTCTTTGATGCTTTTACCAAACCCATAGAACAAATATCATACGGAAAATTTTCACACAATTGGATACTCAAAATAGATGGATCTGTCCTAACGAATATCTGTGATTTTGCCAATGATTGAAATATTCGAACCATCAATGAACAATCCTTCTCACTTAAAAATTGCACCTTTTTTGAGGATTTTTCAAAAATGTAAATATATTCTCTATTTTGCCTGACCATGTTCAGGTGATTTCTTAAAATAAAACTTTTTTTTTGGTAAAAAAAATTTTTATACATGACATAAATTACCTTCATCAATTGGTAACACAATAATAGGGTTACCCGTTCATCGAAAATATTCTTTTCATTTATCCCGAAAAGGAAATCTGCTATGCTGTGTAGAGAAAAATATTTCCATAAATAATGTACCTTTCGATTGAATGCATAAAAAATGTCATACGAACTTAACTTCAACTTTCCTATCGAAAGGGCTAGAGAAGAAATTTGTAACGCACTGAACTTATCAAGAACATGTTCCTTTTTCGCAAATTTTGTAATCTTCAAAATTAATTTATTCATATCTCTTTCCATATTCTCACATAACTTTTTCATTTTCTCTTCTACATTTTTAGTTAAAACGTGGTTTTTACATAAAAAGGGACCGTATACACATTGCAACTCGTTTCTGTTTCTGTAATGACTTTCATACAAGAGGGTATACTTTAAAACGGTATTCACATAGGATTGGAAGTTTTCATTTTGGATTCTTCTTAACATGTTCATACTAGTATACTTCTTCCTTCCCTTACACAAATGCATAATTTTAGAAAATGCATACAAGATGTTACAAATATCTAAATTATTCAGATAATTCAAATGTTTTTCTAAAGAATCACAACACAGAGTAAAAAACTCAATGTGTATCACCCCCAATTTCGCTAATGAGTGTAGGATTATAACCAGCTTGGAGATGTTATATCTGTTCAATTCCAAGAAGTTTGTTCTTTCCTCATATTGGACACTTTTTAAATTCTCTTTCTGCGTGGAGTTGTTTATTTTTGACATTGAATCTGTCACATCATTGGAGAAGTAATCCATCGAATGATTCATCGTGCACTCTTTGGATTGATTAATTGGCCACTCCTTTGCACTAGTCACTCTAAACTTTGAGAGAAGAATGTAATCTGCAAAATAGTAACCCAAGAAGTTGTAACTATTCATGTTCAATTTAGCAAATAAATTCAAAACACAACTTATGCAATCAAGATCCATCTTCTGCAAATCGATAAGAAATCTAAATGCAATTTCGTCGTATATTTTGTGCTTTTTCTTTTGACATTTTCCCCTTTCTATCTTGACAATACCACCAAAGGATATCGCTTCAAATTTATTCACGAGATTCAAATCGGCTACTTTTTCTCCAGATATCGGTAAAAATTCGAATGTACGTATTTCCACTGGTGAGGTTCGTTCTGCCCAATTTTTTCCCTCTACAGATGCAGCTAGCTGTTCCAGCTCCTCTTCCAGTGCCATTTCTTTTTGTTCAACTTCTTCCTGTTTCCTTCTCCTATGAGAGAAAAATATTGTATCGACCTTACTCAGCGAATTTGCAATTATGAAGTAACTTTGCATATTTATCTTATGAATCATGTTTCCTTTTACTAATTTATTGCATGCCTTTGTCCAAAATGAATGTCCCTTGAAATAATCAATTTTTGAAAGAATGTTCATACAGTATGATAGGTCTCGTCCAAGCATTTTGCTCATTTCCATTTTGTTTATCACACTTTCGAATTGCTTACAAATGGTATCAACTTTATTTCCACGTGGGTTACTTTCGCATGGGTTATTTTCCCATTTGTCCATTCTCAACATTTGTACCATTACTTTCTCTCTCTTCTCGATCTTTCCTTTTAACTTTTCATTTATTTTGTTAAAAACTCTGCTAATACTTGACGAATATTCTCCCCCGGGGGTTTCACTTATAGATCTTCTCGGATTTATCGCACTTGTCGCAGTTCCCAAGCTGGCCTTGTTTCGTTCACTTCCCAAGCTGATCATGTTTCGTTCACTTCCCAAGCTGGCCTTGTTTCGTTCACTTCCCAAGCTGATCATGTTTCGTTCACTTCCCAAGCTGGCCTTGTTTCGTTCACTTCCCAAGCTGATCATGCTTCCTTCACTTCCCAAGCTGATCATGCTTCCTCCACGGATGCTTCTCTTCCAGTTTCCCATCACTACACGGTTCACTTTTGAGTAGGACCTCATCTGGATGATAACGAAAATCATTTCAAAAGAAAGGAACCACTATGTGTCATATCAAAGCGCGAAATGCAAAATGTAAAGAAAATAATGTAACATCTGTTCTTCTCTATCTCCATGTGTTAAACAAAGAAAAAAAATACTTTCTCTATACTCCCGCCCTCCCCCACATGCTAATATATGCACATTCGATTTGTAGAAACTAGGTATTTTCACTATTCCAGACTTTGTTCGTTCTTTCTTCCTTTCTTTGGTTCATTTTTTTTTTTTTTTTTTTTTTGTTCCCCTCTAATCCCGTTTTTAAACAAAAATAGTTCATTCGTGTGTACATCCCCAAATTGACTCTTCAGATTTCAAAGGAAAAAGCTCAGTAGATAAAAAATTGAATAAATAAAAAAAAAAAAAAAAGCTACACAAAGTAATATAAGCAATTGCTTCCTTTTTCAAGCCACGACAAAAATGGACATAAAAACATATTATAGGACGTGGTGGGATTATCTAGAAGTTCTAATTTTTCTCGTAAAAAAAAAAAAAAATCTCACATTATACTTGGATCCATCCAAAATATTATGACAACATGAATTTATGTATATCTTGGTTCTAACCCCGCTCTAAACTATACTACAAGTGATACATTCCTTGATCATTTTTAATTCTCCCCCAAGTGTTAATGTATAACAATATCTTTGCATAAATATCATTTCGATGAAATCATCATATGTATTCTTTTCCTTAACTCCGATTGGCATTGACATGTGTGAAAGTTCTCCTACCACACTTTCCGCTTCATTTCTTTGGCCAATTTTGTTCTATCCTCATTTTGGTTCCTTCGCTTTCTCATTAGTTCTTATTACTTCTTTTTTCTTTTCTCTTATTACTTCTTCCTTTTTCTTTTCTCTTATTACTTCTTCTTTTTTCTTTTCTCTTATTACTTCTTCCTTTTCTTATTTCTATTTTCAAATTTTCTCCCCGAATTTTTCATGCCTATCGCACTGCTCACGCCTTGCGGAACATTCTTGAGCGTATGCATAGGCCGGGCGAGGAAAAAAAAAAAAAAAAAAAAACATGAAATAAAAATAAAACAAAATAAAACAAAACAAAGCAAAGCAGAATAACAGAATGATGAAGCAAAACTGAACAAAACTGAGCAGAGCTGAAAAAGTTGCGCAAAACTGAACAAAATTGATCATAACCGAGTAAGCAAAACTTGTCAAGTGTAAAATAGAGAACCACGGGGAAGAACACCAAATGACAGAGTAAAGCATCAAGGACTTATCTGGAGGCCAAATACAAACGAACTACTTTATTACATTTTCACAAAACACACACGGGACAAACGTAAAATTGTGAAGTCTCATTACATATTTAGAATCTTCTGAAAATCATATGACATTCCTCTCCACCTTTTGTTTCATTAACCTTTAAAAGGATTAGAAAAAAAAAAAAAAAAAAAAAAAAAAAAAATTTCCCTTTTTTTTTTTCCGTTTTTCAGTTCGTACCTTTTGGTCACAATATATATACTATACATTATCACTTATGGTATTCCTCCTTTACTTCACATATATGCAAAAATTGTAAGTAAATCCAACTTTAATACAAAAGGTAAAACTGAGGAGAGTGTGTGGGTGTGGAGTGGGATGGGACGACGACAGACTGTTACCAGAAGAGGCTTCTTAAACAGGTCTCAACCCTTAACTTAAAAGTGTATGATGTTTTGAGTGCTTGGTATGACTAGCCATTTTGCTCTTGGTGAGACTTACCCTTTTGCTTCCCTTTTTTTTTTTTTTATTTTTATTTTTTCTTTTCTGAAAGGTCCTCTGCACAGGTCATCCCCCAGTACTCCTCTCGTGATCAAGCGCTGCACAGGCACACAAGCATCCAACCGCTGAACATTTGCAAACCCAATCGAGAGAGGCAAAAATGGAAGATACAGCTGCAAAAATTATCGGACCACATGATAGTCTGCTGACAGACCCGAGAATTGCACAAGATTTCAGTGCTGAAACGGATGAACTGATAGCAGAGGCTGAGAATCACTTCAAGGTAAGATACAAAAAAATTACACACCCCGTTTGAAATTTTTGGTGTCCTAGATAGAAGAATCACAAAAATGTCTGTAATAAATATGTGCACAATCCATTACACACGTCCTTCTGCACGTAAGGCTGTAGGTTAATCCACATGCACATTACTCACCCCACTTCACCATCATCATCATCATCACTATCACTACCCAGACTGGAAACCCCGAGCTAGCCATAGAACGATTGATAGCGCTAGAAAAGAAATGCAGACAATCTTACGATGGAAACTCAACAAGCAAAATTTGTTGTTTTATTCTGAACAAATACAAGGTGGCGAATAATTACAAAAAAATAAATGAATATCTAATTTTTTTTAACAAGAAAAGAGGACAATTGAAAAAAACAATCATTGACATGATAAATTTGTGTAAGTCTTGGATTCACGAGGTTCAGAATAAGGAAGATAAGCTCAATTTAATTAATACACTTTGTACAATTAGCGAAGGAAAAATATTTGTAGAAGTAGAACGATCAGAAATTGTAAGAGTACTTTCTCAGATCAAAGAAGAAGAAGGAAATATAGAAGAAGCAGCTAACATACTACAAGAAGTTCAAGTAGAAACATTTATATCGATGAATAAAAGAGACAAGACTGAGTACATACTTGAACAAATGAGATTGGTTCTGTTGAAAAAGGACTATATCAGATGTCATGTTATAAGCCGGAAAATTAACCCTACTTTGTTAAATTCAGAAGAGTTTGCAGATTTGAAATTGAAATATTTTATGTACATGATAGAATATCATATTAATGAAGAAGCATATGATGAGGTTGCAAAATGTTATGAAGAACGATTCAATACAGAATCCGTTTTGACAGATGCAAATTTATGGATTGAAGAATTAAAATGCTATATTATATTCCTAGCCCTATCCCCATATGACGAACAACAAACCAAATTCTCAAATTTAATAAAAATTCAAAAAAAAAAATTAAAAGAAATTCCTATATTTCAAAATATAGTTCAAGATTTTATCAATCAGGATTTAATTGAATGGCCTTTACCATACCAAGATGAGTTACTTCAGTTTTACATTTTTAATGATTCCAAATTTGTAGGAGGCAAAAACAGATGGGATCTTTTTAAAAAAAAAGTTATGCATCACAACATTCATGTCATATCGAACTGTTATAGCAAAATATCACTCACTCGATTAAGCCAATTGCTTAATGCCTCTTTAGAGGATTCTGAAAATCTTCTCTCAGAGTTGGTTTCAAACAAAATGTTGAATGCAAAAATTGACAGATTACATGGAATCATCAAATTTTCTTTGAAAAAAAATCCAGAAATTTTACTTAACACATGGTCTTCTCAGATTAATCAAATTTTAGATCTTCTCGAGGAGTCTTCGCACCTCATACAGAAGGAGAGGATGCTCCACGAGGCCAAGATAAAGAGGTTGCAACTGGAAAACAAAAACATGTCTCTCTAAGAGGAATCAGAGCTATCGAATGGGTGCTATCAAAGAGTGCTATCAAAAGAGGACTATCAAAGAGGACTATCAAAGAGGACTATCAAAAGAAAGCTATCGAAAGAGCAAAGGATACAGCATGAGGTTAAGGTTCTCACACTTCAACATGGCCCTTTCGAACTCCGTCATGAACATTCATCAGGGAAAACTTAGGGTGGAAACACAATTAAGATGCATTCTTTTTTCTTTTTTTTTTTTCTTTTTTTTTTTTTTCTCTCTCCACGTTTTTTCCATTTCCTCAGTTTTTACGCACTCGCGCGCCCTATATATGTGAACATCTCCTCCCGAACGAATTTTCTTTTTCCTTTTCTTTTTCTTTTACTTTTTCTTTTACTTTTTCTCACGCAACATCGCTGCTTTCCAGCTGGGACAACCTTTTTTTCTCCCTCAAGCAAGAATGATACACAATCGGCAACCCTACGTCTGCTGCAACTGCAACAGAAGTGGAATGTAGGAAGGACTTCCCTTACTCGTTATTACACTACAAAAAACTGAGACACGGCTACAATGCTTTTTTTTTTTTTTCTGTTCCGTTTTTCTTTTCCGTTTTTCAAGCTGGACGGGGACTTCTTACCTGAGCAGCTAAACAGAGAGAACAATTCCCCTTTTTTTTTTTTTTTTTTTTTCAAAATGGAACATAAAAAATCACACCTTTGGACATTTTGCACAGTTCTGAAGGAAAAAAAAAAAAAAAAAAAAAAGAGAAAAAAAAAAAAAAAAGAGAAAAAAAAAAAAAAAGGAAGTGTTATTCATTCGATCATTTGAAGGGGGATATCAGCTATGTACTAATGAAATGTAGAATTATTTTCTTTTTCCCAACCCTCTCCCATTCGCATGCATTTATCTACACTGTTACATTCAAGCTACTACTACATTTAAGGAGGACTGTTTTGACTCCTTTACTTCTATAACGCATGAATTTTTATTTCAAGGGAGAGAAAAAAAATAAAAAAAATATGACCTTGCAAAATAGTGAGTATGTTTTGGGTGGGTGGAGATAATGTTCAAGTATCTCTATTTCTATCGCTTCATAAAGTAGGAGAAAAAGCAGGTTACAAAAAAAAAAAAAAAAAAAAAAAAATTTCACTTCATTTCACGTTTTTTCCTTTTCACTGAACCAGACGAGTCATCGCTTCTTCACCATGCGAGGGACGAGACCCAATGAAAAGTGGAAAAAGGAACTCACAGTGAAGGGAAAGCCACAGAGAGATGAAAGCATACATTGTCAAAGTGCAAGAACATTTGCACACACTTCTGGTAGAAATAAAATACAGAGAGGAAGGGTTGTGGTGGTGGTGGATGTGTAAGAAACGTTGATTATGGAAAGGGATAATGTTGGATGAAGCAAAAAAAAAAAAAAAAAGTTAAGAGGAAAACAACAAAAATGAATGACATGCAATTGGCTCTTCAGTTATGCATCTTACTCATAGCAGTAATTGTATTTTCTCATGCAACAACAAGGAATAGAAAAAATCGTGCAGAATTATACATTAAAAAATATTTTAACATGAAAAAATTTCATCCGATAAGAACAAATAACACACCACATACATATTACCAACGTGTATGTCATGAACCTGTAAAAACGATTTTTCAGTCTGAACATAGAAGCAATAAAAATAGATTCTCATACGTATTCATAGGTTCAAAGGCACTTCTCAAATTCATTTGTTTGCAGCGATTACTGTATCACCATGAGATGAAGGATGTAACGGAAGGAGCACACGGAGCAGACAACTCCACATCATTACAACCATTGGGAGACACGAACAATTTTGGAAAAAATCAAGATGCACATAAAGCAATAACATCTGGTGACATTCGAAAAAAACATATGAACAAACTGAAAGAAACTGATGAGGTTGATATCTGCACCTGCAATGAAGAAAAAAAAACACCACTTGAAAAAAAAGGAGTAAATAAAAAAGATGGAAAAAGCACTAAAGGAATAGAAATAAGAGAGAAGAAAGAAATGGTAACTGAAAATGTAGCAATGAAAAATGTAAGCCAAATGAATCAATCTAGTGCACCTGATTTTTACATAAACATTTTCAAAGACCTTTTGGAAAAAGGGAAAAGCAAAATTATGTCTCTCTCACCTCCAAGAGTAAATGAACAAAGAGGGAGAGAAAAAAAAAAAAAAAAAAAAGTAGAAAAAGAAGAAGCGGAAGAAGAAGCGGAAGAAGAGGCGGACGAAGAGGCGGACGAAGAGGCGGACGAAGCGAACGAAGCAACAATTGATGACATTTTATACGGAGGATTTTTAAACATTTACAAACCTGTAAATCTGTACTCAACCAAAGTATGTGAAAAAGTAAAACATACCTTGAAAAAACATTTCAAAGTTGTGAATAAAGAAAATATTAATTTCAAAGTAGGGCATGGAGGTACATTAGATCCTTTTGCTGAAGGAGTTTTAGTTATCGGTATACAAAAAGGAACTAAAAAATTAAGTGATTTTTTAAAATGTTACAAAAAATATCTAGCCATTTCTCTCTTTGGCATTGAAACAGATACCCTAGATCGTGAGGGTAAAGTCATAAAGGTCAACACCGAAATGTTTAAAAATCCAAATTCAATATATTCTATATCACAATCAATGGATAAACAAAAGATGAAACAAACTCTGAAATCATTTATTGGATACATAGATCAAATTCCACCATTATATTCAGCTAAGCGTGTTAAAGGAATGAGACTCTACGAATATGCTAGAAATAACATTTCTGTTCATATCAAATCAAATAAAGTGCATATACAAGACATAAAATATCTTAACCAAGTCCATTTTCCATTTTTTGATTTACAAATCCATTGTTCTGGTGGCACATATATAAGAAGCCTCATACGTGATTTCGCCCACGCTCTTAACACCAACGCAACCCTTATCAAGTTAATTCGAATTCAACAGGGTCATCATTTCTCCTATCAGCAATCCTTGCACTATGATGACATAAGCATGGAGAACATTAAAAAATACTTCATCAAGTTGTAGGAAAAGAATCGCACATCAACCTTTGAGTCTTTCCTAAGTCAAGCAAGTGGAAGCGCACTACAGTGTGGGTGTATCTTCCATTGTGTCTTCCAATGTGTCTTCCATTGTATCTTCCATTGTATCTTCCAATGTGTTTCTCAGTGTACCTTCCAGTGTGTTCTTTTTTTTTTTTTTTTTTTTTTTTTGAAAAATGTCACCTTGGCACAAGTCCATGCGTTCACATTAAGTGTTTGCCTCATCATCCGTGTGATTATTCTTTCCCACTTTTTTACTGCCTTCTATGGTGCACTATTTTCCGCACAATTTTGCGCTTTTTTTTTTTTTTTCATCCTGCGGGACGTGCAAAAACAAAACGCGCTAAACATAAAAATCGGACGAGATGTCGAACTGCAAATGAGGTACAAGTGCAGTAAGGGAAATTTGCAAACCTGCAGGAGAACATAATGTGCGATGCAGAAGGAGAGGTAATTTGATGCTGTGTGATATTTGGTATGACTTTATCCGATGTAAATTACCTCTCTTTAGCCAGTACTTCCATGCAAATAACATGGAAAAAAAAAAAAAAAAAGTAAACCCACCCAAATTGGCATATTGCTGTGCACACACTCAGCCGTATTGTAATAGCTGTGTGTGCGAATACATCAATAGACAGACTGAACAAAAATGGTGAAGATTGGTAAGAAACTTAAAGGGTTCGATGAGGGAATGCACAGAGTGGACACATATATTGGTGAAGAATCAGATGGAGTGGAAAAAAATAAAATAAAAAACAAATCAGAAAAAGGAATAGACCAAGGGCTCATCATAACCCCTCACCTTCAGAAAAATATTGGCTATAATTCGGACATAGAATCGATAGAAGAAGAGAAGAACCATCCTTTCCTCCTCCTCCATGAAGTAATAGAAAATGATAGAGACAAAAATGCACACCAAGAAGACATAAATTTTTATGTCGAACGCAATTGTGCTTCTACCCTTTTAACATTCCTTTTATACAAAATTTTAATAACAAAACCGAATAATATTATCGAATTTATTGTGAATGAACTAGGCATTCTTTTCAATTACCACATAGGAGAAGGGGAAAAGATGAAAAAAAAAAAAAAAAAAGACATTTTTACTGGAATATGCTCTTCTAATATGGAGGAACCATGCAAAGAAAATGAAACGGATACCAAATTAAATACTTTAAATGAAAACGATTTCTCCTCCATAGTATATAAACCACTGAACTTAATAAACCATGCAACATTTTTAGGGAATAATTTCCTCACCCTGAGCGATTTATTTAATGTCTTAAAACTCATTAAAATAGAAAATTCTGATAAAATTTATTTTAATAGCTTATTAAAAATTTTGCGTCATTTTGAAAATCCACAGAATAAGGATATTCTCATGAAAGAAAATGTGCACCCCAACGAACCTATTCCACTCAGTTGGGCCCTCGACCTCACCACCACATTTTACAATAATTATTTTAAAGATACGTCTGATGCATAATTGGGTCCCATTTGTGGTGTCCCATGTTCTTTGTTTAACCAATTGGTGCGCATTCCACTCAGTGGGTTTTTTTTTTTTGTCTGATTGGGCAATATATATATATATATATATATATTTTTAATTTCACCTGGACAGTAATAAAACGTTCATATATTTTTTTTTTAATTTCACCTAAACAGTAATAAAATGTTCATTTATTTATTTTTTTTTTTTTTTTTCCAGCTGCACACGTTTGTGTTACATTTTTTTTTCTAATTAATACTCGGGCATGGAAAAAAAAAAAAAAAAAAAAAAAAAATAACAAAATTCCCAAACATATTCCTAGCATACTCCTAGCGAAATAAATACCGACATGTATACCAATTTGTGCATGCCACTTCCAAATCAGCATAACGCCCTATAAGGAGAAAAAACAGTTAAGCCATAGAATTCGGTGAATATATTTACTCATCCTCTATTTTCCCCACAATTTTCTGTAGCGAAATTTTTGTCTGTGGCTTGGGGTCAGGTGGTAAACACTGCATTTGTAACCTAGCGGAAAAAAAAAAAAAAAAGCAAATTATATATATATGAATATATATATATATATATATGTATATATAAACTAGCACAAACGAAACGTATATGTGTGTGGTTTTCCTCGGGGGAGAAAGCACCAGAGTGTACTATTTTAAGAAACTTACTTGTTTAGTGATTCTCTGGTATTGTTTTCGCTACGCAAACTCCGAAGGGTGGTAAAAGTATTCTCCTTCTTGTGTTCATTCAAATGTGTATCCCTTCTTAACTTGGACTTATTGGTCAAACCCAAGTTTGGTGGCATCATATATTCAGCCGGTTTACTCACTAGTTCATCATTTATAAGGTACATAGAATTTCCATCATGTGTATTCTCATCTTCGTCATCCTCCCCAACCATATGTATATTATTCCCTCCTTTTAACAATGGAGCCAATTTGGAATAGTAGCCATATTTTAAATCATTATTTCCTGCCAATTTTATTTCTTCCTCTTGTTCACTGAAAAAACGTTCGATACTGTCGTGGTCTACTCCTTCTTGGTCTACTACTTCGCGCTTCTTTCTTTGCTGCTCTTTCTTTTCATTCTCGAAAAATTGTTCTATAATGGCATCTGTGTTGTTTCGGCTAGTCGACTTCGTTACACCTGCATAGGGGACTTCACCTGCCACCCTCGATTTGCAAAAAAGCTGTTTCTTAGAGCTTTCATCGTGTGTTATATTTTCCAAACACATTTCATAATCGTCATAGAATTTTACCCCTTCCCAATCATCCCCATTTATTATTTTATCCCTCTTTGCTTCCTCATTATTTATGGACGCTCCTTTCTCAAATTCTACATCTTCCATGTCAGGTATTTTCTTGGGATCTAACACCCCATCGCAATTCTCTTCTTCCTGTATCTGACTACGATTTCCATCTGTGAATCCTACACAATTGATCCCCTGGCGTTTGTAGTTTCCATTCGTTAGATCATCTCCTATTACCATTCGCACACGGTCAGTCAAATTGGCAGTTACACCGCCAATTATATCGCTAGCCACACCGCCAGTTATATCGCTAGCCACACCGCCAATTATATCGCTAGCCACACCGCCAATTATATCGCTAGCCACAACACCAGTTATATCGCCAGCCACAACACCAGTTATATCGCCAGCCACGCCTCCAATCGGGTCCGCGGAAATTAACCTACTAGATGCACTCTCCATTTTTCCGTCTGCATCCAACGCCATCAAATTCATACTCTCATTACTCTTCGTGTCTCGAAATTTCCTTTTCACAATTTGGTGATTATCACTGATAAGCAAATTATTCTCCCTGTATCTTCCAGTATCATTACCTTCGTCTCCTCTGACCACAGCGTCGTTTTCCATACTTGAGTCCACAAATTCATAATCAAATGGAACATGTTTCATATCGTGATGAAAACGGAGATTTTCTTTGTCTTCCACGTTGCTTACTAATGATTCCTTTTTGCTTTTCTCCCCGAGTGATTCAATAGAGTACACTAACTTGTTCATATCGAAAGCTGACTGACTCGACTGCTTTTTCTTCTGACTGAGATGGCTCGACAAATTTGGCTGACTAGGCAAGCTTCCCACTCGAGCACAAGCATCACTGTTAGCATGATCAATACAGGTAATGTGATTTCCATTATGTGTGAATTTTTTCGATTGGATATTCTTATCAGTTTTCAAAATTTCACTCGTTATCTCTTTTGTCTGCCGAATTGAATATGCACAAATATTATTCATCTCCGATTCGTGATGTGATGAGTTTATTATTTCATTTTGTGAGAAAGGTGAAGAACCAGAATATGCCTGAGTTATGCAATTCGAAGTGTTCCTCCACTGCTGACGATTAGATGTACAAAAAGGATCCGTTTTTCTTTCGACAACTCCGCCTGAAAAATCATTTTGGTGATGCTTCTTATCCATTTGAGCGGTCTTCTCCTCCTGCTTCTGCCCTTGCATCTTCCCTTGCATCTGCCCTTTTTTCTCCTCATCCCATTTCAATATCTGGTTAAAAATGACAATGCTACCTCCACGCTTAACAATAAATGCGTTGCATGCATTGTTCCCATAGGTTCCACAATAATTGGTGGCAGAAAAAAGAGTCAACACCTTCTTTCCATAGGAATATTTGTACCCTTCCTGAACACATTCATGACCACGTATAATCATTTTAAGTTTGTTTTTTTTTAAAAAGTGAGATAATCTATGCTGTCCAAACTTTAACGTAATTTTTCCTCTGCTGGATGGAATAACATCTAACCCGTTTTGCACATTTTTTAAAAAAGAGATATCATGTTTATCTTCATAATTAATTGGATCAGACCACAAGGTATCAATGATAATTTTTTGCAAATGTTCATATTTATTTTCACTACATCTATCAACAAATTGTGGAACCACAATCGGTTTGTGTATATCTGCATAATCATCCACATTTTGTATACTATCACCAATTCCTGCATGTATGCATAAAATATTTCGATCAACAAGTATAGACAAAGGGAGAAATTCCAGTACGTCATTAATTCGGTTGAACAATTCGTAGGAATGTGCTTTTATTACTTCTTCTTGGTAATTTACTGATCCTATGAATTCAAAGCTTCTTTTCATTTTCTTCTCTATATCATGGTAGAACCCGTGCACATAATTGAATAGCCTTTCTTCATGATTACCTCTCAACAGATAAATATGTTTTGGAAACAAAATCTTCAAACTGAAAAGAAAGCATATCACTTCAAGTGAGTACTTTCCTCTGTTTATGTAATTTCCAAGAAATATGTACTTAACATTGTTCTCTTCTTCAATGTGTGCTGAATCGCCTGACTCTTCATGCGATGATTTGAATCGCTCACCTCCGGATCGTGCGTCTCTGCCACAGTACTCTCCATTTCTGCAGCCATTTCTGCAGCCATTTCTGCAGCCATTTCTGCAGTCACTTCTGCAGTCACTTCCCCGGCCTCTAATCCCTGCACCCCTCCTCCCTTTTTGATCTAAGGCCAGCACGTCCTGAACACTCATCCACTCGTTCGAGCCCTTGTGAATTGGCCAGTTATACATGTTGAAAAAGTCAAAAATGTCATACAAATTCCCATGAATGTCCCCAAATATCTTACAAGGCAGCTCAACAAACTCGAGCGAATCTTCCAACTTCAGCAGTTTCGCTACTTCATCACATAAAAGAATAATGTCATTATATATGCACACAGATGAACATATTTTTACAAAATTCTGCCTATATTTTTCTCTCTTCTTCTTGTAGCTCATCTTGTAAAATGTAGAAAATATTTTAAATGCGATATCCTGATTAAGACTAAATAATCTTGTACTATTTGTTAAATATTTTTCCCGATAAATTTTTACTATTTCTTTCATCTTCATAATACACTTACTCCATCTATCTTCACTTTCATTAATAGTTGGATTTTTCCTCTTTACCATTAAATCTTTTTCATTTCCCCCGAAATGTGGTGCGCTCTCTGTGCTTCCCTCTACTTCTGTTGTCTCTCTTGAACTGCACAATTTTCTCTCATTTTTATCATCTCTCAAGTCTTCAAAATGGAGTTTATTCCTCACTAGAGTATCTCTCTTCTCATCTATCACGCCTCTGTCCATAACCCCAGATGATAACAACGGGTTGTGCATCCCCTTCTGCTCTTCCTCCATTTTTGCACTCATCTGACGAGCACTACTTACTTCGAACTCTCCGGAATTCATTTCTCTCTTCTGCTCGAAATCATTCTCCATTCGATTTTGAGAAAAGCAGATTCCATTGATTCCATTTTGGACATATACAAAATCTTTCGCTTCACCAAGGTGGTTCTCCTCATTGTTCCCAAAGTGCTGGTAAATTCCCTTGTTAATCTCTTCATCAAATTTTATGTCACAATTTGATTTTATATTTATTGTACTATTCAGATCGTTCCCATCTTCTTCCACATTAGAGTAACTACTTGATTGTTCTTCCTCCATCCGCTGCCCCTCCATCTGCTGCTCCTCCATCTGCTGCTCCTCCATCCGCTGCTCCTCCATCTGCTGCTCCACCTTCATCTTCTCCTCCTTTTTCTCTAATTCATGATTTAATTCTTGTATCTCCTCTTGGATGCTGTTTGCACTTTTTAGATGATTCCCTGTAACATTTTTTGCTAATTCCTTCTGATTATCATTTTCCACTTGGTTATTCTCTCTCTCATTTGGAATCCTTGATATGCACACAGATTTAATCGAATTGGATTCTTCCTTACTCCGCTTCGCTTCTTCATCTTCAATCATCTCATCCCTGTTCGTTATTGCATTAGTGTTTTGAGAGAAAATTCCTTCAGAGGAATATCGATAAACTTCGTTTTGTCTTTCCTTATAGGTAGGAGCTTCCCCAATTTGGTTAACTTCAATTTGGGCTGTTTCCCCAATTTGATTTGATTCCCCAATTTGATTTGATTCCCCAATTTGGGTTGCTTCCCCAATTTCGTCTGCTTCACTCGCATCTACCACGAAAGAGGTGCTCCTCCCAGAGTCTCTCCTCTTGTTCACTACATCAAAAGAATCATCCTCAGTTACACACCCTTCGGAAACAATTCCCCTCGCATAAGTGTTCAGGAAATACATCTTCACAACATTGGCCACATCATAGTTGGACCTGAGAAGGTTCTGCGTGCCTTCAATTTTTTTGTTTAATACTAAATAATAGAAATGATCGTAGCTAATTTTTTCACACTTGTTCATAATTTTATCTCTTTCAATTGTAACAAATTTTTTTAATTCTTTTTTATTCCTCTTTAACTTTATATATTTAAAATTCTTCGACAATTCATACACATGATAGAGGAACACAAGCATTTCATTTTGGTTCAAATAACCATCTCTATCCAAGTCGTATGCACGGAAAATTAACTGATGTCTTAATTTTCCTGTGTCATGTGATATGTCGTTGTCCATTTGAGGACTACAAGCTAACATACCAATTAAAAAATCAGATTCACTAACATAGTATCTTTTGCATCTATCTAAACAATTAAAAACGAATAATACAATTTTTTCCGATGCAAAAATATTTTTGTAGTTTTTAAAAATCATTTTAAAATTTTTAAATGAAATGAAATTGGGATATTCCGTATGACCATATTGATTAAATACATATTTTAAAAAAATTATCTTTTCCACAATTTTATTATTCTTCTTCTTATTCAATTCGTAAATAATTTGTTTCATTACTTCACTTATTATGCTACTCTCATTATCACTGTTTAAATAATTTACAAAAATATCCTTATTATAACCATACATGTCAAATAACAAACTATACAATGCATGCTTTTCCATATTCTCACTTTCATTGTATGATGATATGATATTTTTCACTAGTCTATTGTGTGATACCCATTTTGTGAAGTCATTCTTATCATAGTTACATTGCGTGGTCTCTTCTTCCTCTCTTGAATGTGCATCATCCTTTTCTTCCTTTTCAATTGGATCTACTTCCGATTGGATGCAATATTGGCTTAACTTCCCATCCATATTATCTACAGATAACCTTCGGACGACACTGTGGTCTAGGCAATTCCTAGCCCTCGCATCAGGTATCAACATATTATTACATTTTGAATCATCTAACATGATCACATCTGTGTTCATTTTAATTTCCTCACTGTTAGATGCATTGCTACTATTCCAAGATATATTACTCTTTCGAAACATTTCCATGGACAAGTCATTAGGATAACAATCTCCAACATCAATGGGATATTTCTCTACATCAAGATCCTTATAATGATATTCAGACGTTTTGCTCAATCTTCTACTTCCCCATTCATTTACCAATCCTGCATCTACTTCATTTACATTTTGAACACGTATCATGAACCCATTTTTTTTTGGCGCTTTTTCAAATGGAACGAGAATAACGCCTCTTCCTTTAGAGATTCTTCTCATATTACTATATCCTGTACTCGAAATGGTAGGATGATATTTTTTCCATTCATCCTTAGAATGTCTCATTCTTTCTGTTTTCTCTCCACCCGAATGAAGAATACTTTGACTTATACTCAATTGGGGGGTTGGATTCACATAATTGGTATTTGTTAAAAATACTTCTTTTTCATATTTTTTTCCGGAATGAAAATTTCTTTTCATCTGGATTCTTGTTTGTGATGCCTCCTTGTCCATTTCTTGGTGTAGCTTATTTGTGCACATATTTTCTGACGAGCTCAAGGGAGGTATCATGTGTGGTGACGATACTACATAAGAGGGAGGAACCACAAGGGGAGGTGGTACTACATGTGAGGAATGCACCATAGGAGAGGGCGATATCACACGAGGTGAATGTATCAGATAGGATGGATATATCCCGTGTGCAGGCGACACCATGTGCAAGCTGTTGATGCTGTTCATGCGTTGTCTGTGATGTGATGACTCGCTCACACTTCGTCCATTGGATCCGTTTCGTGGGTTCAGATTGACTATTGTACCCGTTCTCCTCCCTGTCATATTTTCTTGTACATTCATGTAATTATTCCTTTCACTCTTTAAATGATACATCACTGTGGTGGGTACTACGCTAGCTCTCATATTCATGCTGCTATAGTTAACTTTTCCAAGAGCTTCGGATCCTGTTGCAAAACTGCACTGCTTCTGGTCTTCATATGAATATGGAAACAATAACGAATCAGCTTCATGATTTGCATAACTTTTATTACTAATATTTCCAGCCAATTTTTCATCATGGCTGACATTCCCTATGTTGTTCAGTTCAAGTGGAATAAAGCTATTCACGTGATCAGTTGAAGCGATTTGATTGATCCCGTTGGATGTCTTTTTTAGAAAGGACCCATCTAATGATGTATTCTCTTTCAATGTATATCCATTCGTCATTTGTAGTTTCTTTGACCTCATCTCTTCAGCGATTCTCATCTTCTACGCCTTTTATTTTATTATTTTATTTTATTTTTTTTTTTTTCTACTTGATTTTTTTCAGAAAGAACCAAAATAATCACTAATTGAGGTGTGAGATATTCCTCTCTACGTTATTCTAGTTGCACCGTTAAGTAATACTAAACAAATCGAGATTTATCTCTTTCCTCCTATCATTCCGGGTGTGTGCTTATCCAACATGTAGGATGCGCCTTGATCAATTCCTACGCATTTGCTGGCTAACCTTTTTATTATCAAAAAGGTATGTGCACAGATACATATATCTATGTTTGCACAAGGAAGAAATCTGTATAAACTGGAGCTCCTTCTTATCTGTTTTGATTCTTTTGAGATATGTCCTCTTGGTTACCCTATGGACAAAGTGTCTCTTTATGTGTGCTGTAACCTATGCTAACTAAATGCCGATGGGAAAGGGTGTGTTCGAGATTAGAAGGTATTTGTCAGACCTCTAATCCTGAATATAATTTAATTAGGTTGCTAAAAAGAATAAAAAAAGAGTACCTACGTGCACATGTGTACATGCGTACCTGTACATATCTTTTGCAGGAAAATTTTCTGGGAGAACAATTCAGGTGAACCTTTCACCTGTTTAGTGGCTAAAAGGGGAGAAATTGTTCCCGCTTCCTTTAGCATCACTTTTGCTTTTCTTCTTTTTTAGCTGAATTTCCAGATTCTCTTCACCCTATCGACACACAGCGTCCGTATATACACCGTTATGCATACACACAAACATAAAGACACAAAAAAATTTTAAATGATTAGTTAAAAAAAAAAAAGTGCACCAAGTGTCTTGCAATCTCGTGGGCATGGTGGACACAGAAAAGAATGGCATGCACAAAATGGTGTGTAAAGAAGGGTGTGTAAAGAATGATGTGTAAAGAATGGTGTGTACAAAATGGTGTGCAAAGAATGATGTGTACAAAATGGTGTGTACAGAATAATGTGTACAAAGTGAAAAAACAAACACAACGAACGTTACAAGCGGGACGAACAAAAATGCAATGTCCAACTTTGCTGGCAAAAAAGGCAATATATATATTTTTTTTCTTTCTTTTTTTTTGTTCATGTATTTTTTTCATTTTAGTTCATTTTTTTTTTTTTCCTTTTTGTTCATTTTTTTTTTCCTTTTTGTGCACACGGAGAACTGCAAAATTTTCCTTTTCCCCACAAATGGGAAAAATGCATCAACCATCTACCTCCACCAAATGCACACGAGCAGGTGCATGCGTATCGTACCCATCACAAACATTCGAGTGTAACAGTTCAAAAACAACCCAATTTTGTGCAACATGAGATGTTAGTAACACCTCTACACATTCGTTTCCTTTTCAATGATGCATTTGTGTGCATACATAATTATTCCTTGTGTTCCCAAAAAAAATGAAAAAATGAAAAAATGTAAAAATGTAAAAATGCATGAACAAAGGGAAAAAAATACATGAACAAAAGGAAAAAAATACATGAACAAAAAAAAAAAAAAAAAAAAAAAAAAAACAGCAACCCAATTGGCTAGCAAACCAAACAGTTACATTTGCATACTACCTCTCCTCCCCCCCTTATTTTTCTCACTTGGGTTACTAGACCAAAAAAAGTGCGTAATGAACATGGTCAGAAATCGGACAGGAGAATAATTATCCAGTCCCATGGGAGAAAAAAATAAAATAAAAAAAATAGAATAAAAATGTAAATAATGTATAGCTCTACCCCCCCCCCCCCCTTTGCTTATGCAGTACCTACAGACGGAACTCCAGATAGTTTTCTCACCACACGTGGTAATTCAAAAAAAATAAAAATTTTAAAAATGCTTGCATCAAGTGATGTGTCTTGGTTGGAACGTATTTTTTGTTTGGGACAATAATGGAGGGGGATACACAGAAAAAAAGGAGAAAAAAAAAAAGTTGTAAAAATTGGTCATAAAAAGTGGTCATAAAAATTGCTTATAAAAAGTGGTCATAAAAATTGGTCATAAAAATTGGTCATAAAAATTGCTTATAAAAATTGGTCATAAAAATTGCCTATAAAAATTGGTCATAAAAATTGCTTATAAAAATTGGTCATAAAAAGAGGACATAAAAATTGGTCATAAAATTGGGGGATAAAACTGGGAAATAAAGGAAAGGGGTAAAATAATTTGCGGGACAGGAGAAAGTAAACCAATCAGCCCCGACAGCCAAACACAAACAAAGTAAATCAAGAGCTGCAACATGTCCAAGCAGGAGCTCGCATAACTGCAAATTTAAAACGAATGAGAGGTAAGGCACAGAAAATGTAAATACAGAATGACGAACTCCAATAGGCATATCAAATTCGTCATGAGCTCCCCTTTGGTTATGTGAAAAAAAAATGATAATACTATCACGAACCATGTTGCAGTTATGATCTGTGATAAAAAAAAAAAAAGTTGTGTTCCATGGTGACATTCCTCTCTCCCCACTATGCTGTTAATGTGTTAACACATAACGCACATGAAAAAAAAAGATAGTAAAAATAAAAAGCAATAACCATCACATGGCATGCCTTCCGCTGCTACCAACTGTACCAACTCCGTCACCACTGCAACAACCGGACGATCGCTTATTTACCAACTCATCGAGATGAAACCTTCGCGACATGAACAGATTTCCTGTAAAAATAGTAGGACTGCAAATCCAGGAGGAGCAACAAAATGATGATTATCAAGAAAATGTAGAAGCGAGAAGAAATGGATTCACATTTTTTCGTCTCTGGGTTTAGCGTATAAAAATACCATATAGAACAGTCTGGATCGACACAGATATTCAAAGCGGGTTCATAAAATTGATTCCCCACACACTCAGCCCTTTGTGTGCATCCATCATTTGTATAATGGTAACTTTTCTTATTTACAAATCCGACTCTATAATTTTCCTGATCTGCTACTATATAAAAGTTGTTCATTACATACGTGCCGAATTTTATTAAAGGCTTCGTTGTCCTTCCACTGTTTTCGCTCGATACTCCTTCATGTGCATCTGGAACAACACATAAGTAGCCATCATTTGGTCCATTTTCATTAATTATGAGATTGTCCAAAGGAATATTAATTTCTTCAATCCTATATACGTTATCTTTCCTCTTAGTATTATCTACAAATATACCATTGTTATTAATCTCTCCTCCAATGTTATTATCACTCACCATATCATTATCAGAAAGGTAAAATTTCAATACAGGCAAAGGTCTGCTATTCATATGAACAGAACACATTCTGGGTACTCTATTTTCATCAAATATAATTTCCTTATTTTGAGGTATACACCTTTCATCATTTTTGTTAACTGGTAAATACTCCATCAAGCTTAGCCAAAACATTTTGGGCAAAACTAAACATTTGCTGCTCAAATCTATAACACCTTGCCAATTGCTACTGTACTTTCCAAATATGTTTTTATTACAAACTTCTAAATTGTATATGGTAAACTGCATGAACGAGTCAGAAAAAATACCTCCTCTTTCTCTTGGTTCTGACCACACAATGGGTCCAAATGTTTTCTTATAATCTCCTACATGTATTTCGGAGATCTTCACATCCTCTTCGGCTTCTTCCACTTCTTCAAATTCTTCGTTCCCATTTCTTACATTCGTGCTATCTTTTCCCTCGTCCTGAACTTCACACGATTTCCCACTCGACGATGTGCTACTACACTTAATTTTTTTCTTTCTCGAAAGGAACTTAAAATGGGAAGAGGATTTATTAGATTCCAAATTTTGGCTAGCTGACTGAACGTACGGCTTAATTGCATCTTCAGGAAAATTAATGTCAATCGCATATAATGATTTATTTTTTTCGAGAATGTTATTCCATGGACTTACGCTCCTACAGCTTAGTTCATTTCCTGCCAACCCTAGGATTCCATCTGTGTCATTAAACAAGCTCCATCCTTTATAAACTGACAAATCTGTAATCAGTTTCACATCGACATTCTGAAATGTTGTATCATCATCCTGCACATTCCCTTTTCCTCCACTTTCTCCCTGAATCCTCGACGATTCATACATAAAGTCTACAATTTGAACATCATCCGATCCTTCCACATGACTTTCTGTATACTTCAAAGTGTCATAATACATACTTGGATATTCAGCCTTATTTTCTAATATCAAATTACTTTCACTATAACACTCATACGGTTTGGACAATATAGGAGGTAAACACAGAAGATCATTATTACACCATCTTGAATTTCTAGCTTTGTTTGGATCATAGCATGTTCTTTTCTGTTCATCATTTACATTACATGCTTGAGAATCTTTCATGAAAAGGTATATTCCCTCGAGTCTACTATTCAACGACAGTTTTAATAATTGTCCTCCTACGTTAACATTTGTATAAATGTTTTTATTTTCAGTAAAATGTATATTTAAAATACTTCCATGAAAATTACCATCTGGGTCGTTACTATTTCCTTTCTTCCGTAGGATTGTATTACTATGTATTTTGGAATTATCATTTCCTTCTTCTTTTGCTAAAATCCGCATTACCCTATCATTGCCCTTTTTGTGGAATGAGCTAAACATGCTATTATATGTGTCCAATTCATCGTGGGTCCATTCTTCTACTTTTGGTTTCTTCTTCCACTTAGATGATTCCATTCTATTTACATTCGAACGGTTTGTCATCTTGTTAAGTGTCATCTTTTTGAGTGTCACATTGTTGAATGTCTTCTTTGTCATCTCGGTGCGTGTCCCATTCATGTGTATAACTTCTTCATATAGAGCCGAGTAAATATCAGCTTGCCCAATAGTTACCTTTTTAAACTTCTTACATTCCACATTTTCTAGATAATCATATGCATTTACAGAATGAAAAAATTTATTGTCCAAATTAAGCACTGAATCGACATCATCATGATGTTCTATTCCATCCATTCTGTTTTTACAAAAGGGGAGTACACATGTAGGAAACGATGTGTTAATTCTATTTCCATCCTTTTGGTGATTGTCGCTTTTTTCTTCCTCTTTGCAGCTCTTCGAATTTTCCTTATCACCTGACCCACACGTACATATGTTCATATCATTGTCCAAAATTTTCTCTAGTGTAACATTTCCTCCATTTTTGTTATCTCCTCCTGATCCATCTTTCACATTCCAATTTCCACTTCCTACCACTGCATCATTGTATGCAGTCCCATAGAGAAGCAATGTGCTCAGAAGTAGTGAAATAAAAAAACGGGGTTTGCATTTTGTGTTTTTTAAATCCATTAATTCGATTCATGCATGCACGTATAGAGATATACATAAATATGGGTATAAGAAATTTTGTATCTATATGAAGATGTGTGTGTGTACATATATGCAGATATTTAAATATAGGAAAGGAATGTGTGTCCACACACATATACACCTCGATTAGGTCTTGCACTGGTGGGAGTTACGTTATAATTTTTTTTTTTTTATTCTACTTTGAATTTTCCCTATTTTGTGCTACTTTCTTGATATCGTTTTTCTTTCCTGAAATTTTTTTTTCCTCCTCGTTTTTGGTAATTCGTATGGGGGTCTCATGGATAGTCCACAAAATACCATTATGAAAAAAAAAAAAAAAAAAAGTGCCACTTAGCACTTTGCAACTTTTTTTCCAAAAACTGTTCAGCGCTTCAAAATTGTTTACAGCAAATATATTTCAAAATTCCCTTTCCTTTCTCTTTCCTTTTTATTCCTTTTTTTTTTTTTTTATTTTTAATCAGCTCGTGCAAGGAATGGGGGTGTAAAAAAGTAGTGAAATAGTATAATAATGCAAAAAAAAAAAAAAAAAAAAAAAAAAAAAAAAAAAATTAAAATAAGTATATGTAAAAATCCAAAAAAAAAAGAAAAAAGAAATCAAAACGGATAAGAGAAGATAAGATTGATGGGAACGAATCAGACCAAATTCAAAATGAAGTAAAATGTATATATAATATTAAACCCTCCTTCGTATAAAGGAAAATTAAGAAAAGATTTTACATTGTTGTAATTCTTTTTTCTCTCAACTAGTTTTTTTTTTTTTTTTTTCTTTTTCTCTGTTGTGGTTTGTCGCTTTCCTGACATTTGCGTGTCGTTTCTTTATTCCCTTTTTTTTTTTTTTTTATTTCGCCTTTATCCATATGTTGTTTGAAGAAAAAACCTTTTTTTTTTTTTTTTTTTTTTTTCTAACGTGAAGCTGAAATAATTATAAATAGAAAATGTAAATCCATTAGTGAATATTACCCAAGTGTTAAAATAATAAAATGGGAAGAAGTAGAGAGAGAATGGTTGCCCTTTTTATATTTTTTTTTTTTTTTTTTTCACTCCTATAATCGCGCCTGTGGTTTTTGTTAATATGTAGAAATAATACACATAAGAAGGGTATTAGTTATTTACATACGGAAAATGAAAAATCCAGCTTGGTTTGCCACGATTTTATTTGATTTTTTTTTTTTTTTTTCCCCTCTCCCCTTTTTTCCCCGCCATATGTATTAAATTTTCTTCACATCCTCCTAATTATGTGGGTTCAAACTGTTCTCATGCCTCACATTTGTTACACATTCCTGATCCTCATTTAACTATTCTTTACATCTTATACATATATATATATATATCTACAGAGGACAAGTAGAAGAATAAAATGATAACGTCCAAACGCACCCCCTCCCTATCTGCTCTCAGAGAAATCATAAAAAAAGGTGTTCTTTTATAAGGGTGGAACATGATTCTATGTAAATGAATAGATAAGTAGGATATATATATGACTTAACAGTGTGAGAAGTTATCATTATGCACGTTACTAGTATATGAAAGCATGTGTTTCCAAATATATGAATATGCATCCCCCACACATCATCATGGTGGAGAATAGGGAAAAGCTCCCCTCAAGTGGAACGATTAAACGGTTGCAATGTTTACAGTGTCGATAAATTTTTTTTTTTTTTTTTTCCGTTTAATAAAATACTCATCCAAAAAGTTGTATTTCCCATTTTGAAAATAGTCAGTAGGGGGAAGGAAAAAAAAAAAAAAAAAAAATCAACTGTGTGTGTGTGTGTGTGTGTGTGTGTATATATATATATATATATGCATACGCTTTTCCCCGGTTAGGAACTTTTATTTACGGGAATTTTAAATTGTACATACACCTCCAACATAACGGCAGTGTACAAATCATCCTTATCCTCTTGGCTGCTCCAGCAATTTACCCCTTTCGCCTTAACACATTTGTCTCTACAATTATTTATGCCAACACTCACACACGAATCATTTATTTTCATTGGTAATTACTTATAAATAGTTCAATAGCATAATCTATCTTCTTCCCCTTTTACACTTTCAATTATTTGGCAGCCAAACTGAATACATTAAAAATGTTCTCAGAGGAATTATACAAGTGAATATTTAACAAAAAAGGGGAAAAAAAAAAAAAAAAAAAAAAAAAAAAAAAAAACCTCAATTTCAGTTGTTCTCGTTTATTTATTCCTTTTATTTTCCATTGTAAATTTTTTGTGTCTTGTATCTTCAGATTTTTTCTTCTGTGTATATTTGTTTTCCATCTCGCTCATTCGTACGTTCCTATACATTCGTGTGTTTAGTTTTTTTTCGATTTGTGCAATTTTTTTTTTTGCTTGTTTTGCCTGAACAGCAATATATTAATCTCTACATAAACCTCCCAAAATGGAGAGAAAATTAAAATTAAAATTTTTAAAAAAAAAAAGAAAGTTTTTCAGACATAGTAGGACATCACAATAAAATATTTCACATGCATTTTACGAATAGTGGACAACCTCAATCTTAAACTTTAAATCATGTTTCATTTTATTTTATTTCTTTTTTCTTTTTCTTTCCTCACAGACGTACACAGTAATTCTTTTGTACAGGAAGTCCTTTCCTTCAATGAAAGGTTACAGAAATGCACTCCTTTCGTTCTTTCATTTGTTCTTTTTTCCCCTCTTTTTTTCTTACTTTCTTTCCTTCATTCTTTACTTTTTTTTTTTTTTTTATTTGCCTATCCCTAAAAAAGTGCCACACCACTTTTTTTCAATATATGCCTGCGCATAATTTCCGAATGTCGTATTTGTAATCACCTGAACGGTTCATGTAAATTCTAAGCGGTGTGTGCAATTTATCTATATCCCAACATGGCAATTATCACACGCGAATATCACACACACGTACATAACACACGCTTGAATTTTTCGTCCTAACTGCAGACATATGGAACACTCGAGCATTGAGAAAAAGCTAATGGTTACATGACAAAAATGCACAAAATAAAAAAAAAATAAAATAATAATAATAAATAATTCTGAACAAATAATCACAACATATCCAATAAAATGGATATGATAAAAGAGAAAAATATTATTCTCTTCTCACGTGCAACAGAAGTAAAAGGCAATAATACTTATTTTCACTTTTCCCCTCACCCCTCACCCCTCACCCCTTTTTTTTTTTTTCTTTTCTCATTAATTGTGCACATAAATAGGGTATGATTATTATGACTAATTATTACTACATTTTGAATAATGCGAAGATATATAGCAAACATTTTAAACGGTTAAATTTTTATAAAAATCTAAAAAAAGATATACGTATAAATAAACCTCAAAGCATAGATGCCTATTTCCATGCGTTATCAAGAACTGTAAATCGTATCATATATGGTGATTTCTTGCATGAAATAAAAAGAAAACAAAATTCCATTCACAATGTGGACACAGTGTATACAATGAAAACCAGTGCGGATATGCATATTCACCAATCTCTACTTCAAGCATTTGAAATACATTATAGATCTATACTATCTTCATTGACAATACCACAGTTATGTTTCATATTTTACAAATGTCAAGATAACCATGTTCTACAAAAGGAAACCTTTAAAAGTACTTATATGAAAATAATACGACGTAGATATGGAATACCTTTCGATGTATTTTTTAAATAACTACTAAACCAACATTTCTGAAGTTGGTAATCTCAAAGGGGGCATACTTAAGTTCCATTCCAGACAGGGAGAAAAAATGCCATAAATCAAAAACAACAACAGAAAAAAAAAAAAAAAAAAAGAAAAAGAAAAGAAAAAAAAAGAAAAGAAAAAAGAAAAAAGAAAAGGAAATCCCTTTCAAACGCTCATAAAGGACGTAGAACCTTCCTTTAGGAGAAGAGTTATACATATATACACACAACAACTACTAGCGTGAATTTCTTCTATGTTTTTACTCTCTTGCTAATATGGTTTTTTTGTATACACCTCTAACCATTTCGAACATGATACATAGATTTAAAAATGTTAAGGGACCCCTTCATTACTGCCTCTTGAATTCATACTTCTTGTTCTCGTAAAACAAGTCCGTCTTTGCACTACCCAAATTCACGATTTTGGGACAACCGTCTCGCTAAAAAGATGGAAAAATGTACATCCATAAAATATGTCCATAAAATATGTCCATAAAATATACGTCCATAAAATATACGTTCATAAAATTTACCTCGATAAAATTAAAGTCAATGAAATTAAAATGGTAAATAGATAACTGAAATAAACACTCGCGTGCTCATAATTCTCGTAAGCTAAAAGAACACGAACGATTTGAGTGCTTCTCATGTGTGCATGTATATGTGTGTGTCTGCTTTACTTACATCCTTTTCGCATAGGCAACATTCTTTGCAATAATATGCATCCGATATCCCAGTTCCTCCACAAATGATACATCTTCCCTACAAAGAATGAGAAACAAGGATGTAAAAACGAATGTGCCGATAATCAACAAATCTGCTATAAATGGTTAATCATATTGTATTTATTCTCATACACATATATGTATATGCCACAAACTTCACTCTCATATGGTGTCTCTTTTTTTTTTTCCTTTTTTTTTTTAAAAAAAAATCTACTTGGTAACTTCCATAGTTGCATTCATCACATATCCTCACTAGGGTATATGGTCTCACATATGAATCACAAATTGGACATTTCCCATCGCACTTTTCGCATAATCTACCGATGGCTGTAATGGCAGGTGGTGAAGGAATCAGAAGAGAAATCGAGGTTTTTGAAAAAATGTGTAAACAATGTATATACACGTAATATTGCTCAATATGGGTAACACGGTATTTTATGCAGACGTAGCTTGAAGTACATATGAACGGGAGAAATGTGTCATCTTTTTCATTGTATATAATAAAGAACTATTATATACATAAATATGAAACGTTGCAGATCTACTATATATATATATATATATATATTTTCTTTTTTTTTCATAAGGGGATCCATATGATATGTTATACCTATTCCCGGTTGCTTTCTGCACATGATCAGATCAGGATCTGCAAAGGGGCAAATACAATGGGTATGGAAAATGTGGAGAGTTATTTTTCTCTCAACAAAAATTAAAGCAATTCATCAGGATCGAGGACCTATGTACGTGTATACCAAATTGGTAAATGTTGCTAAACATAGATGAATGTTTTCATTTTTTTTTTTTTTTTTTTTTTTTTTTTTCCCCTTTTCCTCCTTACGATGTCTGGCCGCCATTATTTAATGAATCAGAAAAGGTGACAAACAGGATGGAAACAGAAGTTGGAAATGTTCATATTCATCTTTTAAGGTTTTGCTCCTCTGATATATATTTTTTTTTTTTTTTGCTCGTTTGGTTTGTTTTCTGTTTTCCCAAAATTTTTGTTGTATTCCTGGTTAAGCCTTATTATGGACGCATAAAAGGAAAAAAAAAAAAAAAAAAAAAAAACACGTGGTTTTTATCTTATGTGAAGAAAAGTCAAATATATCTGATTTGATTACGTATTAAATATATATATTGCTACATCTTCATGTAAAAAAAAAAAAAAAAAAAATGTTAAAGAGTGAATAAATAATTTCCCATTCTCTGTTTAATTCACAGTGGTATGCAAAAATGTTTTTGTATTTCCTAAAAATATCGTCCTTTTTTGCAAATTTTAGTTTCTTAATTTTTTTAAATATTTTTTTACTTTTTAAAATAGCCTAGTAAAAATAAACCAAGTATCGAATTTTGCCGTTTTTGAAAACATCCCCACAAGTAGCCTGACAAACTTTACAACGCATCATTTTTATACATAATCTAACAAAAAAAATTTACGTAAAAAATGTTCAATTTTTTACTGTGAATTTTTTTGCCAAATAATAATCATCATCAAGCATTCTCTACTGTAACCTATTTTGTGAATAATTTCTGTTTTATGAAAAGTCGTAATTTTATGTAGAAAAAAACACGATCACAGATTTGATTTACGGAAAAAAAAAAAAAAAAAAAAAAGAGTCAAAACAAGCACATGCCATCTCTACATTGTGAAGGGGCAAAAAGAGGGGTCTGGGGGAGAAAAACGTGAACTTGCCAATTTTTCCGTTGTTACAAACTTTCTTATAAACGGTTGCAAAAATGTAAAAGTACGCATCCTTGCATGTGTTTCGTCAAAGGTTAGAGAAGTTTATCTCTTACTTAGGTTACGCACATAAGAATGAGATGAAAGAGAACTTACCTCTCCAACTGTTTTTTTTTTTTTCATACTGCAGAAAGCTAAACAAACTCTGGTGTACATCGCACATCGACAACATAGTGGTAAATGTGAGGTGCATAGGACTTTACTCGTTCCACATGTAATATAGATATATTCCAATTTGTCTTATGTACAAAGTAATCGTTCAATGCCAATTTAAAAATTTCATACAAAACGAATTGTGCAAAGTAGAGATTCACTGGAATATTGTTTCCTGTGTAAGAAGAAAAATCCTTGCTCTTATTCCTCAACTTTCCTGTTATTCCATTTTTACAATTGGTGTGATAACCCCCTATGGTACCGCTATGAGAGGGAGGAGACAATAAATCTCCATACGTGGTAACCCTACTTCGTGTCACTTCATCCGCTTCTCCCTCTTCTCCAGCTTCATCCACGCCTGCCTCCCCTTTATGGGCTAACTGAGCGAACGGAAAATGCTTTACAGCAACAATATTGACGACCTTGGGTTTTTTTACATAATCGTAGGTTCTAAATCGAGTAAAGAATTGATCTAGAAAGGTGTTTTCCCCAGTACCATGAATGTGTAAAACTCCTCCAACCTTATCATCTATCATATGGAATGCATTTTGCCATGCGTCTTTACTGTGTGGTAGTAGACCTAGCAATATTCTATGACATTTTTTAACAAGTTTTACATTCTTTGTTTTGAGAAATGAGTTCATCCTCAAAATGTGTAAATTATTTTTTTTTATTTTGTTGAGTCTTATCGATTCTCTTAATAACTTTAATGAATCTTCATTAATATCACAAGCGTAATATTCATTTATTTTTTCATTACCAACAAATTTTAACAATGGCAATGTAAAATAACCAGCACCACAAAATAAATCAACTACATTTTCCTTACTTACCACCATATTGGATTCATCTTTATACAAGTTCTTCATTCTCTCCTTTTCTGTACCATTTCCTAAGCAAAACATACACTTTTTCAGATTCAATTTGTACATGACATTATTTTCACGATGAATTGTTTTTACATTTTTCCCATACACTAAATGTATTTTATTTTTACGCTTAGCCCCTTGTATCTTTTCATAAATTGCTATCGATTTTATTTTTGCTCCTCTTTTTTTATTTTTTCTTTCTTCATTAATAACATATAGTTCTTTTGACCATTTTTTCATTTTAGCTAGCTGGTCTATTTTAACCCTTCGTCGTCCTATTTTTCGTGAATTCCGATCTGCTAATTTGATTCGGGTTCTTTTTTTTTTTCCCCCTTCTTCATGGGATGATTTTTTCTCCCATTGCAATTTTCTCCTTCCTAAAGCGGTTAGTCTCTTCACCAGATTTGCAAATTTACAAACAGTATCATTATTCTCTCTCCAACCTCTTGTCTTCCCCTGTCGTTCATGGTGCTTCTCACTCGAAGGATATTGGTCCTGCTTATGCATTTTAGCTGGCTTACCCCTGAACCTGTTGAACGTATTTTTTACATCTATCCAAAATTTATCCACTTCTTCAAGGAACTGCCTCTCTTTGCATTTTCTCATCAGAATTTTCATATTGGTGTAATTCAATGTGGAGAACTTCTTCCCCTTCACATTGTTCTTAGAATAATGTTCTTGAGTTTTATTTTCCTCTCGATTTCTTCTCCTAAATGTACGATACAATCTGACAATGGGTTCTAGATGCATATAGTGAAAGATTAAAATATTACCCACGATTTCGTATTTTGTGCTAGCCCTTAAAATTTGTTTCCTCTCAGAGGCACTCACATAATTCTTTATCTTTTTATTTACAAATTTGGTAAGAAGACCTGTAAAGCATTCTTTCAAGCTCCGTTTTTTGCTTTGTTTCTTCCTCTTCCTCGTCTTCTTCTGCTCATTCTCCTTTTTCTCCCCACTTTGACGTGCATAATAAATTTGCCCCTCCTCGGTCAGGTGTACCTTACAAAGGGAAATATTCTGCCTTATTTGCTCAAATTTTTTTAATGATTCTATTTTTTTTAAAATAGGAATTAAAAATGCATCTACGATATTCCCATTCAACAACTCTTCCTTGAAAATCTCAATTTTTCGATTCTTATCATATATCTTTATACTTTCCAAAAATGTTTTGACATCCTTCACACATGTTCTCTCCTTTACAATTAGGTATAATTCATTCGATACTCTCTTACCAAGCGGACACATTTCTCTTCTACAAGAAATATCTTGTTCTTTTATTGATCCTGTTTCATTCCTTTCATGTGTCACTCTCTTCCATTTTGCATGTGAATAGGAGTTGCAAAGTTTGTTCTCCTTGCTTGGCACTCCATGGCCCTTAAGGGGGTCTACACACGCGAGTCCGCTTACTTTTTCCACGTCTTCCATTTCTTCTACTTCCACGTCTTCCACGCCTTCCACTTCTTCCACTACTTCTACTTCCACGTCTTCCACTACTTCTACTTCCACGTCTTCCACTACTTCTACTTCCACGTCTTCCACTACTTCTACTTCCACGTCTTCCACTACTTCTACTTCCACGTCTTCCACTACTTCTACTTCTTGCCCCTCCTGGGTAAGTGCCAAAAGAACAGCTCTACAATCTGCATACACTGGAAGGTCGAAAAAACTCCCAAATGTGAAAACAGTGCACCCTCCACCAATCACATACAAGCAACCGTTTTGACTTGCGACCTTTCCCCTCACATACATACTCTGAAAAGGGAAAAATCCAACGTGATACCACTTTTTCTCTTTCATTCTGAATATCCATATATCATTCAATGTTCGATCCATGTTTAAACCTCCCATAAGAACGAAATTGTTATAATTAATTAAACATGTCGCATGAGAGAATCTATTCAGTGGGTACGCAACTTCATCATTATCACCACAACTAGATGTACATGTCATGAAAAAAAATATATCTTTCTTCACATCGTACGTGTAGAGACGGTTCAAGTGCAAAAGATTCATGTCTCCTTCGGTTTTCATATAATCAATTGTAATAGCATCAACTTCTCTCTCTCTTCCTTCCCCTGAATAATTGTAACATCCACCAATTATATAAATCAATTTCCTCTTCTTATTATAAACCATGGTGTGATTCTTTACATATAATTGCTGTTTCTGTTTGGTCTTCTCATGCAATGTATGTTTTCTCTGCCATTCGATGAAGACTTTCCTCCCTCTTTTATCCACAAAAACTTCATCCCGAACTGTTAATTTTCCTTTCCATATATCATTCAAAATTTCATTATTTTCCTTAACACCTCCATACATGTAAAACTCGTACACATCTTTTTGTTTCTTTTTATATCTTCTTACGAATACACATGCATGTCGGTACCTTCCATTAGGAACAGAATCTCCATTACATGTGCACATCTGTGCTTTACTTGTACAATTTTCTCTTAAAAATTCAGTACATAACCCGTCTTCCAAATTGGAATCCTTCCCTTGTTGCATTCCACTTGTCATTCCTTCACTCATGTGATTAATACAATTACTGCACATTCGACAAGGGACACCTTTTCCACTCCAATTTGCCAAGGTCCACACATTTCTTCGTATATCATAGAGCCATACATCGTTCGTGCAATTTCTCGGGTTCTTTCTTCCTCCAAATATGCATGCGTAATTGTCGTCTAACTGGAAAAAGGAGTGATATGATAACGCTGGCAGCTCTGTCTCGTAAGTTCTCAATTCTTTCTTATCCACATCATAAATTTTCAGATTACTATTCCTCACCCCTTTTGCAAATCCTCCAAAAATATAAATTTTACTTTTATGCATGAACATGTCATGTCCCCAAACGAAGAAATTTTCGAGATCCTCCTTAGTGGTAAGAAGTTTCCACTTCAGTAATTGTTTTCCTTCCATTTTTGGAAATTTATTTATTACATACCCTTCAACGGATAGTTCTACGTTATATGTATTCAAATCTATTTCTCTCTTTTGTCTTTTTTTTACTTCAATTTTGTTATTCTTCCAATATCTTTCTCTTGATTCGAAATTATTTATAACCTCAAGGGATGATAATCCTGGTGGTGGTTTTTTTTCTTCATTTCTTCCTGAAAAAGTAAGGTTTCTTTTTTCCATTCGATTGAGCTCATATTTCTCCCCCTTCTGTTCATCACTGGGTTGATAACATTCCACCATTTTCTTACTTACGAGATGCTGATCGATGTTTTCCCAATTACTGCTACTTTTCATGTATTCACTATAACAATGGTAAAACGTCACAAGTTGCTTCAAATTCAGACTCATCTTCTCATTGCATATCCTCAACAATTTCTTGATTTCCTCCCTCTCGAATGTAAATCCCTTTGTCATCAAATGTTCCAATCTCATCGATCCCCTAATTGCCACCGTTACAGAATATTTATTAAAGTTCAAAATGCCACTCTGTTTCAACCCAGCAATTTGTGCTACTTTAAGAAGTTTCAGTGCACTTATAAAATCGACACATTTGACGTGTATAATAAAAGGTTCAAATTTTATATAAATTCTTCTCATATGTTCTTGTTTTATCTCTTCTCTTGTAGATTGCGTTAAATCATCATTATATTTCATCCAATGTTCTATATCTTCTTCACTCGATCTAAATTCTACTTTTTTTACTCTATTTGATTTTCTGTTTTCACTATTATTTATTATTTTGTTAGTATCTCCATTTTCACCATCCATACATGCAGTTTTTACTTCCTTTTTAGATAAAACTTCTTTTGTTAATATATTTTTCACAAAGTTTGTGTCATGTTCCAAATTTTGATGCATATGATTTGTATAAAATATATGAACCTTTTTTCTGTGTATTTTTTCTCCCTTCCTCTTACGCACAAGTTCTATGTCTTCCCTGTTTTTTTCGTCATCCAAATTATGAACATGTTCATAGTTGGAATATTTTCCTTTACCACTTTTATAATTTTCACTTTCTTCATCATAAATTTTTTTCAAATAGGAAATAAAATCATCCTTTTCGATACGCTTTTTTATTTCATCATTTGACACATTTTCGATGTCAAATTTTTTGTTTAACCAACTTTTTCTGCACTTTTTTTCGTTCACTTCCTCAAATATTATAACCCTTCCTGAACAACATGAACGAGTCAAATAATTCTTGTTCTTATTTATTTCATAAATACAAGGGTAAATTAACACATCAATACTTTTTTTAATGGATTTATCATTACTAACATCATTCACATTTTTTTTCTCTATAATGCTTTGAATTTTTGCTTCCATTCTTCTTGGACATTCAAAAACATCTTCCTTATTAGCACCCATACCTTTTTTATATCCCTCGTATATATTCACATATATGTTGCATATATCATTTTCACAACTATCATATATATGTGCATATTTCTCTAAATCATTCTCTGAATTGATAACCTTTTCTACGTTTTTTTTATTTTTCAAAAAAGACTTCATCACGACATATATGTGTAAGTTAAATATGAATTTTTTTTTTTTTTTTTTTTTTTTTATTTCTTTTTCTTCCTATGTGTGCAGTTGTTATCTTGAGAACCTAAAAAGACATTTGTCTATACTATTGGATTCTTATTTGCATTTACCTTTTTCTGCTGTGACATACATACGAGTTGGTACTGCATGAACAAGTCCTGGTAACTATATATATCCCTAGTTTGTTTCATAAATGTTTTTTTTTTTTTTTTTTTTTTTTTTTTATCTCTATTTATTTTTCTTCATATATAGATGAAATTATATATTATTCTTACTCTTAAAATTGAAAAAATTTCTATTCACAGATTGTTTCTGAAGGTTTTTTTTTCTTATTTTTTTCACACTCAGTTTGTGCATTCGTGAGAGAATTCATCCGTTGTTGAATTACATTTATATCACTTCCCCCCCTTGACGTACAAAAAAACTATGGGAAACAAAAAAAAAAAAAAAACATGCTATTCTACCTTACACCTAATTGATAAGAAAAAGAAGGAGACTTCACAAAAGATGTAATATACACGTTGTTTCCCAGCTCACAGATCTTTTATAAACAGCTGTGTATGAATAAGGGACGCATATATGTACATATATATACAGAGAAGTGTAAATGAGAAAAAAAAAAAAAATTAAAGCTACATTAATTCAAAACTGAACAATATCAAACCTATTAGTGCTACTTAAATAATTGTAAATTCAAAAAAAAAACCTTTTAACCATCCAGAGGAGAACGTTGTGTGTGTGTGTGGGGGGGGGGGGTGGTAGATACAAAAAAAAAAAAAAAAAAAAAAAAACAACTCTCATCAAATGATACGTTTTTATTTTTAACAACTATGCGATAAAAAAAAAAAAAAAAAAAAAAAAAAAAAAAAAAATACAAGAATGGGAAAATATTCTGTATTTTTCATCATCATTACTTTATATGAAAATATCATGTTTAAAAAAAAAAAAAATAAAATAAAATAAAAAAATAAAAATAAAAAAATAAAAATAAAGCTTATCCTTACAACGATATAGGATACTCCATAATAAGTATACAAAAAATTTACAGAGTAGAGAACAGGCAAATTTTATCCCCTCAAAATTAACAACCTACTATACTTTGGGGTGGTGGTGGTAGCTACATATAAAATAAACCAGGTTTTTTTACTTATCTTTTCTACAAATGTTTCAAAATTTTTTTTTTTTTTTTTTTTTAAAACTGAGCACGATCTACTTTTGAACGAATGAGTCATAAAAAAGGACCACGTGGGTATGAATATATATATATATGTATATTAATAATGTACTTCTTTCTCCATTCTTTGTTCCTTTTCCACATTTAGTTGCCCTGCACGAAGTGAAGCTTATTTTGACAAAATGGGAAAAAAAAATTAGACTTATTCATGTCATTTGTAAGTGAGTGTTTACTAGTTCCTCGTTCTCTTTTATTCGACAGAAATGTGAGGAGGGGAAAAAAAATTGCCAATATTGATTATGGAGAGAGAAATTTCCGTAAGGTCCCATCCTACTTTTTTATCTTTTGCATCTTTTCACAATTTTTTTTTTTTTTTTTTTTTTTTTTTATTTGGTTCAACGGAGCAAACGATAAAATGAGCTCTTATTGTAAATATTACATTTTTTCCTTTCTCAAAAAATGTGGGGGAAGATTTATGTTTAGCTAATTTTATATTTACAAAATTTAGCCTTATCCAAAAAGTGCCAAGTCCATATATTTTGCGTAGCCATTTTCTATAGATGACGTTGTTTATACATATATATATATATATATATATATATATATATATATATATATATATATATATATATATATATATATATAAGAATAAATGTGAATTTTCCCATGGTTTAAAAACTGGATATTCTTTTTTATATATACAGCCAAGATATTGATACCATTTCAGCGTGGCATGTAATATAATCGTGTCATACATATTTATTAATTTATTAATTATATCCATTTTGTCCTATTCAAAAACATATAAGTGCGTTCTTAGCGGAAACATGAACTACTGCTATATATATGTATGTAAAAATATATATACTTATTTTCACTCATCATGGCATGATTATTTTACCCACACAACAACTCTCATGTATTATTTTTGTGCCACACCATTATTCTGCATGTTCAGATGATTCATACATGCGCAAAAATATTGCATTATGCGTCACAAATATTTATCAATATCAAGTTTAAAATTGTTACGCGCCCCTCAATATTTATATAATATTTGTGGAGCACGAGAAAATTTTGAAAATATTCGCCATGTACAGTATACTACAATTTTCATTTCGTTTCGCTTTATATGAAGAACATATATATGAACATATATATGAACATATATATGAACACATATATAAATACATACTTATATGCCACATGTAATCATAATGCTGCAATTTTTTTTTTCTTGGAAAGCATGAAAATGAGGGAATGCAGAACATTTTGTTTTGAATAAGTTATTCACAAATTAGAACTTTCATTTATATAATTTTTTTGTGGCAATTTTTTTTAAGGGTTGTCATTTTGATGGTTTTGGCAAATTGTTTTACTTTGCATAAAACAGTAATTCAACAACTATCCTGTCATTTAATATTTTTTTTTGATGTCATATTTTGCTTAAATTTTTTTATATAAAAAATAGCTGTGTAAATTTATTTTATTTTATTTTTTTTTTTAGTACTAACCAAAACTGGTATTTTTAACCCATTTTACCTGACTTGTTAATAAATTTTTCCATTACGTCCTATTAACCCTGATTTGAAATAAAAAAAAAAAAAAAAAAAAAAAACTACTTCACGTTTTACATTTAAACGTTGTGTACACGTGCATATATAACAGTACTCATGCAGTAACTGTCATGTTAACTCTCCTTATTCACATGCATGTTATAACTTTATACGTTTGGGGTATATACGAGTTAACCTTTTTCTGTATTTTTACCCTTTCGTGTCCCGTACATGTTTTTTTTTGTATTAATATTAACTAACGTATGCACGAGAAGATATCCCTTCTTGAACTAATTCACACGGCAAAATGAAATTAGGTAAAGGGATAATATGCACAGCTAACAGATATAACAAAGACCTTTCTAGGTTTCTCTTGAATTTCAAAATAAAATAATACATGGAAAAATGTACCTCTCTGTGTAATAATCCATCCCCCCATGTGTGTCCATACTTACAATAATACACACATTGCATGATACACTCCGTTTACGTGCCTTTTCTCCCACCCCCCTTCTCGGCGCTGTTTATTAATATTGATGAATTTAGAAAATCGCCCGTACACATAAATACGTACATAAATGCTTACATAAATATGTACATATATGCATATAAATACTTATATATATGCTTACATAAATACGTACATATATGCTTACATAAATACGTACATATATGCTTATATAAAGGCGTACATATATGCATATAAATACGTACATATATGCATATAAATACGTACATATATGCATATAAATACGTACATACCTTTATGAACCTTCGCAAGTGTGCAATTATTTAACCCCCTTGAAGGACAGACACACGCCTTTGCACGTATGCACGAATAGATTTATTAAATGTAGTAAATTGCTCTTTTTCCTTTTTTCTCTCCCTTTTTTCTCTCCCTTTTTTCTTTCGCTTCTTTTTTTCTTTTCCTTTTTGCTTTTCCTTTTTTTATAAGACAAAACATCCTGCATAAAGACCTGAGTAAAACAGGGGAGAAAAGAATTTATTATATGAAAAAGTGCCTTTTCCCCGCATCCTGTATAAATAACACGTTCATGCATTCGTGAAAAAAAAAAAAAAATTTTAATATAAAGGGGTTATTCATATAGTGCATACCTAACGCTTTTGTCCATTTTCAATTGTAAATAGTATGCAAAATATTGTGTTAGTATATATATTTGCACAATATTTATATAACTTCAGTACTACTTGTCTTTTCTTACATTTGAATGTGCAAAATTTACGCCTGCGCATCTTCACACAGAGCACAAGTATCACAATATCAGACGATTTCTCATAAAGTAACACATTCATTTTTTGTCCTATTTTGAAATTGTCCAGGGTTGACAAAAATGACATGCTACTACATGTTTCACTTTTTTTTTTTTTTTTTTTTTTTTTTTTATATTCTTTTTCCCTTTTTATAATCCCTTTTTTTGTTTATGTCGTTTTGAGAGAGTATAGCTTGAATTAAGTTTTTAATTATCTTCCAAGTCACAGAAAAAACGAGCGTATAAAATTTAAGCGTAACTTTTGAAAGAAGTGTCCAAAAAGTAGGCCACAAAAAAATAAAATAAAATAAAGACAAAAAAGACGCAAAATTACAAGGGAATAGTAGCACCTGAAGCGCAACAAAAAGTTCCAAGCGCATGTATATGTACATATATATGTGTGCTACCCATTAGAATTATAATTCTCTCCGAAGAAGGAACTGAATATATTTTCCTATAGTAACCAGCACCACCCAAAGCATATACATACTTTTTTTTTTATGTATACATATGTGCAAATTTTTTAAGAAAGGGAAAAAAAAAAAAAAAAAAAAATAGATAGATAGATAGATAGATAGATAGATAGAATCATCCAAGAACAGAGACACAATATTTTTTTTTTTTTTTTTTTTAACCATTCATCTTTACGTACCATTTTTTATTCCCTTCTGATTGCAAATTTTTTTATACAACATATTGACACATCCTTCCAAACTTGTGTAACGTCTAAATTGTGAATGTGTACTGTCTTTTTCTGGCACCTATCCGTGTTACATTTTGATGTTGTAACATTTTTTGCTTATCAAAACTTGTACATACAAAATATTAGCCGATTCAAGGATATAATCCACCCCTACACCCCCATTGATTATCAAAGAACAGCTTGAGCTGAAATATATTCATACATAATAACGAGATTCATTAGAAATACAAATTTTCAAACATTTCTCCCTTCCATATTTCTCTCATCTGTATAATCCTACATAACTAACAGGAGGAAGAAAAATAAGGGAGAGAGAGGGAGGAAAAAAAAAAAAAAAAAAAGTCTGAATAAGGAAAAAAAAAAAAAAAAATATGGAAGAAGAAAAATCTGACGAAGATGAGGAAGTTATTATAGGAAAAAATATCATTCATAATAATTTTGAGAACGCAGATTTTCTGAAGAACTTTCGATATCCATATGAAAATATTCATCATTTTTATCAATCCTATGAGTGTTCGTACCCATATGTGATCAATAGGAAATTCACAATTGAAGAAGATGAATTAAAGAATTCTCTTTTTTTGAAAAACGAAAGAATTAATAAGTACAAAACAGCAGCAAAAGTTGAGCAAAAAAGTGAGAGTTTGCAAAGATGTCAAATAGATGAAAGACGTGGAAAACACAGGAAGGTGAAAAAATTCATTATCCATTTGGTACCTTCCAAAAATTCCGAGTTTTACAATTTTCTGAAAAAAAAAAAAGAACAAGTGTTAAGAAAATATGGAAAAGATGAAACGTATAAATATGACTTTCACATAAGTTTGACCGGGTACTTTTTCTGTGATAATATAAATGCTTTTATAAAGAGTCTGTACATGTACATGTTTTATTATGTCAAGTTGTATCATGTGTCCAAAAAGTTGTCAGATCGAAATTTATTTTTTTACATTCCATTTAAGTCGGGGCAAGAACAACATGACAGTTGTTACTCTCAATATATTGAAAATGGCCCAAGTAACTACATGAGAGAAAAATTTTTGAACAAACGATGTGATATGCTGTTGGGAAAGACCTGGAGGAAGCGGTGGAAGGAGCAGTTGAAGGAGCAGCTGGAGAACCAATTGGAGAAACAGCCGATGGAGCTGAAACCTCCTTATGTGAAGCCACATAACCAAAGGACATACAAGATTGATGCGAATCGTCAAGAAGGAGGAAAACGTAACACAACTGAGAAAAACATCCTAACGACGAATGATGGATATGTTATTATCCCGATATTATGTGAATGGCTTAAAAGAATATTTGAAAATTTCCGTTTTTTAATTAAAAACAATAATTTTACATCCTGCAAGAGACACAGACACGTGCACAAGCATTCATTTGTTATGAATGGCCAAAATAGCAAATGGAATGTCTCGAAAGATAGAGACCTTAACGTCTACTTGTGTGTCATGGATTCTTCCCTTAGAGGAGGGAATTATCCAGTGGGTAATCTAGCAGGGGCAGAAGCGGGTGTAGAAGCTGAGGCAGAAGCTGGGGCAGAAACTGAGGCAGAAGCTGGGGCAGAAGCTGAGGCAGAAGCTGGGGCAGATGCAGTGGAGGGAGCAAACCATCGAGACGCGATGATTGGGGTGGGAGCGCACCTTGTGCCGTGCCAAAGAAACTTCACATCCATGGAGGAGGAGAAGCATTATGAGGAACCAATTGATCGGATCCATCTATGTGATAAGAACGTGAAAAATATAAACGGATCCAAAAGAAAAAGATATAGTGTAAGCAGCGTGAGCACATGTACAAGCAGTAAGGACGATAGTGGATCTTTTTATGAGAATGTAGAAATTATAAAAAATTGGAGTGATACAAAAAAGGAGAAAATTAATTGTGCAGAGGTAAAAAACATTGCCAAGTATGAAAAAAAAACCTTGAATTATAAAAAAGCGAAAATAATACAAAGTAAATGTAGCAAAACAAAAATGGTAATCAAAGAACGAGAGGATGGAAAAAACAAAATAAAATATAGGTACAATAATGCAAAGGTAAATTTATTCGAGTTTCGAATAAAGAATTGTAACCATATTTCTCTTGCTTCGAACAGGAAGGATCAAGACATACAAAAAGATATTGCTTATATGTACAAAGACATGAAACATTACTTCTCCAATTGTACATGGGATTTAGTTCTGTTTGAATCCATGGATAAAGAAATTCAATGCAACAACACGGATATGACACACAAGGATGAGAATCCTATTTTGAATGAAATTTTCAGGTTTAGCAATTTTGCCAACTCGTGAGTGAATTTGTGTGCATACATATTCCCATGCTGGTACCCAGTGCATATGGATCTACAATGTTTTTCTGAATAGCGTGTAAATTGATGCTTTTTTTTTCTTTTTTTTTTTTTTTCGAATTCACGCTTGCACCGAAAAAAAATCTAGAGCAATAAATAAGGCTGCACACATTGTTACATTTCTGAACCTAAGCATTTATCAAAGAAAACATAATTTTTTCAATCTCACCAATTATAGGAACAAGAGATATATGCGTGTGTGTAGGTGCGTATGTGTAGGTGCATATGTGTAGGTGCGTATGTGCGTATGTGTGTAGGTGCGTATGTGCGTATGTGTGTAGGTGCGTATGTGCGTATGTGTGTAGGTGCGCATGCATGTGTATATATGTTTATGTGTGCGTGCGTATAGGAATGTGTCTTTTTTTTCCCACCACCACCCCCTTACTTCACATAATCGTTTTATGTTTATCCTGACATATCGTATATCTTATCCCATTTTACAAAAAAGAAGAAGGGAGTTAAGAAGAACAAACACTTGCAGCGCAGACAATGTGTTGTGTCTACGGCAAAATTACAAAAATGGATAAATAAACAAAGAAAAAAAAAAAAAAAAAGCAAAATAAAACAAATTAACCAACTCATTCACCTCTTTTGAACCTCTTTAAATTTAAAAAAAAAAAAAAATTTTTAAAAAACCTGTTTAGTTCTTTACATCGCGCCCAGTATGTGTACACATGTGTGCATCTCATTTTTCTTTTTCAGTACCTTGGTGTTTATGATATTGCTATTTTATGTGTATATGTGATTTTCTCATTTGTATGTGCAATATGGAAACAAATGGCAAAATGAGAGGAGCAGCTGTTTTTTTCCTGTTATAGTAATAGCCCCTGAGGCGTTGAATAAAATCGTGCTTAACAACCGCGGTGTGTTACATATATGTATAAAAAAAAAAAAAAAAAAAAAAAAAAAAAAAAAAAAAAAAAACAGTCCCCGAAGTAAACATAAACGGCAAAACTAATATTAAGTGAGGAAAATTAAATTTTACGTAAACAAAATTGTTATCATCTCTTTTTCTTTTACAAAAGTGTAGGAAAGTGAAAAACTCCCATCACTGAATATTGTAGGAAATGTACCATTTTTTTTCCACAATTGTATATTTCTGTTTTTTTCAAATTTTTTCAGAGAATCCAATATGAAGTCTCAATTTCTCTTTCCCTCATTGTCAACCTATAATTTTCTCTACTTCTAATGACTAAAATGAAAGAACATGACAAGTATAAAAAAATGGGAGAAGAGGAAGAAGAACTGGATGAGGAAGAGCAGGAACGCGTTACGCACACCTATGATAGTCACAATCCTTGGAAAAACAACTTTTTCATGGAAAGCGAAAAAAATGAAAGCGGCAAATATGAATCCGGAAGGGAACATTTTTATAAACGATATTCATCTCTCAGAGGAGACAACGAATGGAACGTAAAGTCTAATCTTTTTTCACAACTTCACACCAACATGTATCATTCAGTGGGAAGCAAGCTAAGGGGCTATAGTGCACGCTTGTCAAGTATCAATAAATGTGCAGTGAGAAGCTGCAGATTCTCCATAAACAGACACAAAAGGACAGCCTCTATATCGTCAGCTCATCTGAACTGGTCAGGTGAAGAAGGAAGAACCAAAAAACATATGTCTGACCTTGATCAACACAAAGAAATAGATTCATTATACGATGATGAAGAAGTTTACAGAACCTACGAAAGGGTGCATAATCTTGAAATGTCCAAATTTTTAAATAACAAAAAAAAGAACAAAAAAAAAAAAAAAAATTTTCAAAGGAGTTATTCCTTACTCCCTAACACAAATGGAAAACACTTTACTAACTTGTCGTTAAGAAAATCAGTATTCACAAAACATAACCAATTACAAGAGGAAGGAAAAATAAAAACAGAAGAAATTCCCAAATTGAATGTATCTCTTTCTAATTATAACATAAAGGTAAGAAGTAGAACCTTAGTAGATATAAGCAAGGTGGGGAAATTCCACAAGCGACATGTCCACACACATTCAAATGGAGATGCGATGGAATCAAGTAAGAGCATCACGAATCGAAATGGAATCGATCATCATATCTATAATACAAATCAAAATGTCACACAAGATGCAGGAAATCGCTCAAAGAGGAACAAAAAAGAGGGAAGAAAAGAAAAACGTCAGTTCAGCTCACTTTCCTATATGAGGAAATACAATCTTGGGGATGGGCATAAAGTTGCTGCACATCTCACTACACATGTCACTACACACGACACTACACATGCCACTACACATGCCACTACACATGTCACTACACATGTCACTACACACGACACTACACATGCCACACCCGAGTCGAATGGTCGAAAGCTGTTCCAAGTAAAATTCCTATGTCAGGCAAAGAGCTATAATTTAAAAAAAATAAGCCAAGTGTTCAGTTCTAAAAAAGTAAAACATAGGTTCCACGATAATAACAACATTTTATGCGCATTCTTAACCCCAGAAAAATACACGAAATATTTTCACAGTGTTGAAGAAATGTATAACATCGATAATTTGAATTTTCAAAGGGATATCACATGTTCTAACGCTGAATATATTTTTTTCGTTTTTAAAAATGGATCTGTTGTCATATGGGAAATGTTCCAGAATTATCAAAAAAATGACGTCTTTATAAATAAAGTTATTATATTTTTAAATTCATATTCTGATGAACTTTGGCCTGTGTATATTCTTCAACAAGATATGATATACTACTACCACGAGGAAGGGAAGGATGAAGACATAGCTGAAAATGAAATTGATGAACGTGACATCCAAGTTGTGAGAGATGAAAATGAAGTTTATCTAAACACAGATATTAACTCATGGAAAGGTAGCTCGAGGGAAAATAGGATAGGAGAGGTACAATATACAGAAAAAAAAAGAGATAATTTTCATCCACTTAATGTATCACCAACTAATGGAGAAGAAATATCCTCCTCTTTAGACTCTTCCAATTCATTGATTAGAGGTGGTGTCATCCACCTTTGCAGCAGATCTATCGAACAGAAACTTACAGTGTCGTTTGCCTTATCACAAACAATTCGATTGGATATACATGAAATGCTTATGGATATTGCAATCAACACACTTTTCAACATTTCGAAAGAAATTGCAAAAAATGGAAAATGCACTGTTTCAAAGAAAAAAATTTCAAGCATGTTGGATATTTATTCGAGTATTATAAATGTCAATGCTGTTCAAGACTTTCTTGATATTCCCGAATACTTTTGGAATAAGGTTCAATATGAACATATGTGGTTCGAGGTAAGTGTTGTCGTCTCAGAGAAAGGGATTGGGGAGAGAGGAGGCATCAGAGAAAATGAAACTGCGCCCCGAGTGAAAGGTGTATTCATAAGCAAAGGAGAGAAATCGAAAGAGATGACAAAAGAGATGGCCAATGAATAACACAACAATGCAAGAAATTAGCAGAACTTGTGAATATTCATCACCACCGTTAAGAAAAAAAAAAAAAAAAAAAAACCGTGCACATAATATGCACAAATGCATGTATCCATAAGTTATGAACCTTCTAATATTTTTCAAAGCTCTTATTCTCTTATTCCAATTCTCAACCAACATCACCCCCTCAAAAATACAGATATACAAATACTTGGAAATCCCTGAACGAATCAAAATATTAAACAAGAGATACAACTACTATAAGGACTTTTTAAAGGTTATCAAAACGGAAGTATACAACAACAAAACATTTCATACGTATCGAATCATCGTCCTGTTGTTGTTCATACATGTGTGTGCTCTAATTGTTAACGATGTATTTTTCGCCCAGTGATTGCAAGCCCAGGTCGGGTCCTGGGTGCGCCAAGAGAAAAAGAGAAGAGGGGTGGGGTGGGGGGAGGGAGAAACAAAAAGATACGGAGACAGACATATATACAAACATATAGACAGGCAAAAAGCAAAAATAGCCGAAGAAACAAACCATCGCATGGTGGTTGACCTTTACACATGTACACGGCTTATTTGAAGCGAACGGGTATAAAGTTTTTTTTGCATCCTGTCGTTATGCCACCCACACGAATGTGAAACATTTTTTTAGGGTATCGTTAACATCATGCAAAAAAATAAAATAATGTAATAAAATAATATAGCAAAATAAAGGAATAAAATAAAAGAATAAAATAAAGGAATAATAAAATGTGCCGCGCACCATTTCTCACACGGAGAGAGAACGCGAAATAATCTCTCCTCATTTTTTATGAACCATTTCTGGACATTAATTATAAATAGTGGAAGTGGTTTTCATTAGCCAACCTTTTCGTAGGAAGATATAACTGAACGTGTGTCATACCCACCCCCACCCTCAATATTGCAAACCTGAGACAAGAGTACAGTTTTTCACTCATTTGCACACCATCCCCGATGGTTGTACCTCCATTCACACATTTCTCTCATCAGCACGAATCAGTTTCTCATCAATGCAAACACTTTTTTCACATTCTTGAAAATTTTTGTGCACCTTGTTATACTTATGAGTGATTATTGCCATTTTTCCAACTTGGCTAGGAGTGACAGGACGCTGGACACATTGCCTATTAGCGTCTCCATTCGTGTCCCCATTCGTGTCACCATTCCTGTTAAGTGCCATAGGATCGCTATTAGATAAGAGAGAAGGAACTTCACGTGCCTTCAACTCGACTATCGATTTTAAAAAGGATATAATTTCATCCCATTCTCCAGAACCTTTACTGTAAAAATGGAGAAATATTTCCAAATCGTCAATTGTACTTGTTTTTTCGAATTTTCTTTTATTTTTAAAAATTAAATCATCCATTTTAGACAACAATCCATCATTATAAATTTCAAGATGCTTGCAGCATAGTAGTAAACGATACATATGTTCATAATTATACAAAAGTACTCTCTGTAAATTCTCTGTAGTGATATTAATAATTTCTTCCATATTATGATCCACATACGGAAGCAGAGTGAAAAATTCCAATATGTAAATATACTCTTCTGCGTGCACCTTATGTTTTGTTTTCAATTTTGACAAAAGAAAATGTAATAGACGTTTGTACACAAATGTATAATGGAAATAATTTAAGTCTTTGTAAGCACCTAACAATTTAATTAGCTGATTCAGGGACAAAAAGGCTAGACAAGTATTAACTCTCGAAAATAAAAGCGGTATTATATTTTTCAATATTTTTTCATTATAATTTGTAACATTTTCTTCTCCAACCCAATGATCTTTTCCTTTGTCCAAATAGCAATAATCCTCCTTCAATGTCTCTTCTTCATCCGCATTATATTCTCTTTTTTTACCTCTCGAGTTTATTTTTCTCTTTTCTTCTCTGTCGCTTGTGTTAATATTAAGACCGTTTGGCTGTCTCAATGCTAGCTGCCCATTTGCACGTGCACCTATCAACGTTTCGTCTTGACGTTCCAGATGTTTGCATTCATGTGGCCGTGATCCTTCTTCTTCTTCTTCTTTTCCTCCTCCTAAACCTCCCAATCTCTTAATAATTGGACTTATCTGCACCAAAATATTATACACAGAAATAGAATCCATGGATTTAATATTCTCGTGGATGTACTTAACAAGGGCGAAGCATAACTTGGTTTGGGTATTACTGCTGTTACTTCTTGCATTTTTCGAATAGGTCGAAATTAAGTGATTTATGTGGTTACTTTTGATTTGATCCATATTTTTTAAAATATAAGCACCTGCCATTTCTAGCAGCTCCTCATCATTTATTTTCAACTTGGATAAGGCATGCAAAATGTTGCAAATTCGTTTCATATCATAGTGATAGAAATACTTTTTTATTTCTTTCAGAAACAGATGCATCAACTCATAGTCAGTGTAGTTCAGCTCCTTACTGGCTATGATGTATCTGTAAATGTTGTCATGCTTCTCAGAAGAGTAGGTATTATGGTTCGCAGTTGAGTCCACACGGTGCTGCTCTCTATGCTGCTCTCCATGCCGCTCTCTATGCTGCTCTCCATGCTGCTCTCCATGCTGCTCTCTATGCTGCTCTCTATGCTGCTCTCCATGCTGCTCTCTATGCTGCTCTCCATATTCTCTAAATAGATGCAACGCTCGATTCGAAAGAATGGAATAAATTTCAAAGTTCCTGTGCTTACATAATGCGTACGATTGCAGAATTAGCACTACGTCGTTGAATATAAAATTTTTATAATACTTCTTAACCAAGTCATTGTACAAATCAAACATTCGCTTATTGATGAACCCATTCTTGACACTTTTCTTTATTCCATAGCTAATGTTTTCTCCATTCATATCTTTTAAGTTTTTTATAATTCTGTTTTCTACATCTACCGACGTTTTTGTAAAATGGGTTCTGTTCTTCATTAATCTGGTTCTTACATCGTATCTCATCATCTTCCCCACCCAATGGAAATGGAAGCACTTCCACACGCAGGGTTCAAGAATCATCTTGTTGTTAGTTCCTTCGCACGATTTGTCCACATATAGCTAGCCATATATACACACATGGAAATCCAAAAATTTTTTACTTCCCTGTAAAACAACTCTATAATGGTTAATCCTCCTATTCTTTTAACGAATTGATATTTTTTCCTTACCTCATCCTATAGAACCACTTGGTCCCTTTTTTTTTTTTTTTTTTTTTCCCAACACTATATATATATATATGTATATATCACTGCTTCATATAGGAGAAATGTAATTCTCTTCTATACACATTTTTAGATTCACAAATAAAGAAACCAAGTAAATACATTGAGAAAAATGTCCTCATATTTTTCTTATCCAATTTCTCTGCACTAAAAAGTGAGGCATGGTTGATATCGAAAGGATGAAATAATTATTAGCTTTTCTATTTCCCAAACTTTTGAAATATTCATTTGGGTCCACATTTTTTTCTTCAAAAATAGGTATCTCACCAAGAGTGAGATAACGTGCTCAGATATCAAAGAAAAAGGATTATCACAACTTTTTAACTTTGATTCGTTGTCATATATGTTCATTAGCTTCTTTTTTTTTTTTTTTTTTTTTTTTCCTTGCTGTTCTCACGTGAAGTGAAAATCAACCATGTTATGGAATATATCATTCCTCATTTGTTTTTACTTCCCTCGTATCACACAGAAAAAACCTCAAAGGGAGAGAGAGAAAAAAAAAAAAAAAAATAGATTAGGTAAATAACTGAAATGAGGGACATAGCTCCTATATCCACTTAACCAAGAGAAATACTCGTTTATTTCTTCATCAGTTTCTTCATCAGCTTTTTCATCTGCTTTTTCATATGCTTCTTCACTTGCTTCTTCACCTCCTTCTCTATTTCTTTTCAGAAAATGTGTTACTCCTTTTGCACAGATCAAACAAATCTCATGTACCCGAAAAAAGCATACTGTTATAGGAAACCATGCTAAAAGCGAGGGGGAATTTTTCTCCCCATTCAAAGTACACACATTTGGCACAAAGTTACGTAAAATAAATGTATACATAGATACACATATATATAGTCTATCCGAAGGAGGAATTTCATTGATTCGTTTGTCCTATCATTAATCTTCTGCCCATATCGTGTTCTGGTATATGTGCGATTAGGGTTATCCCCACCACATCTCCCTTATTTTCCAACACGTAGAAAGCATACCACAAAATCTTACACGACCATACTGCAAGAACAACACTATAAGAAGGAGAGAAAAAAAAAAAAAAAAAAAATGAACAGTTAACTAATAACTTTCTATTTTCTTTAATATCCCAATTATGATCATGTGACATTAAAATACTGTTAAGACAAATGTTAAAATGATATGACCCACGGGATAACACTACTGCATTTAACATGCAAGAAGCTATTCTAACACATTTAAAAACCTTTTTGAATGACATCCTATTTTATTTTAATTTTTTTTCTCTCCGATTAGCCTTATTCTAACCTGTAGATGATCATATGGATATGTCGTTATATATCACCCGTGTCCTGATATAGACATAGTATTACATTTAATTATATGCAATCCATTTGTCTAGTCTTTCATTTATGAAAACACCCATACGAGAGCACAATTCCGTAATGTTATTTATGTGCATTTTCGTGGGTCACCCACACAACAGTAAACATCATTCCATAAATGACATGTAGAGAAGGCTGATAAAATGTGAACGTCGCTTATACATGTCTATGTATGCGTGTGCGCGCATGGATGTATGAATATGTATATATATACATATATGTAGGTATAATATGCTATACATGTATGCTTGTGTAACCACTTTCTTTAATTTCAAGGTTGAGAAATAAACTGCCAATGTACACACACCTGCACCCACGCGTAGTCATTCAGGAAATTTTTTTCACGAGTTGTCATGGAGAAACCCCCACCCCTAATAGCTGTAAATTCACGTTTATAGAATGTTCCCCGTTTTGATGTGATTAAAATGAAAAAAAAAATATATCTATAAAAGTTGGGATACATACAGATGGGATGGTGTCGAAAAATATATCCATACCACTTTTCTTCATTATTACCTATACCTATAACCTCTTTTTCGTAGCTACTCAACTGTTAGATTTAAAAATGTACATAAGCATCCACATGTATAATGTTTAGTATTTATTTATTTACTTAACCCCTTTTTTTCTCTTTTTTTTTTTTTTTCCGACAAAGTAGTAATCTTTTTAGAGGGGTAGGGAGGAGGGAATACCTTTGGCAGTTCTACATATAAGACGCAGGGATTTTACATAAAAACAAGAGTAGTGTGTAGTTCCATTTGTGCTATTGGGTTCATTATAATGCTTTTTTTTTTTTTTTTTCTTTTTTTTACAAAAAGGGTTGATGTTCTTTAACGAAAGAGTAACATTTTTCATGAAGAATCTTTTTTTGAATTACGTTGAAGTGAAGTACTTTTCTTTTTTTTTTTTCTGGAACAAGTAGATTTTTCTGAAATATACATTTTTCTGAACAAGTAAATTTTTCTGAAATATATATTTTTCTGAACAAGTAAATTTTTCTGAAATATATATTTTTCTGAATAAATACATTTTTCCGAGTAAACACATTTTTCTAAATAAATATTTTTTTCTGAACGGTCATATTATTTTCACGAGCAAGTAGCACTTTTTTTTCAGAACGGCGGGGGCCACGCTTTTTATCTTTACGATTAAGTACTTTTTTCTGAACGGGTCATTTTTTATTTTTTTTTTTTTTGGTATGAACAAGTATACATACATAGTACTTGTTTTTTTTTTTTTTTTTTTCGTTTCCTTTTTTTACGTTTCCTTTTTTTACGTTTCCTTTTTTTTACGATTTCTTCTTTACCGTTTTTTTTTTTTTCTTTTTCTTTTTTATCTTTTTCTTTTTTATCTTTTTCTTTTTTATCTTTTTCTTTTTTATCCTTTTCTTTTTTATCCTTTTCATTTTTATCCTTTTCTTTTTTATCCTTTTCATTTTTATCCTTTTCATTTTTATCCTTTTCATTTTTATCTTTTTAACCTTTTTATCTTTTTTTCTTTTTTTTTTTTTTTTTATTTTTCATCACATACGTATGTAATACATACCATATATTTTGTACATTGTTTATGTACGAACGAATACTTTTTTTTTTTTTTTTTCCCCCCCTTGATGAACTGTATAATTTTGACGAAATATGATTTCTTCATGTGAAGTACCAACATTTCGCCAGTTAATTTTTTTATTTTACATCATTATATATAATCAGGTAAGGTATAAACGCTACAATATGCACATATGTAATTACACATACGTGAAAACCTTACAATTTTTTCATATATGTAAAAACGAAATGGCAGCAGTGTCACATATTGAAACGCCCATGTAATTAAAGCAGAGGATAATGATCTGAGCCAAAGGCTTTGGATACGACTTAAAAATGTATAGTACGCACATAAGGTTAGTGCGTGCATATGTATATATATGTATGAACATATATATCCCAAGTACATGTAAATGTTTAGCCGTGTATCCACGAATATTTTGCATGAACAAAAATGCACTAACTTATGAACAAATATTTGCTCGCACCCGTTATCCATACATTACCCGTGCGTTACGCCTGCAACATTGCCATCACTCTCAATCGTATCACCCCTTTTTTTATGATTATTTTTCGAGTTTGAAAAGTGTAAGCTTAGTTTATGCAAAAAGACCAATTAAATGCGAGTATGTATGTATTTAAAACACAAATGTAAGCACCCGTTTTTTTCAACATTCCATCCGCAATTAGCACATTATGTATATGTACATATATATATATATATATATATATATATATATATGTATGTATATGCACCTACACGAAAGCATTTTCCCCCCATTTTGACCCCATCATATGCATTTATCAGAATTGCTAGTTTTATAGTGAAAACTTCGTGTTTTTAAGAATATACTTAGCATAACTATGTTGTATATGGCCACCAAAAGCTGCAATTTTCCAACCTACGTACAAAAGCTTTAATCCCAATTTAGAAAAGTGTGTACTGGTTCACTTTTCACAGATTGATTTGTTAAGTGATGACAGAGAAGAAGCTAAACTATATATTCATATATTATATGTTTATTATGTATTTACTGCTTATTTATTCATTATGTTATCTTTATTTTTTTTATCATTTGCATGATCGACATTTTTCCTAACCTGTGCTTCAAGCAAACAGTCTTTTACATACCAATTTTTGTAAGCTCTGCCACTCTCCCCCAACCTCCAAAGAAAAAAAGAAAAAATTATTTTCTCCAATTTCACTGACCATAATCGAAATGGACGAGAAAACACGTACATCCAGAATAAAGATTATTTACATTTAACTCCTAATTACATGGAGTAAAAACGAATCAGCAATAACAACAACCAAAAAAAAAAAAAGAGGAACCGTCATCTACACGTCCAGTTATTTACCTCCCCGTAGGATACCACGTCAATAATTCTTCGAAGCGATAAAAAAAAAAAAATAAAAAAAAAAAAAAAAAAAAACGAAAGCGAAAAGGAAAAGGAAAAGATAAGTACAAACGAAAGGATAAGCACAAACATAATAGTGCACATACATTTATGTACACGATTGTGTAAGCGTTAGGATATCCCCCTTTCCAAGATTTTACGGAAAAGCCAATCACGCAAAACGTAATTCTGTGGTAGACGTGGGGAGAGGCATGAGCCCCCATATATAACCTTGGTATTATGGGGCCAAGTCACGAGACAAGCAGCCCAAAAATTGCACATGAAGTGAACCTCTTAAAGCAGTGCAATATGTCGTATGATAAACATATCCATATGACAAATCATAATCAGGGTTGTATGACGAGGGACAACACAGGTGGGAGCAAGATGAACGAACTTTTGATTCGATCGAAAAGCGGAATCAAGCTTTATACATTTGAAAAAAATGATGATAAAAAGTACAGTAGCAAAATTACCTTCGAATATGATGGATGTATACATGATGCCATTTGGTCGTGCGATGGGAACTCATTTCTTATATTACATTCGTTGGAAGGGTTATTACTAATCTCAAACTATGCTGATAGTGCAAATATAAAAGTAAATAAAATTACCTGTTTAAAAAGGTACAAAGAATTATTTAATGCAGATAACATCAAACTAATAAAACATGTACAATGGTCCCCAAGGAATGAATTTGTTGTTTTTTTTTTACCATTTGAAGAAAAAAATTATGTTACAATAGGGAACCTTTTAGTGTATAATGTATCACATAATAAAATTTTATGTTCTTTCAGAATTAGAAAAAAAATATGTAGCAATTGGCCTATCATCCATTTTACAGATGATGATAAATACTTTTTTTTGGAAAAAAAATCGAATATATATGTATATGATACCTTGAAATTGAAAAATACAGATCCAGACATTCTTCACAATTTGAAGAATACAGATATCCCGATGAATTATCTCTACACATGGCATCATCCAAATGTTATAGCCATGTATATATCACCTTACGTAAGTGAAAATTATGCAAGATTTTTTATTGTTCATACGAAAAATAACTTCTTAGGGGATGTATATGTATATAGAATTGAAGGCCTATTATCATCTCAAAACCATGGACATATGGAAGATTGTGGAAAAAGGAAAAATACATGTTCAGATGATATCCAATTGAATGAAAATATGTCTACTTGTTTAGGTAACTCTAGTTTTGGCATTACTGGTAATAATTATTCCAAAGCAGGAGGAGAAACAACAAAAATTGACACTCCAAGCGAAGAAAAAAAAGAAGCATTAGAAAATTTTGGTGAAAACAAAACTTCTGTCGTAACATTAGAATTATTAATAAAAAAAAGCTTTTATAATTTAGATAATCTTAATTGTATGTGGTCTCATAGTGGAAAACATGTGATACTTATGGTATACACAAACGATACAACAAATAAATCCTACGGTTATGTAAGTAATTGTTACTATTTTTCCCTATCTTTTAAAAATATGTTCATAAAGAAAATTAATGAAAATATAGCACAAGATGTAAAATGGAATAAAACAAGTGATGAATTTCTCCTAATCGAAGGAAAGTCAAATAATATTATCTACCTATATGATCATACATTAAATGTTAAATTAAAAATTACCTCTCAATATAAAAATACGATTAAATGGTGTCCATTTGGTAATATGATAGCTCTAGGTGGATTTGGAAATCTTGCAGGAGATATTAATTTCTATTACAAAGAAAAAGACGATTCAGTTATTTTAATAAAACAATATAGAGAACCGTGTACAGTATTATGTGATTGGTCATCTGATGGAACTCTCTTTATGACAGCTTCGACATATCCAAGAATGAAAGTTGAAAATGTTTTTAAAATTTATACATATGAAGGCAACTTAATTAATAGCTTCAGTTTTAATGAACTTTATGATGTCAAGTGGAAGAACACTCTTCCAGGATTTTTCCCTGAACCTCCCAAACCGCAGGCCAATCTAAAAGACAACAAACGTAGTGTTTATAAAATCAAGTGCTTAAACAATGAAGGTGTAAATCGCACGGGAGCAGCTGGAGGGATAATGGAGTTGAGCAGCGCTATAGGAATGGGAAACGGAATGGGAATGGGAAGCAGCATGGGAATGGGAAGCAGCATGGGAATGGGAATCACCATAGGAATGGGAAGCGGCATGGGAATCACCATCTGTAACAACCTCAGCAATGGAAACGGATCTGACGTGCATGATGAAAGTTCCTTTAAGCAAAGTAAAGGAGATAATTACGAGAATGAGAAAATCAAAATTGGAAAAGTGATAGCTTCTACCTCGGCTCCCGGTGCTTCTGTGCAAATAACGGGGACACTCCCACACAACGCTAGTAGGAAGAAGAAGGGTGAGAAGACTAGCAATGCCTACGACTGGGATGTCGATTGGAGGAACCAAGCTGCATCTGCCGCGGCCGCAGTGCCAGCCGTGCCAGGAGTTTTAACCACATCGCTAGTTGGCGCAGCTTCTGCATCTGCTTCTACTCCTGCTGCTACTTCTGCTACTACACCAGCTAGTGCACCTACGAGTGGCGACAATTTCTCGCCAAAAAGTGTGTGTCCCACGAACAAAGACAGCAAGGTTGGAAGTGTTGGAAGTGTTGGAAGCGTGGGAAGCCTCAGCAATGTGAACCCCGGCAATGTGAACTCCAACAGTGTGAACTCCAACAATGTGAACTCCAACAATGTGAACTTCAACAATGTGAACTTCAACAATGTGAACAGTGGGGAATCGGTTGATGAGAAACAGGACAATGGAATCACTAACCTTTCAGAAGATAAAAACCTGGATATCCTCGCGAATAACAAAAACATTGGTGTTGGTGATATGCAGAATACACTTGATAAACACAAGAGAGATGGCTCTAGTATGAGTAGTACCATTACGACCGGATGTAAGGATCCAAATGTGCATACGAATTCCATGTTTCAAAATGTGAAGAGCCAGAATATGAGTGTGGCAGATGACAAGAAGAAACAAAAGAAGAAAAAAAAGGATAAGGATAAAGAGAATAACCAAGACAATGAAATGAAGGTCGAAAAGGATGTAATTAAAAACAGCTTTACCCCAAAACAAATTTTAGAAAACAATCTGCTTGAATCATACGCAAGTCAGAATATTGAAGACACTACAAACATTCCGAATTGTATGAAAAAAAACAACAATGAAATTGGTATTATGCATCCAAATGGAATCACCCAAAATGATTCCATCCAAAGGGATTTCATCCAAAATGATTCAAGCCAAAAGGACTTTGTGCAGAACCATTTTGAAGAACTCTATAAAAGCTCTTCCATGAATGAAAAAATGAAAGAAGAGCTGAAGGGAGCTGATCAGAAGGAGGAAAAAAGAAGCACAGGAGAAGATGACAATGCTGAAAAGAAATATTCAGCAGATAGCAACTTGAACGATGAAAAAGAACAAGATATGGATAAAAAAAAAAAAAAAAAAGAAAAAAAAAATAAGAAAAAGAAGAAAAAAAAAAATGAAACAATACACGAGGCTAATAAGAACAATGCTTTTAACAACATTACCAACGATGCAAATACAATGATGGTGACATCACCTCCCATAACCCCATCTCCAGATGTGATAAATAATGAAGCACAACAGAACGTCAACACATTTACAAGCTTCCTTTCGAAAATGATGAAAGGCAAATCTGGTTTAAACAACAAGCAGAAATGGAACAAAGATGTCATTCCCTCCTCCCCCACTGATTTTATCACATCTGAATGTTATCTGTGTGAGAATAACGAGACTTCTCTCTGCAATGCAGAAGAATCAGTAGACATGATGGCTAATAACCCATCTGAAGAAAACAATACATCCACTTTTTTACTAACAAATGGCACGAATTGTAGCAGCATTAATAATTCTCCACATATCTTAGGCTATAATAAGGAAGAAAATAACAATATCTTAAGAAATAGCGAAATGTGGAAAAACAATTTGCAGAATAAAGACATTGTTAACTATGAAGAATATGGACAACATCGCTTTAACGTACCGAATGAAAACATTGCAACTGCATCGCCATTGTATAATCATCACTATCTCCATTTGAATGAATTACAAAATGAAAAAACAGCCGACAGTAATAGCTCCTCCTTCCCCGTGCTTAGTCAACTAAGTGGGCTGAAACAGAAGAGTATAAATATTAGTAATAATAGTAGTAGTAATAATAATAGGAGTAGTAATAATAATAGGAGTAGTAATAATAATAGGAGTAGTAATAATAATAGGAGTAGCAATAATAATAATAATACCGAAATGAACGCGAGCACGTATCTTCAGCATGATTTTGATGATACATCTAAGAGTAACGTCTCTGCTTATGCAAGCAACAATCATTTGTTTCTCGCAAACCATATGAACAAAGCTGCGATGCGCGCACATGGAATTATCGCTGAGGGGTGTGGAGATAATACTGTGGGACTTAATGATTCCACATCTAATGAATTGAACATGCGTAGTAACGGAAATTGCCATATTAGAAGTGCAACCCATGGTGCACACGATTCAGATGTGATGAACCCTCCAAGTGTGAATCATCAGAATAGACAATCGAATGAAGATTTGTTAAATTTATTCAAGAAAGTGTTGCCGCATGCAAAGGTCAACATTATTCCAAAGAGTCAAAGTCCAAGTGAATCAATCACTAATCATCATACTGGTCATATTGGTCATATTACACAAAGAACGCAACATATTGACAACTGCAGTAGTAGTAGTACCCATTCTCCAGGAAAGATTATTGTGGGAGGAGATATTCGAGACGAATACAAGCAAATGTCGAGTTTCAAAAGAGAAAATATGGAAATAGATATCTCAAGGGGGAATGAATATATTTCTACAACTGAAGGAAATACTAGCAGTAAAAATGCATATAGCCAATATAACAAAGATTTTCGAAATAAAGAAATGCTAATGATGATGATGATGAAGAAGAAGAAACAAGAAAATGAAATACAAAAGAATAATAATTCAATGATGAAGAACAGAATGATGACATCCAGTCCGGATAGTTCCATCCCAATAAATATAAAAACACATTTACTTAATTTAGATTTTTGTGAATTGTTAAAATCTTACCATACTCTTAATATACAGCTTATTCAGTTAAAGATATACTGGATTTATCACAAAATTCAGGTTTATGATTCTATGTCTATTTCATCCGGTTCTATGGATGAAAAAGAAAGTGGAACATCAAGTTCAGTGAATGCGATCAATAGTACAATAAACACAAATGAACACATTTTGAAAGAAAAAAAAATTATATCAAAATTGAAAGAATTAAAAACCCTCTTAGATTATGCACACAATTTAGTGAAGGATAACTTTGAGAAAAACAAAGAAAAGTATCAGAATTTACTTCAACAATTTGTCGTCATCTTAAAGCAGCATGATAATCTATATCAGCAGAAAAAGGAAAAAATCATTATGAACAATTCTGAGAAGCATAACATTGTGCACTTCATTTACAATATAGAAAAAATTCTACAAAAATTTTGCATACCGACATATGAGGAATATATGATGAACACATTACCAATGCAAGACAATTCTACCCAATACCTTGATAATACAAATGAGAAATTAATACACGTAGAGGATTTCTCGAAAAAATATAATAATAATTACGCCACACAAAAGTGTTCATCAAAAAAAAATGGAAAAAACAATACTAGCATGATGGAGATTCAACAAAAATTAATGATGCAAAAAAAAATAAATGAACATAGTACATACAACGAGGAACCATACGATGGACAAAATCTAATTCAAAATAAAATAAGTCTCAATGAATTTCAGAGGAATTACATGCTAAATTCAGTTCTATTAAATAAAGATGAACAGATGAAGAATTTCATAAAACACATGAAAGGAGATAACTTAAAAGATCTTCCTTCTCCTATTAGTTATGGGGGCGACAAGAATATCCCAACTCATGGGTGTGGAAGTGGAAATGATGATGTCATCAGCACAGCCACCTTTGAGCCCGACGATGGGGGTGCATTAAACAGGGACGTACATGTTAGAAGTGATCATCACACAGAGAGTAACAATGGTGGTGATCACAATGGTGGCAATTACAATCTTGGTAGTTTGAATCATGACAAGGGCAGCACTCACGACAGCTACATGCACGAAAATCGTAACAGTAGCAACAGTATGAACGCATGTCCATCTCCCCTTCTAAACAGAATTAACAGATCTCTTTTAAATAAATTGACCCAGGAAAACACTACCCATCCATACACACCCCTCACCCCTACACACGATAGTATTCAAGACTTGTCACAGAACTACAACTTCCTTGAATTATTGAGAAAAAAAAAACAAATAGAATTACAAAGTGGTGTGCAAGGTGGTGATGTGTGCAACATTCAGAATAGCAACAGCTCCCATAATAATACCAAAAGTAGTATGAATAATACCTTGCCGATCAGAGAAAATTACATGACTGCAAATCCTATGCTGAACAAAGCAAATTATAATTCTCATGTAGGGAAGAAGTTTATTATCCAAGATAATGTTAATCCTCCTCCTCCTCCTCATCATCATCATCATGAAGATGATGATAACATAGCACTTAAGATCAAAAGTATGATTCTAATGAGGAATAAGGAACAGTACCATGAGCAGAGCCATTGTTCGGTAGTATCACCTCCTGCAGAGCATCTAAATTACATTTTTCAAAATGCCAAGGCTGATAAAATTCTACACACAAATCAGGAGAAACAGGATTTGAAAACAGAAAAAGTCATTTCAATTTGCAGAAAAGAAGAAGGGGATATTATAATAAGCCCACAGATCGAGGCCCGAAAACAAGATATACATCTTACTAAACACAATAATAAATACATTTCTCCAAATGATTGTATCCATTTTAGTGATTACAATGCTCTTCCAAAGAATATCAATATGAATAGTGCAGGAAATATTATTAACCCTTCTGAAGCATTTTCTACTACGAAGGGTATTAACATGGCAGGAACAGAAAATAATGTTGGTGAAGAAAGTATCAGCTTAGCAGGGAGAGGAAATATGGATGATGCTGATAGCACGAATGATTATATGAGAATGTTGAGGAGTGCACAAGGTTTACTTTATAAGACAAATAAAAATGGACATAAAAATGAGCACAGAAATGAGCACAGAAATGAGCACAGAAATGAGCACAGAAATGAGCACAAAAATGAGCACAAAAATGAGCACAGAAATGAGCACAAAAATGAGCACAAAAATGAGCACAGAAATGAGCACAAAAATGAGCACAAAAATGAGCACAAAAATAACCAATCAAAATCCATGAGTCATATAAGGGGAAGTTCCACGAATGAAGAAAAGAAATCAGAAAATGTGGAAAAAATCCATTTAGACTATTTTGAAAAGGACATGAATGAAACAGTTGAGCATACCTTAGCTCATCCCCATTCACCACATTCCACTCCCCAAGTTCCATCGCAGTCGTCTCAAATACTTAGCAATATTCAAAGTATTTACAAGACGAGTAGCACCAATAAAAGTATGAACAGTTCAGGTGAAAAAAAAAATACAACATGCAATTTATTTGAAATTGAAGAAACCAAACGCCCGGATGCTTTGCGGGACAAGTGCTGGCAATACGTGGATCCAAAGGGGGTAGTACAGGTACGGATGAGAGTAGAGGAACAACACATGGAGTGCACTTGTGGCCCTCTTTGTGTGTGTGTGCACCACACGCGTTGCCAACGTTTACACTGAGAATGTTTCTTCCATCGATCAGTGCATACACATGGAGCATACACAAACGACTTTCCATCCATGCAAATTTTTATTTTATTTATTTTTATTTTATTTTTATTTTATTTTTATTTATTTATTTTTTTTTTTTTATTTTTATTTATTTATTTTTTTTTTTATTTTTATTTATTTATTTTTTTTTTTTATTTTTTTTTTATTTTATTTCAGGGACCGTTTTTCCTTGACGAAATGAGAATATGGAGCGAAATGGGATACTTTGAACCCATGCTGCCAGTTCGCTGTTGCGATTCTGACAGATTTGTTGCACTGAACAAATTGTTTCCACCCCCTCACAAACCCTTCACTATTATCCCCAAGCCCCAGCCGATATTGCAATGGGACGAAGAGTTATGACTCCTGCGAAACATGGCAAATTATGGCACATTATGGCGAATCATGGCGAATCATGGCGAATCATGGCGAATTACGGCACATTATGGCGAATCATGGCGAATCATGGCGAATTACGGCAAATTATGGCGATTTTTTTTTTTTTTTTTTTTTTTTTTTTAAGCATATCCCTTTTTTCGAAACCCAGTGCACACACTTGAGTTGAGAACTTTTTGTACAAACGACATAGTTTATTACATTTTTATATCGGATTTGAATACACCATCGGATGTTAATCTTTTGACGTTTTAACCACATTAACACGTGACACTCAGCATTTAACACTTAACATTTTTAGCGATTAATTTTTTTTTTTTTTTTTTTTTTCTTTTCGCCTGAATATATCCCAAATTTTGAAGCATCCCTCCGACGCTTATAGACACTGAACTCTTCAATAGTGTTCAATTTCCTGTTCATGTTTTGATTTTCCATACTTTGCAAATTATCTGAAGAATGTATTTTTTCCACACCTTTGCAAATTATCTGAAGAATATATTTTTTCCACAGTTAACTGTTTACTAACTTTTTTAACATGTGTTTAGGATACATTTCACCTTGTTTCGCATCCTTTCTTTCTTTCCTTCTTTTTTTTTTTACGTTTTTGCACGAAACTTATAAAAAAATTAATCACATCATACGTGGAAAACTTTTTGTGAACTTGTCTTTCTCACATGTTACACTGTTGTATGTGCACAGATTTTTATTTTACTTATCCATCTCCATTTTTAAAAAAGTAGAAGAAAAAATGTAAACTTTGGAAGGAAAAAAAAAAAAAAAAAAAAATTGTATTTTTATATGTTCGTACGTGTTTGTGCATGACTGCAATGTTCAGGTAAAAAAAAAGACTGCATTTTTTTTTTTTTTTTTTTCCCCTTTTTCCTAGCGTATTGCGAAAACAGATGAAGTGAAAAGTATGTTTTCCCTCCTCTGCTGGTACTACTTTGTATAAAAATGGGACATATGAATTTCATTTGAATTTTTTTTTCGTGGGTCATGAAATTTCAAATAGCACTTTGAGCACTTAAAAAACAGTTTTGTCTATGTCCCTTTTGAAAAGGAAAACAGAAATGGAAACGAAAAAGGGACGAAAGGGGAACCAAGAAGGAAAAAAAATTAACTCCAACTTAGGTATCGCTTCTTTTTTTTTTCCCCTGACCCAAGTGGAGCTTAAAACAAGACACTCCCCATTCTAGAGAGACCTCTTCACGGATGTGTGTATCATCACACTCGGGTAAAATTAACTACGATGTACAGCTGTACAGCTGAGCGGTAGCTGCATTTCCATTCCCTTTTCCTCGTCTAACCTTCTTCTGCTGCTGCTTCTGCCACTCCCTCTGCTGCTGCTTCTGCCACTCCCTCTGCTGCCGCTTCTTCATCTGCTGCTCTCACTTGGGGTTAAACAATTTGACGATGGAGAAGGCGATTCTGTCAGTGTCATCGCTATTCGCATTTATGTTGTGCCCCATAAGACCCAAATAATTGTTACATAAATTCTTGTCTTGACACATCAGGTGAGCCAACTTAAAAAATTCAATGTTGTATTTCAACATGTGATTATTGGAATTTTTTTTGTTTTTTTTTAAATCCTTCATATAAGCTTTCATTAATTTTGTTTTCTCAGACAAACTAATTGGTTCTTCCGAATTAGGATATACGTCATTACTATGAATTTTTTTTAGATTGCAATAATAAGACTTGTTAAAATTCAACACCTCTACATTGGTATCGTCTAAATACACCTTTTGCATTTCTTTCATTTTTATACATTCACCTGCAAAGCGGTTCCTCCCAATCTTTCCATCGAACAGTGTCCCTTTTCTAGGATTACACATGCTTCGAATGGAAGAAATCTCCATCTTCTCAATGCCAATTCGGGGAGGTTTTCCCTGGATGCACTCTCTTTCTATGCTCCTCCTGTGCATACTTTTGTTGGGAGAATATATATTCGTCTCGTCAATCCTGTGTGGAGTGCTAATCGTGCGTCCCATGCTAATCCCACGCGATACGCAGTTCTCAGGTCCCTCGAAGGAACTACCACCAAATGATCTAATACAATTCCCCATGCGCATGGTTTCTGCCCGATCAGACAATTTGTTACGAGTGCATGCTTCATTATTTCCTCTTCTACTGGTTGCATTCTCCACATCGAGAATACTTTCTGTATCATCACTTATGCAATTTTTCACCATGCTCTGTTGCCTATTTTTTTCCATTTTATATTCCCTATTTTTTTCCATTTTATATTCCCTATTTTTTTCCATTTTATATTCCCTATTTTTTTCCATTTTATATTCCCTATTTTTATCCTTTTTTTTCATCCATAAATTATGTTCATATTCGAATGAATCTCTGTCTTGTGTTTCCCTTTGTCCTGTTCTTCTCATCGGTCGATTGATAATAACCTCTCTGTGGGTAGATTTAAATCCTCTACTTTCATTTTCTCTCTTCATGTCCTCGATTTTAGTCTTTATTATTCTTTTTAACATGGTGCTGTTTGTCACCACTGTGTGATTTTTTTTTGATTTCACTCCTGTTTTTATTCCTCCTTTATGTTTCTCTTCTTCTTTTATACATTCAATGTCTAGTGTTTTTTCTAAATGTTCAGAACCCAATAATTCCTTTATTTGCTGAAATTTTTCGACATCTCCCCCCTCACCCTCCAATGGCAAATCGAATGTATCACCTTCACTAATTTTCCAGAATCGCGTTTTCACTTTCTTGTCCTGCTTCTGTCTGTTTTTCTCAATCTCCGTGCCTTCATAAGTTCCTCTTCCCATGTCAATACTTCCTTCTATGCCATCATAAGTTCCTCTTCCCACGTCAATACTTCCTTCTATGCCATCATAAGTTCCTCTTCCCACGTCAATACTTCCTTCTATGCCATCATAAGTTCCTCTTCCCACGTCAATACTTCCTTCTATGCCATCATAAGTTCCTCTTCCCACGTCAATACTTCCTTCTATGCCATCATAAGTTCCTCTTCCCACGTCAATACTTCCTTCTATGCCATCATAAGTTCCTCTTCCCACGTCAATGCTTTCCTCTATGCCATCATGAGTTCCTCTTCCCATGTCAATGCTTTCCTCTATGCCATCATGAATTCCTTCCTGATCCCTCTCGACAGAGACACACACCCTCTTCTCCTTGTATACCCTAGTGTTATAGTCTTCCTCTGTGTAATCGTCACTACCATTCGCTACACTCAGCAAATGGGTACTCCTTTCTCTACCTTTACACCCTAAGTGTTCTTTGGTTGAATAATTTGAAAGTATCTTCCTTTTTTCCTCCTGATTATTATTGATGCATATGGAGGGAAAATATTTCTCCTCCCACATGTATGCTTCTCTCTTCTCGGATTCATTCGCTTTGTTATTGTCATTGTCTATATTTATATACATGCAATCGGGGGAGCCAATCCTGAACGAGTTGTTTATCGATTGATCATGTCCTTCCATTGATTTTTTTTCTTCCTTTCCTTTGACATATCTTCTTATAATATCATTACTTCGTTTCTCACTTTCTTCAATATGTTTGATCCTTGTGAAAGTTTCATTGTTTATGCCTTGCTTTTTTGTCTCCAAATTATCATTAATTTTTTCTTCCCATTTGGAAATGTATCTACTGGATATACTTTTTAAAAATAATTTATCCATCTCATCTTTTGTAATTCTGCCATTAGAAGAACACAAATCATGTTGAACTGGTGGTCTTGTACTATCATAATGATGTCGCCCTTGCTTTATATTGTTTGTCTGATACTTGTTCAGATTATATGAGCGGTCATTTTTTTTTAGCATTTTCTGTGATGTGCATTCCGCTTGCTTATCTTTTTCTTCCTTCATTTCAACAAAATTGGAATGATTTTTTTTCCTTTTTAAAACATATTCTTCTTCACTTCCACGGATTGGGAATGAACATATGTAGCATTTAGATTGTGTACCATTGTGTATTCGATGCTTATTCATATTTGCGTGATGTTGCATACTAGATGGTGCATTCTTTTTTATACACGTGCGAGGAGATGTTGTAATATCCTCACCGGGATGGCAAATATCGCCATGGTGGCAAATATCGCCGTGGTGGCAAATAACACCCGGATCACGATTGCCAAGATGACGATTGTCAGGATTGCTCCACTCATCTGCGACATTGTAAATAATACCCCTGTGCACTCCAACTCTATATCTATGCTTCTCTTTCCCTGGGATGTCTCGTAATCTATTAATTGATAACGATGTTCTTGTGGCTCGACTCTGCAAAGAGGAACCATCCTTACAATTCACCATAGTAAAAGAAGATAATTTATTTTTTTTTTCTTTTTCTCCTCTCTCCTTATTCTCTTCAAAATATATTCTGCACATATTCCTTTCATGCGTTGAGATATTTCCTACACCCTTGGATTTATTCATTGTATTATTTGTAAATATATCTTTATCATTTACCCCTCCAAATGTGTTATTATTTACACAATTAAATGTGTCTTTCTTTTCATAGATGTTATCCAATTGGAGTTGACTCCCATTTGGATACAACTCATCATCATTCATATTCTCATTCACGCATTCATCCATTTGTCTCTTCCTAACATGAGTAATTTTCCTGCCTTGTAAATGTTTTAATACTTCCCTTACTTTTCTATTCGATAAGCTGTTACTTAGAATGAAACTTGAATTAGATGGATACCAACTAAATTCATATTTTGTATTTCTTGAATGTCCTCCAGATTCCTTAAGTTCATTCAAATTATGTGGTACTTTCTCTGCTACACTATTGATCCTGTTTAGCACCCCTCCTCCACTATTCAATACTTCATGATTCTCTCTTTTGCTTCTGTCACAACAGATTTGTGTATTTCTACACGGCAATATAGTTTCATTATCATGGTCATATATCTCTTCGTTTCTATCACAAAAATTTGCTTTTTTTCGAATGTAGATACTATTGTCTTTCTCAATTTTTTCTTCCTTCCGTTTGATTCTAAGCAAATGGGACATTTTTCTTCTCTTCTCATGTTCATACAAATAGTTTAAATGTCTATTTTGGGTTCTCTCTGAATAGGTACTTGTACTGTGTAGGTGCATTTCGTACTTCTCCATATCACTGTCCTCTATGTCACTATCATCTGTTGTATGTTCTCTTCTCCTTACATGTCGAAGCAATTTCCATCTATCAGAAGAAGATCGACCATTGTAAGTCTGAGTCGAATGAATGTCTATCGAGAATTCATTTCCCTCCCTAGAAGAATTGTCAGGATCTCCTATATGTCTACTTTTCTTCCGTTTTACCACATTCTTACTTTTCTTCTTATAATAATTACAAACAAAAACATTTTTCTGTGTTGTAAACAATTCGACACTCTCCCCTGTGGATGGCAATTCTTGATTTATATTTGAAATCGAATCTAAGCAGGACCCCGACTTTGCGTGAATTGAATTTCTAGTAGGATTTAAAAAATCCAACTTATCCATCTTATCATCCATCTTATCATCCAACTTATTATCTATAAATGTCGACATATTTCTAGCATAAATATCTTCCTCGTTTGACGTATCCGAATTAAGCAAGGTTTTCTCCCCATTTCTCACCATTTTTCTCTCTTTTTCAAATTTTTTAATTTTTTTTTTTATGCTTTTTTTTATTTCCATTAATTTTATGAAATTGCTGCTGTAAGTTCCATTTTCAACTTCATAAGATGCTGTTGATGCTGCTGGCCATGCTAAAACTTCACCCCCTTTGTGTGTTACTCTATTTTTCACATTTTCTAATCCACTTCCAACACTTCTTTTCATGCCTTTCCCTACTCTTTCAGATATCTCTAAAAATTCACACGTCTCATTGCATGTGTCTTCCGTTCTTTTCTCTTCCTCCTCGTCATCTTCATTGCAAATGTTCGGCTCCTTTCTATAATGCAAATATTTAATTTTTGATCCCTTTTCCTCATTTACTTTCACACGATTATCAAATCTAGATTCATCCATGTTTATGTATTCATTGGGTTCTAGATCCCACCCTGCATCTGAGCGTGGAATTTTTCCAGGTGACACCATGATATCCTTTCCCTCTTCCACAAAATTGGCCTTCGAAAATTTCCCCCTATCTCCATGTATAACATACAAATTATTAATTTTGCAATTCACAAAATTTCTGAACAGATCATTTAGATTGTCCCTAACCTCCTTGGACACATTGTCAAAGTTTCCGTTCTCCTGAGTATGTTTTGTGTTTATTCTCTCCTCATTCATTTTACCTACCCCCGAGGTGAGGTTCCTTTCTCTAGCAGCGGCTCCCCGTTCATTCGAGTCTGCATCGTCCGCATCGTCCGCCTCGTCTGCATCATCTCCTTCATCAACTGCATCGTCTGCATCGTCTGCATCATCTCCTTCATCAACTGCATCATCTCCTTCATCAACTGCATCTCCTGATTTAACCCCCTTATCTGCCACGCATGGAGGACCCCGAGAGACGCTCCTCTTAATGGGATGGTTGCTTACACCGCCCGGACCTGACAGTGCACGTTTTATTTTTCGATTTGCGAGGACTGAGGAACTCGCCTTCTGATTGAACTTGTTTTTTAAATTACTTATCTGGTTAATATTTGATTCCTTTTTCTTATTAACAAGTAGCAGTTTTGCATTTCTTATTCTTTCGATTAATCTGTCTTGTAGACCTCCTCCTTTATCATTTCTATGTGTACTTTTTATATCTTCCTCCTTAGATACATGTATGATTTTTGAAAAACCAACATTATTCCTTCCTTCACTTGTCTTGTTACAAACCTTTATCCCCTTAGTATCAATTGAAAAGTTTTTCTTTTTTTTCTGCCGTGTCTTTAACAATCTGTTCTTATGTTTTTCTAGAGATTCTTCCAACCTTTGTTTTACTCTATCCAGATTGCTCATTCTGTTTGTGTCTGAGGAATTTTTTCAGTAGGAGGAAAAACAACTCCTTCATAAGAAAAATCCTCCAAGGGCAATACTCCCACCACGCAAAATGAACACATGTGCTTAACTCTCGCTGTGTGTGTTCACAAGTTTTTTCTCCTTTTTCTGAGATAAAGTTATGTACATATGTGTGTGTATATATAAGCGTGTACATATATGTGTGTATATATAAGCGTGTACATATATGTGTGTATATATTATTAATACACCCCTCCGCCTTGATTCGGTGTTGTAAAAGTAAAATAAAATAACAATGAAAAGTGGAAATGTAGAATAATGGGTAAAAACTCTCCTATTATTTACGGATTGATGAATTGATCAGTGGGTCCTGTACATACAACGTTGGACTATTCAGAATTGCCTCCTATACACAGACGCACACATACACGGATTGCATACCTGTATATATATATATATATACATATATATATATATATATATATGTGTATGCATGAATGGATGCACTCCCCAAATGGATATGCATGAAATTCTTGGGGGCCTGAGTGACTATGGGGAATGAGGACACGTAAAATGAAGAGTGTATGAAATTGAGCGTGGCAAATGGAACGTGATGCATGTCTGCCCAAGGGATGTCTAAGTTCACTCTGCAATGTATCACCCAAACCCCCAGAAAAAAAACAGAGAAAACAAAAAAAACAGAAAAAACAGAGAAAACAAAAAAAACAGAAAAAGCAGAGAAAACAAAAAAAACAGAGAAAACAAAAAATACAAAAAATGCAAAAAATACAAAAAAAACAAAAAAAACAAAAAAAACAAAAAAAACAAAAAGACATAGACCGGAGGACGAAGTTCGATACAAGGTTGTGGTGCGTGTTCATAAAATTGAATACAAATTGGAACACATACAATTAAGATAAAGACAAAAAAAAAAAACAAAAAATCGCTTCAATTTTAATGGAAAGAAGGCATGGTGATATATTTTTATATTATATTATATCATTTTTCTTTCTTTTTTTTTGTTTTTTTTTTTTTTTTTTTTTTGCTTCATTTCAATTATGTCTTTTGACGCACTCATTTTAATAAACTGATTTTTTCAACCTAATATACACGTATTTTTTATTTTAGAATAAACACAATTTTTTTAGTTTAACAAGTACGTATTTCTGACCTAACAATCTAACTTCTTCAATTTAATTTTTTTTTTTTTTTTTTTATTCACACTCCAGTTTGCACCTAGATTTGTGAAAAGTGGACAATGCTCTGCACCAGCAGTAACTGCGTTTTCAAATCGGGATATGTACAAAAAATAAAATAAAAAAAGGAAGAAAAAAGAGGAAGGAAAAAAAGGGAAGGAAAAAAAGGAAAGGAAAAAAAGGAAAAAAAGGAAAAAAAGAGAAGAAGAAGAAGAAGAAGAAGAAAAAAAAAAATAAAAGGGAGGGGAATACAAGATATACAAATAAGACAAATGAATGGAAAAAACAAATGGGGAAAAAAAACCTTATCCACAAAATTTCCACTTCGACATAGAGAAATATCATATGTGCCAATTTATAAAAATTTTCAAAAAAAATTTTCACTAGATCTTACACAAATCTATTTGATAGTAGATCCATTTACACATTTGTACACCTCCCCTCATCGTATGACAACATAAAAAAAAAAAAAAAAAAAATCTTTTTCCACACACATTTCCAGTTCAACTCTCATTTCCAACTTTCATATATACGTTCCTTCTGCACCTTTTTGCATAAGCATATTTTCTACCTTTTTGTGAGTCTTTTCTTTTGATCACCAAGTTTGAAACTATGAATGGATAAGCTTTAAAGTTTTTTGTGAGAACCACTCGAATTAGGAGAAATATTCTTCTGTTGTCTCCTTAGGCAGGGATCCTACAATAAACGGAATTGATCAAATGGGCAGAGTGGGCCAAATGGATGAACCAGAAGAATAAATAACTCAACTCAACAGGAGAGTTACAAAAGTTGTTTTCACATCACAGAAAAAGAATAAAAACAACGGGTTGTTTTTTTTTTTTCCATTACTACAATGGAAATTCCTATAACTTATTTTTTCCCTTTTTTATCAACAACAACAACAACAAAAAAAAAAAAAAAAGTTACCCCAAAAAGAATCATCTTTTTTAAACATATTTAAACACACATTTCAATTCAAGCATGAAAAGAAATCTCTCAAAATTTGCAATTTTTTTTCAAGTACACTTTTATATTAAACTGTTTACACATAAGCGAATTGTTCATACATCTACATGTCTTCTCATGATCCTCTTCCCTCTCCTGTTTGTCACTGTATGTGAACTCCTGAAGATATGTCGTGGACGTGGGGAGGATTCATAATTTAACACAATATACCCTTTGCATGATTTCTAAAGTGGTATAACATACCCTTGGCATTATTCTTATTATCATCAGCTCCTTATAGAGATTCCTCCAATGTGTAGCGAACGAGTTTCCCTTTTTTTTTTTTTTTTTTTTTTACATTCCCTTCACCAAGGTCTAAAAATTATAAACCTGTGAACTCAAGTGAAGAAATTTTTTGTTTCTTCGTGCAAATTGTACGAGTATCCATGTAGACAGTGAATTTTTTTTCATTTTTTTCATTTTTTTCATTTTTTTCATTTTTTTATTTTTTTTATTTTTTGTTTTTCCCTTTTTGCCAAGTTGGACAAGTTGCCTGGGTTAAGCAGCTCCTCGCAAACAGTGTTCATTGTTCATACATAAACAGACCCGATAAATATAAACATATAGAGAAGAAACGCACGTACATGCACACTGCACCTCAAAACGATGAAATATTTTCTGGATAAAATAAAAGAGGCGTTGTGCAAGCGGAGACAGAAAAATGGAACACGTGTCTGTAAAAAGGGGATGTTGTGCATTGGTCAGAAAAGAAAATCAAAATGGATCCGAAGGTGATGACTCAGCTGTTAATTCAGGTCATAAGCCAGCTGCTGATTCAGGTGATCACCCAGAGGGACACGCTAGACGACATAACACAAAACTGATGAGCACACAAAATGAAGAAAATTGCACTAAAAGTGTCAATTGCAACGGAACCAATTTAAACATATCCATAGAGAACGTCCAAAGGAATGAAATCAGACATTTCTATTTGAGTAGGGCTAACAATTTCGTGAATGATGATGGGTTGCAGTGCAAAATTATATTAGCTGTTCATTGTAGCGAAGAAAATGTTGTCTTTTACTTATTTTGTATTTCTCCATTTCAAACGTAAACCTACATGCCCTTGAGATAATAATCATTTATGTAAAAAAATAAATCAACAAATGAGATACAGTAGTAAAAAAAAAAAAATAAAAAATAAAGAATTTGTCTTACTTAATGATAAGATGTGTGACAATTCTCACAGAAAACGCAAAAATATCCGAGCCTTTACAAATGTAAAAGTAGATATAAAAACTGAAGAAAATAAACACACACGTGAATATGCAAATCAAAATTTTTGCATTCAAGAATTATTCACAGACAATGTGCTTTATGTCATTGAATATAAACTCTGGTCAGATTATCATAACTCTTTTTTGCATGACAATTATGCTTCCTCCAAAAGCTCTGCATGCTGAATATTCTCTGTATATTTAAGTAGAACAATATAGAAAAAAAAAAAATTCTAAATTATTAAACACATGCAAGCAGTTCCAACAGTTATAAAGGCTAGTCGCAACGATAACAGTATTTGATGAGAACCTCTTTTACATGGATCCTTGAGCGGTTCTCGGTTCAACCAGAAGCGAACTCATTAAAATGTAAAAAAAAAAAAAAAAAAAATAATACATTGACATACAGTAAGGTGCATTTTCACACAACATGCCCATTTTCTACACTTCTAAAAATGTACGCAGGGTAGAGGGGAGTAATCACTTTAAATCGGATTTGTCTCCAATAATTTTTTTTTTTTTTTTTTTTTTTTTTTTAAAATGGTAAACGATTGGGTGTGGGTAAAATAATGTAATTCATAAATCATAACTCGTAATTCATATTTCATAGCGAGTGATATATTGTAAAAAAAAAAATGTGCAAATAGTCCAATATATAGACAAAAAAGCATGTGAATTTTACGCGCTAGTCTTGGCCATAGCATCCATTATGCTACTTCCTCTGAGCGTACTCTAGGAGAGATATTTGCAATACTATTAGGTGTGTATATATATATATATATATATATATATATGCATGTAGATGCATGTACTTTTATATGTGCATGTACACCCCCGCATGAGGTGCTAATCATTTTTGATAAAGAAGTGCATATCCAAGTCCTTCGACAAGTCTACACAAAACACGTCATCATCATCGGCAGTGTCGACAACATCGATGCCATTCGCTCCACCAGCGTGATGGATCAAAAGCGGGCTCCTATTACTACTATTGCCATTGCCATTAGCGCTACCACTACCATTGCCACTACCATTGCCACTACCATTGCCACTACCATTGCCACTACCATTGCCACTACCATTGCCACTACCATTGCCACTACCATTGCCACTATTGCTAATATTATTATTCACTCCAAAGTCGTAAAAACATGCACTACTCAGCGGATCATAGGAAGAGAAGTTGTTGCCCTCCATAATGCTTCTCACGACATCATTTTCTAAACTTTTTTCAAATCCATCATTTAGAAACACAGAGGTTAAAAAATTCTTTGCATCGTTTCTTAAAAAGTTCATTGCACCTCTGTTTGGATTCACATTAGATGAAACCACACTACTTCCAATTCTACTTGCATTCTCACCAGATTTGTCATTTCCCATAAATTCTTCTCTAGTGGGTTCATAATTTACTTGATTCCATTTCAAGGAGTTCCAATGAGGACATCTCTCGTTAAAGTACTCTTCATTTGAATAACTCAAATTAACTTGTTCTATATTGGACACTTCTGCATCTTTGGTTCTCGGGCTTTGACCATTCTTCTCTCTTACATTATTTTCCACACACTCATGAGGGCATATGTCATGTATTATACCTTCATAATTGTTATGATTCGTGTAAATTCTCTCCTTAGACATGTCATAATAAATATCTTTATTTCGAATATGTCTTTCTCCTCTTTCATTTTTTATAAAATTTTTTTCCTTTCTTTTCAAAATGTTGTTATTCCTTTGGTTTCGAATTTCTCTTTTTGTATCATTTATAAACATTGCTCCTTCATCATAGTCCATCAAGTGACACTCGTCTTTGTCAATACAATTGTAATTTGTGAAAAATATATTATCGATTCCCATTTCTGAGTAATTCATTGGAATATTCACAATATTGAAATCATAAACACTGTCCTCCTTTATTGGCTCATATGATAACGTACAATCTTCCTCCATTCGCTTCTCTTCATCGTTCTGAGATTCATATGAAATTAAATTTTTTGAAATTTTTTTCTTAAGCCAATTGCATCTATTTTCTTCCTGTACTACCATGTTCTTGTAAAATGGGTTGTTCATTCGTTCTTTTTCATTTCTTAAAAAATTGTCTACATTTTCCTTCTTATAGAAATTCATAAAATATGTTTCTCTTTCATTTGGAAAAACAAAGATATTCCCTTCTGGTGAATCTTCTAACATTTCTTTCATATGAGAATTTTCACTTAATGCTGATTTACCTAAGAGGCTAGAAAATAAATGTTCATCACCTTTGGTGATTTTCTCATCGTTAAAAGGTTCATTAGAGTCGTAATTTTTACAATTTTTGTTATTTACCATATGATTCTCATCATTATTTTCTACCCTGTTTGCGCAGCTTGACAATTCCTCTTCCTTCTTTTCTTTGTTATGCAAAATGGAATTCTTGCTCCTACTCAAGTTACTGCTCCTACTCAAGTTACTGCTCCTACTCAAGTTACTGCTCCTACTCAAGTTACTGCTCCTACTCAGATTATTGCTCCCACTCAAAATATGGCTCCCACTCAAATTATTGCTACTACTGAAGATGTTCTTTTCTCCTCCTTGATGATTTTCATAAAGATATACATCTCCATAGTCACCATCATAATTTGTGAATCTTATTAATTCTTCCTCCTTCCCCACATCTTCTCTCTTGCTTAATCTATATCCTGTGTAAAGATTCCTATTTGCTTCACGATTAAGAAAAGGGTATCCCTTATACTCATCACATATCCTGAACCTCTCAAAGCTATCCATATGTGAATCCGCTCCAATACCTCTTCTTCTACACTCGACACGTGTTTCTCCAATGTTCTCTTCACATTTATAACCTCTTCTGTTGAAATGTCTTACCCTACTAGAGATGTTCCCATGATCCACCTCTTCCTCCAGGAGATCGATTCGTTTGGAAATTACACTCTTCTTCATCTCAGACGATGCTGTAATTTCTTTATCACACCCTTCGTTAGCAGATTTGCGTAGCAACTGCGTATGGTATACGTCCTTCCTTCCCCCACTTCCACTCGCACCACTTCCATCCCCGCTGCTGACAGTGCTACTCTCAGCAGAGTTAACCATTGTACATCCTTTTCCCTTGCTGGTACATACAGGCTCTATAATCCTCTGATTCAATCGATAAACGGAATTGCCAACAGTCCTTTCAGTAATATGATGCTGATCACTACTACTATAGCTTTCTCCTTTCCTGTTTCCCACTATGGGGTTCTCAGTTTTTAAAAAAACCTTTTTCGATTTCCCCTTCACATAACTGCTGTTCATCAGTTTCTTCATATCACCATTATTTTGTTTAAAAAAGGTAGGTAAGTTATATTTATTAAATTGTGTGTCCTTTTCTGAATCGACATAGTCATTCAGGTTATTCCCATCCTTTGCCCATTCTGCACCGTTTTCCCATTCTGCACCGTTTTCCCATTCTGCACCGTTTTCCCATTCTGCACCGTTTTCCCATTCTGCACCGTTTTCCCATTCTGCACCGTTTTCCCATTCTGCACCATTTTCCAATCCTGCACCATTTTCCAATCCTGCACCATTTTCCAATCCTGCACGGTTCGACTCGTTCACATCATCCGACACACCACAACCATTCGCATTGTTCCCTCCGATTGCATCTCCCTCGATACATTCATCTTTTGTCTGAAACCTTTCCAAAAGGGAATATCCATTCCTTTCATGCATTTCCTCAATGTACTTTAACAAATTCTGGTTCCTACTCCCACAGTCGCCACGACACACTCCCCTTTCTCCCGTTCTCCCTCCTACTGCTTCTGCCCCTTCATCTGCTTCTATCCCCTCTTCTGCTTCTATCCCCTCTTCTGCTTCTATCCCCTCTTCTGCTTCTATCCCCTCTTCTGCTTCTATCCCCTCTTCTGCTTCTATCCCCTCTTCTGCTTCTATCCCCTCTTCTGCTTCTATCCCCTCTTCTGCTTCTATCCCCTCTTCTGCTCCTAGTTTGCTTCTGCTTTGGAAGCATGGTGGCCCATTTATGTACTCATTCATATTCTCAAAGTATATCTCATCAAAATTATGTACACACATATCCACGGTGTTACTACTCCCATACTGCGTGTTACTACAGCAATGCATGTCGCTTCCATATGGAGCCAATCCCTCCTCCGGCTCCTCTTCCCTGGAACTTCTCTTATTATTACCACTATCCCCATCGTTATTATCTACCTCTTCGTCAAACAAAATGCTTCTTACTAGCTTAGGATACAATTCAGATAAGCAAGGAATTATTCGCTTTTCCATATGCCCAGTCTTTCCGTTTCCGCTTCTTTTACTTTCTGTTTTGTGCAATGTAGTTCTGAGATTTGCATTAACTCCTTCTAAGTATGGCATAACTTCCAAATCTGAGCAGCGCTTGACACCCACAACAATGTCCTTTTTCATCCCTCCATTTTTTCCTACGATGCTTTCATCGATTCCCCTTTTCTCGTCCACAAGTCCTACATTCTCTAGGACTGTTTTCCTCTCGTTTTTTGTACTTTTCCCATTTTCTTGATTTGTATTAACGTTAAATTTTATATTCTTACTACACTTGTTGACAACAATGTTAGACATGCATTTCGATTGCATGTCCACATGTGTATCATTAAGGTTCCACTTACTTTTTTCACTTGCACTGTTGTATATTTTATAACCCTTGCAAGAACTTCTCTTTTCCTCGTTTCTGCCAATTTTATCATCAGTCCTTTGTGCCAATTCATCTAGTTTATTCCCAGTACAATAAAAACTGTCATTCCTCCTTTCTAAGCATAAATTTATTTCGTAAGGACTAACCAATGTATCATTCTCTTCATCGTCTAGCTTCTTCCTGTTTAATAATGCACTACATCTAGTTCCATCCTCTTTGCCTTTCTTTCTTTCTCCATTTCTGAAATCATCACTATTAAGTATGTCCTCATCCTCATGTATAAAATGAGAATTTTTTCTATTATATGACGTCATCATATGTGCAATATTGTTTTTCTCTTCTTTCTGCTGTAATTCTGTAGGATATTTTCCTAAGACGATCTTGAACTGTTTCTCATCCATGAGAATATTTCCATTCTTGTTAATGTTACTATTTCTGTTTTCTCTCCAGTTTTCGCTTCCGCCTTCTCTTCCGCCTTCTCTTCCATCTTCTCGTCTCGTTCCATCCATCTCACTGATTCCTCTGTTTGGACACGTACCAAACTCCCAGTAGGTACTATTCCTAATGTTCAAATGATCCTCATTATATATCATTCCATTCAATTTATCACATCTACTTTCCTCCTTTTGCACTGCATTATCACTGAGAAGCAAATTTTCCGAATCACATGAACTCATAAACATACGTTCAGCAAACTTTGTTGCATATTTTCCTTCTCCCTTGCCATCTAATATGATCAAGCCTCTTTTGTCAGTAGGGATAATGGGGGATGCAATTTCTTCATCCGTACTAGCCAATTTTCTCATGATTCTATAGTTTTTAGAATCTTCACCAATAACATGATGATTATGGACATCTAAATCTTGATTGCAATTTCTATACTTTTCTTCCATCTCAGTACCATTATGGGATAATATGGAATGCAAATTAAATGGTGGAGTTATATTGTTCCTTATGGATTCCTTTGAACAGTTTTCATGATGGTCATATCTATTTTGCATATAATTCATTCTTTCAAATTTTCCATGTATAAAATAATCCTTTTTATCATTCCGATTAAGCAATGGTTCATCATATTGATGGTAAAAATTTTGGTTGTTCTTCAAGTTCATATTTATTGTGCATAACTTAGTATACTTTAATTTTCTACCATTCATAAAATCTTCATTGTTTTTACCCTCCTTACGATATGTGGGATTGTTCACAATGTTACTTAAAAATGTATTACAAGAGGAATTTTTTATCAAATTCGCTCTATTCATATTTTTCATTGGGTTATTTCTTCTACTGTTATTCCTCATCCCTATATCTATATTCTTCTTAGAAAAATTAGATGAATTCGAACTATTGTCGTTAAAATTTATATTTACATTCCATCCATTGTTCCTTTTCTGCTGAGTCACGTGTTCTATCTCTTCCCCATTACGTATTGTACAAACACCCATATTTTGATAGATTCCCAATTCTCCGTTTGGATGACCACCAACTTCACCATTTCCAGAACTCATATTTACTTCTTCTGAGATTCCTTTTGTTTTATTCAACACGCATAATCCATCTGAATTCATAGGATCTAGACAATTGCTTAGTCTCGAAAAATCCATTTCATCATTATTCATACTGTCTTCATTGTCGTAAAATTGCACAAGTTTTGTGTTTATGTCATTTATGGAGTGTGCAAATCTGCATTGATTTCCCTTTATGCATCTACCTGTGTAAGGAAATAGGAAAGGGGGATAGGAAGGGAGAAAAAAAAAATAGTGTATACTTGATATTTCGATCAATACTTATGGAAAATGGTGCAAATAGTTAACTGTAGCTTTGACAATCAATGAGCAACATGTAACGTGTATGAATTACAAATGCAATAGTATAAAAAGATGAATCAAATTCCATTCAACGGAAGAAACAAAGTATCACACCCCTTGGAAAGAGTAAAAAAATAAAATAATGTAGGAATAAAAAACAAAAAAGAAAATGCACTATTTTAACCTTCTCTATGCAGCTGACATATGGCTGGTTTTCCCACCTCCCTCAGTTCGTTCACAGAATGTGCATATATGCAATCATGATCCGTACATTTTCCTAACAAGGTGAAAAAAATGAAAAATCGAAAAATAAATATGAAGTCTGTCGTATGAAGCATATTCCAAGACGCCTTTTGTCGCATGGTCCATACATATAACACGAAATCTATATACTCATTAGGATACTTGTATATATTCACATGAAAAGTGAAAAAAAAAAAAAAAAAAAAAAAAAGAAGAAGAAGGAGAAGAGAATAATACCTAATATGTAACTTTTGCACAATTTCGTTTTTCTCATGTCTGGTTTTATTCTTAACTCGCTTATGTCATGAGCAAATGTGCAATTTTCTCCTCTATCACATTTATTTATTAGTGCATATTTGCACATTTGAATTTTATATATCCTAACGGAAAGAAGAAGAAGAAAAAAAAAAAAAAAAAAAAAAAAAATCAGACGATGCTTTTTAAAAAATTGCCTAAACACATTGCGGTTGTTTTGTAAGCACAAGCTATTTTGGGACACAACAGATGACATAGTTTTATGTCGTTACTATTTTATTTTACATTTTATAGCTTATATTTTATGCTATATTTTATGCCATAATTTTATGCTATATTTTATGCCATAATTTTATGCTATATTTTATGCCATAATTTTATGCTATATTTTATGCCATAATTTAATGCTATATTTTTCTCTTTTTTTTCCTACTTGAAACGATGCATTTTTATTTTCTTGTTCACATAAATTTTTTGGGGGTTGGGTAAAAAAAAAAAAAAAAATTGATAATACTGATAAAGTTGGTAATACTGACAAAGTTGATAATACTTGTAAAATTGGTAATGCTTGTAAAATTGGTAATACTTGTAAAATTGGTAATACTTGTAAAATTGATAAAATTGATCTAGAGTGATAAACGCATGCAGAGCTAGGTGCGATGAGATGCTTTTTCGTACGAACAATGGATAATTTCGTTATATTTTTTTTTTTTTTTTTTTTATGTTCTTGCCACTCCTAATTTATGAATTGATTTTTCTCCTACTTCTGTCGTTCCCCTTGTCTTATGATCAACGTGACAAATGTGTAAAGATAACAATTTAAAAAAAAAAATATAAAAAGGACTGTGTGCATGCACATGCATGAAAAAAAAAAAAAAAAAATAATAATAAATCAGCGCTATCAGTGCGCAATAATGGATTACACTTATGAAAAAAAAAAAAAAAAAGAAAATATAGGAAAATGACACAAGATCAGTGATATACATACCATTATTATTTACATGTATGTTTACACTTGATTTAAAAATACAACGAACAATTCATAGTCCGTTGTAATTCGAAAAATTAGGCACAACTAAATAAATTAGAACAAACAAGTTGTCAAAAGATAAACGAAATAATGAAATGAGTAATAAAAAGAATAAAAAAAAATAATGTAAAAAAAAAATAAATTAACTAGATAATAATACGAATAAATAAAGAAATAAATTAAATAAACAAAATAATAATACAAATATATAAAGTAATAAAATAAATAAATGAATGAACGAAAAGGCGAATTCTTGTGATTCTGTTATTTAACAACGTTTAGATGTCTTACGTCTAAATAACGCCATAATAAACAAAAAAACAAAATAAAAAGGAACAAAATAAAAAGGAACAAAATAAAAAGTAACAAAATAAAAAGGAACAAAATAAAAGTAACAAAATAAAAAGTAACAAAATAACAAAATAAAAAAGCAAAAAGTAAAAAATAAAATGAATATGTAGAATAAAACTAAAATAAACAGCCAGGAAGACAACGTAGGAAAAGGAGAAAAATGTGCAACTGTTCTTTCAAATGGTTATGCAAAGGAAGCAAATATAAAAACTTTCAAGCAAACAATCGCAAAATAAGTCATGAATGGAAAAAATTGGGATATACTTTGCACAGAATATATTGTCTGGAAAAGTGAAATCCGTGTGTGTTGTCAAATCACTTGAAATTATTCGTATTTTTTAAAATTTCAATATTCACACATTTATGGATATGCTTATATGCACATATTAATGCATGTGTTTATATATATACATGCATGCTTTCATGAGCTCAAACAGCTTTGTATATATATATATATATATATATATATATAAATTAGAATATAAACAAGTTCTCACTTCTTTGAGTTAATACATGTGAATATTTTAATTTGATCATCTGTTCTAAATAAATAATTCCTTATTTATATCTAAATGTCTTTTGTATATTTCTGTGCATGTAATTTAAAATTTTCTTTTTTTTTATGTACCACTCTTGCTTCTTTTTTTTTTTTTTTTTTTTTTTTTCACATGTACATACAGGTCTTTTTTTTTTTTTTTTTTTTTTATTATTATTATTTAATTATTATTATAATATTTTATTTTTATATGTTTTTTTTTTTTTTTTTTTTTTTTTTTTTTTTTTTTTTTTTTTTTTTTTTTTTTTTTTCCTGTTTCTTCTTTGTTTCAGTTTGTTTTAATTTTTTTGGACAGTAGGCGCTGTTGTACTTCCAACCTTGTAATAAGTAACATATAACAAATAAATGCACATGCAATGTTACAGATATTCGTGTTGTCACATGCACGTAAATATCTACTAGTGTAAAATACGAAAACTGTGGTGTAAATAATTTATGTCAAATTGAGTTCTTTGTAATCAGATAAATACAATGCAAAAGGTAAAATAAAATGCAGATACGGTGTTTAGAATTCTCCAATTATAATGTAATTAAAAAAAAAAAAAAAAAAAAAAAAAATATTACAACTGGAACTTCGTTTTATTACATTATTTTATTTTATTTTTTGATTAACTAAACTTTTAAAATGTAAATGCAAATTTAAATATCATAGGACTGTGAAATAGATAGACATATGTGTACATTTTTATATGAACTAAAAGATTGCGTAAATATATGTGGACATTATTTTTATTAGAGTGTTACATTTATTTAGTTCTTTCGTGTTTATAAAATTTATACTAAAATAAAACTAACATACTTTAAGTAAATGTGTTATGACTGAATGGATATCGCGCCCGTAGGTTGGATGATATACACATGCATATGTGCAAATATAGGTAACTGTTCATGTATATATATTTATGTTTATACGTATATTTATATATATATATATATATATATTTATATACATATTTATATATATATTTGTATACCCATATGCATGTGCATAAGCATATTTAAACATAACCCTGTGCGACCTTTTTTTTTACTACTCATAATTTCTTAATTTCATTTGCAGTATGATGACGCTTCTTCCCCATTTATATATGCACCCTCAGGAGGATCTCAATTTTTATGTAATTTGTGTGTATCTCAATTATGCGCACGTGAAAGTGAGTAAAAGAATGTCATAAAGTATAGATTGCAACAATGAGCTACAACCTAACGGTTGCACTATTGAATTCTCAAATTAAAGAAATTAAATGTTTTGCTTATATTAAATTCCTAAAAAAAATTAAACGCTTAAATAAACTTAAGAAATATTAATAATATGAATTGTGCTTCGTCAAATGATGGATACACAAGTAAGATATACTCCAAAGCGGTAATTATTCCTTTACGTTTGATGCATATACAAAGTGGTGGTAGTGATGGGTTGTGTCAACATGAAAAAAATAAGCAGTGTTATTCTAAAAAGATGTTAATAAATTAAATGTACAAAAATATATAGGATGTTTCTGTTTTCTAAGTGCATGGGGATGAAACAAACAAAAGGCGAAATATGCCACATAGGAAAAATCAAAGAAATGTGTGCTTATTCAGATGTGTATTAAAAAAATTGATTAAACTGAAGGATCACTCTTGTGTGTCAGGTGCAAATCCATTAATAGGTATGTGTAAACATACGAATGATACGTATGCGTGCTTTACACAGGAAATGTCCCTAATTTCACGAGTTCTCGCATTTAAATATGTGCACTTCTCAATGATAAAAAAAAAAAAATAATAATAAAATAAATAATGCTACAAGTGCCTGGTACAACACAGAATATCATAAATTATAGCTAGTGGGGGTAATAAATTCATAAAAGGGAAAGTTAAAAGTAGGTATATTAAAAAAAAAAAAAAGAAAAAAAAAAAAAGAAACACGGAGAAAATTTTGTAATTCTCTTACTCTTGGTTCTAATTTTAATTACAATTAAAATTATATATATATTTTTTTTTTTTTTTTTTTTTCTGTTCAATCAATTATACACTGCAAAACATGTAGAACACACGTTGTGCGCATGTGGGTATGCATATGCATGTAAATGTTTATCTATGTAGATGTGTATTGAGTTCACTTTTCTATTAAGCTTGAACCCTCTGATCACGTGTGCAAGAAATTCGTTAAGTTCTTCATATATCTCATTTACGCAATGAAAAAATGAACGAATAAAAAGGAAGCATGCATTGTATCAAAGTCATACATATAAAAAGCAATTAAATATCAAAGAAAAGGCGACGATTTATTTCGCGCTCCTATATGTACATATACATATATATATTTACACGTGCAGGATAAACGAGTAAAATCATAACTGTAATTGTAAAAAGTTGTAACAGATTGAAAGTATACATGTATATGTGTGTGTGTTACATGTATACAACACGTCCGTGCATACATGCGCTTGAAAGAAAAAATCATTCTTGCGTTTGCGCAGTTGTTTGCGTTCACATGTAAGTTCATTCATTTGTCGATATTTTTCTCATTCGATGTAACAACGTAAAATTCTCTCCTAACAAGCATGTAAGCAAAAAAAAAAATTATGAGATGAAAAAAAAAATAAAAACAGAAATAAAAACAAAAATAAAAACAAAAATAAAAACAAAAATAAATTCAGGAATACATACAGAAATAAAAGTAAAAATCTCAGACTGGTGGAAATAAAGTGCTAAATGGAAAACAATCATAAGTTGCTTTTCTCCTTTCTCATTTTTTTTTTTTTTTTTCTTGCAGCTTTGTTGTTTTTTTCTTTTTTTATAAAATATCTCGAGGGGTACAAAAGGTATATATTTTTTGTTAATTATAAAATTGTTTCATTCATAATAAAGGAGGCCTCTTTTTTTAAAAATTTTTTTTTTTTTCATGAATAAATATAAAGTTGTAGAGTGTTAGTGGTGCGTGCACGGGCATATGTGTTCTCTAACAAACTGAACGCGTGAATATCATCGTTTATTGTGGCAAAAGTAAAAATATATATATATGTAGGTATTCAAATATGTAAGTAAATAAATAAGTGCACCCCTTTGAGTGTAAAAAACCAAACTGATTTTTCGTAAAATCAACAAGTGCCTGTGATGGTACTTAAAATGAGGAAATTTTATTTGAAGCAATTATCTCTCACTCCAGGTGTGCATACTACTTACC